TTACACTTCACTGGAAATGACTTTCACACTTTGTTCCTACATATTAAAGGTGGACTTTTAGAACCACATATGGTTGGTTGGCAAACTGACAATCTGCCACCGTAAAACAATATCTGTCTTCAATATCTCAGTCTAATGGAGACAGGTTAATGTCATGAATTGGTAATACTGATGATGAATATACTGTAAATTTTCGCGGTAATCTAAGATGATAATAAGGAGAATTTCAATTTCTCGGCTTTTCAAGTGCGAACGCACGGACCGATTCTCATTGAAATATTCTTCAAATCCACAAACTCAAACAGCTCTTCTTATTCTCCTCATTCGTCTTCTCAATGCTTAAAAATTCCTGCGAATTGCGAGTTTTGTAGACCATTTGAGTCACTGACTTGTATCTCATGCAAGCCTTCTCAATTGTGTCATCAAGACGCAAAGGTTTAAGCAGATTGAAGATAATGAAAAGACAGTCATCATTGAGCTTCAAGATTTACATTGAATATTGAATTGAAAACAATAATTTTTTAGTTTTCATTCCATTCTTTTTCACCGTTCAAAAATACTCTGTGAAAAATCCTTAATTTTTACAAACGACACTTTAGCAGAATGAAGAATATCACTTTGAATGTAAAGAAATTCTCATCACTGACTTAAAAGCGAATTGAATTGTCGTGAGAGAATGTTTATTGCAATTCACCTGTTGATTTTGATGATATGCAATTGTTCTGCCGCAAAATGGTATAGTTAATCAATGAAATTCTCCCATGCCAGTCAATGCAATTTGCCCAGAGTGAAGATAGTGCATTTTTACAAATTGCGAATATCTTGCCAAACCATTTGTTCACGACGAAAATTGGTCAAGAAAACACATACTTCTACGTGCTGCAATCCACAAACTCCACCCTTTTTTCATGGGGGACATTCTTTGGTGTTTAAATAAATTGTCTTTTGTTGAAATTTCTTCATTCTCCTCTCTCCCTCCCTTGCCCTTCTACTCAATGGCATTGTTATTCCCTTGGCTCAGAGATCTCTTTTTTTCTTGCCTTCGCCGCATCCTTTGGCTAAGACGACATAACTATCCTTTAGAGGACAATAGATTCCATAAACTAACCGCCTTCTTCCTCTCCCACTCTCTCTCACACACACATGAATAGCTCAATTGGCCGCATTAAAGAATATATCCTTAAGATTACATATCTTGCACAGAAGTTTTCCAGCAACGCATGATTTCACCTTCAGCGCGAGTTAATGGAAGTGGCACAGACTTTGCCAAATGCCTTCGTCCATGTTTTGCTTGTCTGACAGAGAGTATTATCATACGTGGAAGAAGTAGACAAAACGGTGGAGCTTTCGATGTGTCACGCACGTGATTTATTATTTTAATCCAAACAACACAAATTACGACAAAGTTCTTCAGCAAATTTCTTGCCTTTCTCCTTCTCCCCTTGTATTCTGAGAGCAGAAAACAAACCATAACAGAGACGTGAACGACACAATTATCTATTATACAACATTAAAAAGAATCCACTATAAGACATGTTATGCTCTCTTCCTCCCTCGCCATTTATTTTTCCTTATACAAATCACAACCCATGAAGACATCCAGAAATATGAAGATGCGCGTAAAATGGTGTGTATAAAAATAAATATTATTTTATATTAATGGCGCAATTTTAGGGCGGGCAGCCAGACTGACAGAGAACGACGAGAAGTGAGATAAAAATTGTAAGAAGTTGAGGATGAATAAAATATATTATGTTTTGCAGAGGCTAAATTACGTGATTTTCCGCCCCAAACCGCGCGCGCTCTTCCACATGGTGACAGAAGAGAGGAAAAATTGTATTAAACAAAGTCGCGGAGTGAAAGATTGAGAGCGCGAAAGAGACGGCAAAGAAACCAGATGATGAATGAACTTGTACAATTTATTTATGAAGTCATCATGAATAAATCTACTCATTTGATGATACACACTTTGATGAATTTTCATGGTTAGATAATGTCATGACAATTTTCCAATGAAGTCTATTTGCCCTGTCTTTCGCCATAATGCTGATAAATTATCTTTTTCACCTGTTCTTTTTTTTGCTGTCCATGTCTCTTCATCATCGGGAATTACAAAAAGCGCACCTTTTCGGCACAATGAAAATTTCCAATTAAGCCAAATTTCTTTCTTTTGTCCCGGAAAAACAGCGACTTTTCTGTAATGCTGCCATGATAATGTTTACAAACATTCTTCAGAAAAAAGAGAAAATAAAATAAAAGAATGATTTAAGTATAAACAGAAAATATAGAAGCAAAAACTGAAATTAAATCGACAAAATCTCTTATTCTATTGTCTGAATTTCCATAAAAACATTTTTTCAAGTATGGGCAAGATTTGTTTAACGTAAAATCTTTTTCGAATTTGAACTTTTCAATGCATTTTTCACCCGGAATCGTCGGATTTATCCAAAAAAAAATCAGATACAAAACCTTTTTCAAACATGTTTAATTCTTAATTCCATTCTTTTGAGTGCCAAAACAAAGGAATTCAATCAGAAAATTCCCAGAAAAATTTATCATGCTGAAAAAAATCCACTTTTCTCATCTCATTTATATTCTCGCCCACATTAAAAAATCAGCAACACGAAAGACCTCTCAAGCAGCGAAACATAATCCCTCAATCGTCAACGTTTCAATCAAGATGAACCTGTTATTAAGAAAGCTCTCACAGTGACAATTAATCCCGAAATATGAAGTGAAGCATTTGGGTGAAATGTGTACATATTTGTAATTCCTTTCTATCACTGAAGCGCAGCGCGAAGAAGAGTTCCGAGAATCAGTGGAAACAAAACCCAATATTTGTCAATGAAGGGTGTTCAGTTTTTAAGGAATGTCTCATGTGTGTGAGCGACAGGAGGGCACAAAAAGAGCCCAGCACAATTGGAACTTGTCTATCGCGCGCGCGTTCTTCCACTTCGCCTCTCTCATCTTGTTGTACAACGCCACTTAAGACGCGCGCCTCCTTGTCCTCCGCATCCCTCGCGGCGGCACTCTTCTCTCGTCTCGGGTTATCGCCTTCTGTCACGTTCATCGGCGCGCGGTGGAGCGGGAGATGACGAACGGTGAGCCACAGGTAAGGAGAAGAACTGTGCGTGGGATGCTGCGCTCCGCATGCTGGTGAACAAGAAAAGCCCAAGAGTGTGTCTATGTTCACATCTCTGCACCGGTTTCCTCGATTTTAACACATTCACGCCACATTTTTCGACCATCTGGCACAATTAAGTGCGAATTTACACACTTGTGCGACACTTTTGGCGCCACACGACGTCACAGATGATTCTGCCGTGCGAAAAAGTGCGATAAGACGCCACCCACGGCGTCACAAGACCACCTGATCAGCACCCATGAGGCATTCTTCAGCTCAGCTCCAACGCAAATTCCATTAGCGCATCCCGGAATAGAAGAAAAATCCCATCTATTTAGCGCCTCAAAACGGCGACTTTGACATGGATGAAATTGATGAATCTAATGTTACATTCGTGGAAAAATTCCTCCATCGGCCAACGCAATTGCTTAGACTACATTAAATTCCATCGTCATCTAATTTCTCGCTCTTTTTGCACTCTTCTTTCCGCCCTCCCGGAGAAAAATGATGCTCCGCCAGTAGAATGCCAAGCACTGGACTTTAGCTCTCTTTCTTCCCGCTCTCAATTATAAATTCCGCAAATAATTTTTCCGAAAGATGCGAGAAATTCAACACACAAGGGCGAAGGAAGGAAAAATCATGGTAAGAAGTTTTGAGGAATGTCAAGAAAATTTAGAGAAGTCTGAGATTTTAAACTTTAACGCCCAAAGAGTTGAGAGTTCTTTTCCCAATTCAGTTTCACCCTAAACAGAGTTTGCTATTAAGACAGAAACACTCTTGAGAAGTTTTCAGTTGAGGAATTCCAAGTGAAGAAAGCCACAATCATTCGAAATGATTCGCTTTGCGATAAAGCCAGATCTTCAAGTGTATAATTGTGAATTGTATGAATCTGACTTTAATTCCATGTAATTTATTCGTAAAATCTCATCATTTTTGTGATAAAACTTTAAACACTTCATTATTGTTTCGATTTTCTTTCAGATTTCAAAGAAAACTCAATTGCAAGTTGTAATTCAACGTCTTTTGAAGTTGACAAACCGAAAAATTATGTTTTTGAGAGCTTGGCAATGTGCTTAAGATCAAAATTGTATCATTTTAACGAAAATTGCATCAATTTCAAATCAAAAACTTGCTCTTCTGGATCTTAAAACAGAATATTTTTAAAAAAATATCATGATCTCAGGCAAAGAATATCAATATTTCAATATAATCTCTGCCAAAACAGTTCAATTTAAAAAAAAATATATTTTTTAAGGTTCTTAAAAAAAACAAATTCCGAAAATATGTTTAAAATTCTTCGAGAAATCCTAAGATTAATGTCTTTCACAGTAATTTAACTCGTGTAAAACTCAATTATGTTGAAGTTTAGTATCTAATAAGTGAAAATAAATGTTTCGCACATATTTCCACATATTGGAATCACATTTCCAATTGGATATTGATAAGAAAACATAACAACATTGACGTTCATCATGATTAACATGAAAAGCCAGCAAATACTATTAATGTTGGCCTGACAAACACAATCAGAACTTTAAGATCGACGCATCCTTAATCCTGGATTATCCCCTGGACGCTAATGAGTTCATCCCCGGACTGGGAAGACGCCCGGACAGCGGAATTGGATTACGCCAGGCCGAACTTCTAATCTCGCCCTGGCACGAATCAGAGACAAGCGAGACTATTTCGCTGCCTCATAATTGGATTTAATGACTCTGTCTCTAATCTGGCCGGGTTTATTTCGCGCCTCGGCGGGGAATTAGGCCCACAATCAAGTGTCTGGCCAAGACAGCGCTGAAGACGCGCGATGGATCAAAGAGGAATTCCTCAAGGTTGGCCTTTTCGGCCCGTGTCCTTTCTTGGGTCTTTCGCTTACCTGCTCGTCTTCCGGACTCTGTGTGCGTCCTTGTTGCACCCACGCGTGGAAAGGGAGAAACTCCTGTCCGGATGACAAAGGACGCGTGGAAAATTCCAGCAGCAGAAGCCACACTCGCTGTGGTCTGTTATCAGCCCGCGGGGCCGCAGGTTGTCCGGGGAGGTGTCGCCGTGTCGCGGAATGTTTACACGTCCTCGTCGAGAACAGAGGAAAAGCCTCACGAGTCCACAATGATTTTCCCCACTGATAAAACGCCGAGGCAGAGCTGTCAATGGTGGTAAAAGTCACATTTTCACGCCACAGGTCGCAAGATTATCACTGCAGCTGGTCCGTGTGCACACTGGAGGCCTTCACTCGCGTTTCCCAGCACTTTTCCACCCATTCACATCGCGGAGTCACTGGCGGAAATGCTGAAGAGACCAATTTCGAGCCGCACGACCACGGAATATTTTGACATTTGCCCGTGACAGTTGGACAACGAATGAAGGCCGAGCCGCGAACGCTCTTCCAGCGGCGCGCCGACGATTTCCAGTCCAACCGAGCCGAAGACACCCGACGGCGAACATGGCGAAATAGTCACGCTTGGCGCCAAATCTCTTATCTTAAGAGACACACTCTCACACTCCTTTCCTCGCAATCTCTGCAATTGTGAGGCCAAAACATCCAATTATTACTGATTTTTGGCACAAAAAGCACACCAGGTTCAGCCAAATCGACCTTGCGGTGAAGGATTTTTTAATTAAATTCACTTTGACGACAGACTTTTTCGGTGTGGTTGAATTGAAGATACCAACAAAAGCCGAAGAAAGTCGGAGAAAAAGTTGGGGAAAGTTTATTGGAAAACTTCTTGCAGGACAAAACAATTTTTACCCACACACTTCTCAACGTCTGTCTATAAGCAATCGCGAGAATCCCTCAATTTTTTCATCCGCCAGCCAAACAAACTCAAAACGGTGTCATGAAATCCTGTGTCAAGCAGAATTCGCCTTATTCCGAACTCTTGTTGAACTTTTTCTCTTTAATTCAAAACAAGTACAATTCAGCGGAATTCTTTTAGAGTTTTGGTGGCACACGATTGAATATCGGGGAAACTTTTCCCACCGCCGCAAAATGCAATTTTGCGACTCCTTCCAAACATTTCAAATGAATTTCCAGTGAATGAATTAACTTTACAATCCATCGCATCAAATAATCAAATTGGGAAAGGGAAATTCAATTTACCAGCTTTCCGTGGAAACTCGCAATTGGAATTGATGAAAGCCGAGCAAGACAGGTTAAAGTTAAACATTCACAGAGCCGCAGATTGATTGGATGGGGGAAATATCATTATAGAGACGGACAAAGTTGGCAAAGTCGATGTCTCTTCCGCAGACCACAAAATGCGCCCACAAATGATGGTTTTCCCATCTTGAAGGCGGTGCGGAGCAATTGTCCTGCTCAGGAGCGGCGCTCCTCGGCGACAAAGGCGGCAGAATTCCCGAGTGTAACAACAAAAGGTCGAAGGAAGGACAATTTGGTGCTCTTTCCGCTTCATTTTCCGGTCAATAATTCATGATGTACGGTGGAGAATGGAGCGTTAAACTACTGCATTGGCGCCAAATTAAATCGACAAGCGCCCATTGTTGGCGAAATCTCTCCACCCCCTCACCTTTCCCACCCACAAACTCGCGCGCGCCCTTCGCCCATTGGAATCTCCAGCCAGTGAGCTGTATTGGATAATTTTATTAAGTACAAAACACGCGTGTACAAAAATTGCATTTCATAAAAATTCGCATTACAAAGTTGCACACGATGGAAAAAATTCAATAAGCGCCTCAATATTTTATCCATATTATAGAATGCAGAATTTCGTCACTATTCTCTTGGCCTCCAACATGATTCTTTTTTCTTTCATTCATTTTTCTAACAAAACAACTTTGCAAAATAAAATAAAACAGACAAGAATAAACGTTTCCTAACCACAATCTTGGAATATCATGTGAAATATATGCTTAAGACTACACAGAATGTATGGCAATGGCGCTCGTCTAAAGCTCAGTGGACATGTGACTCGTGAGCGCCTGCACGCGCTTGGCGTTGCAGCTCTTGCACAGCACGTGATCGTCCAGCGGATAGCAGCCGCGCCCCTCCGCCTCCGACGACAGCAGCAGCGCGCAATCCTCGCACTTGTAGCACGACGGATGGAAGCTGCGGTCCAGCGCCACCACGCGCACCGTCTCCTCCTTCCCGGGCTCCGGCATGATCGGCATCCGGCACACGCAGCAGCGCGGCGCGAATTTCCTGCAAAGACACCAACAATCGTTAATCGAGGCGTTTCAGGGTCTGAAATCTAATGAAAAACTACGCCAAAAATTGCCTGAGAATTTTAACAAATTGCTTGATTAGAAAACAGAAAAAAGTGATTATAAAATGATTTTCCATGAAGATGCTATTGAAAATGCTTAAGAGAATCTTGAGTAAAAACGGTGGAAAGCTTAAACAAATAGTAGCGAATTTCGTCAATTCGAGAACTGTTCAGCACTGTCCACCCCAGAACCCCCAAAAGACCGCCTGACTTACTTGTGGAAATCCTCGATGCAGTGGATCTGGTTGGTGGCGTCGACGGTGAAGGGGATGCCGTCCAGGCTCTTGCCGCACACGATGCAGCAGAAGCAGCCTGGGTGATAGGGCTTGCCGGTGGCGCGCAGGATGCGCTCGAGGATGGGCTTCATGCACACGGAGCACTTCTCCAGCGTGTTGAGATAGTCATCCTCGCAATACGGCTTGTCCTCCAGCGCGTAGAAGGGCTTGCCCTGCAGGTTGATCTGGCATTGGCAGCACGTGAAGCACTCGATGTGGTAGATCTGGTTCATGGCCGTGCAGCCAGAGTTCTCGCCGATCACGCGCTCGCCGCACTTCACGCACATACCGTAGCTGTCCGCGTCCGCGTGCCCGTCCAGCGATTGCACCAGCATCTCCGTCAGCACGTCCACCTCCGCCTCCTTGGGTGCACCCTTGTAGCCGCCCGTCGCCTCGCGCCCGCCGTATGGCGTGTAGAGCGAATAGTTGGAGCGCGACGACATCTCGCTGGCCGGCCGCGGGTTGATGGGCTCGTAGATGGACTCGTAAGTCGACGAGTTCTGCGGACAGTGCAAAAATTATTACAGTCAAACTGTGAGAAAATGGCACCAGACACAGTCTCAGTCGGAGAAATAGGCTCTGAATCAGCACAGAAGGAAATCTACAGCGGAAGTTGGCGTAAGAAAGTGTTTTCCTTGCGGAAATTTCCAAGGAAATTCAGTTTCCGTATTGTTCCGGAAGCTTCAAAACTGTTCAAGATTGGGAATCACTTAGTTTTCCAATAGATAAGAGAAAGAATAAGTTAGAATTTTGACTTTCGTAGCTTCCAAAAGGGCGGAGCTTTCGAAAGGGCGGTGCTTAATTAGCATTCTCATCACTTTTCCTTTCAACTTCACATAATAGCGATGAAATCAGAGATTTCTCGAGATCATTCAGCCCATTTCTCTCACCGAGACTCTCAATCTAAATTAGTTTATGTGCAAAGTCAAGCGCTAAATGAGGTTTAGTGAAAGATTCAAGTCCACACCTGAGATGACGTTCCATATCCATAGTAATCGCTATTCAAGCTGTGATCCTGCGAATTAGTGGCATGAAAGCGAGAAAGATGGCAAAGTGTGTTAAAATGTGACCTCGAATTCCTCCCTTCCGTCAACAATTCACTCACGCGACGCGCAGAGTGACGATTTCGCAGCGAAAATCGCCACAAAGGCGCGCTTATTCACCCAATTAATCACTCAATCACACTTCCGCCCACACTCGAGGAACTCCGCGGCATTCCGGGACGCTCACCTGCGAGATGGGCGCATAGGCGCCGTACTCGTTCTGATAGATGCCCGCGAAGTTGCCGTGGCTCTGCTCCGCGGCCGGATGCACGCCGGCGTACGTGGACATCGTCGGGTAGCCACTGTCGATGGCGCGTCGCAGTTCGCTGTACGAGGAGCTGACGGGGCTGGGTGGCGGCGGCAGCTCGTCCTCCGACGACACATGACGCGAGTACTCGAGCCCGGCCTCGGGATTGAGCTCCAACGGCGGCGGCGGCGGGAAGTCGTCCGACGTGGAGCGATTGTAGGGAATGTTGGAGTACAGGTTCTTCTCCTCGCGTCCGCGTGCGTGCACGATGTTGCTGTACACGAGCCCGTCGGCATTGCGCGTGGCGTTCTCGGGCTTCGGGCTGGGCGTGATCCGCTGCTTCTGCGCCTCCAGTGCCTGCTTGTGATACTCCAGCGCCGCCAGCTGCTGGTCCAGCACGATGGAGTTGTCCAGGGTGTTCATCTGGCCCACATTATCATAGATCGGCTGGATTCCGTGGCGCACAGCCACGCTCTCGCCCGTGATCTGCAAGGGACGATGACGATTCATCGCTCCGGAATCTCCTACAGACACACCAAAAACACTCACGGAATTGGGATTGGGATGCTTCGGCTTGGGCGGAATGGGTGGGCCGACTCTCTTGGGACTCTTCTCCGGCTCCCTGAGCTTCAGCTGCTGCAGCTTCTCGTTCAATCCGTTCATCTTCCTGGCTCTTCTTCCTGCGCTTCCTTGTAAATCCGCGACACGCACACACTTTTTCACCGCACTCTCGACGCGCTTACACACCTGCGCGATGTCTCACCACAACCTTAGGATGATCTCATACTTCCCCAGAAACCGTGTCACACGCCAAATTGTGCGAATTCAGCGAAATACCTCACGAAATATGCGTGCAAAAAGTGCAACGATAAACACACTAAAAATTCCTCAACTGCTTCTTCTTCTTCGCCACGACGTCGCGCGCTTTCCGGCGGAGTGTCGACAATGTCGATCAGTCGATAAGCAGGTGACATTCGCGGATGGGAATAAAATGTGCGTGAAGAAACTCCACTAGCCGCCAAGAGGAACGTTGATGGAGTGTTGTGAGTATGTATCGCCAACTGTTGAGAGTCCCGGCTCCTAGCTTAGCGCCCCCGGCGCGGGTGTCCTTTGGCGCGGTGGCGCAGCGACGCCTCGAAAGTTCCGATGGGTGAGAAGAAGCGGAAGAAGCAGTCACAGGTCGAATCCTGGGCAGATTTTCACACCGGATCCGTTAATTTCAGCTCCAGCACACCCGGCAAGGGTGACAAGGAGCCAAAGACGTCCAAGTACAGCCGCGCGAACGTGCGCAAGAACGTGAGAGGCTACGTGTTCACGAGGTACTTCGACTACCTGCAGAACTATGACAAGGTGCTGGAGAAGAAGTTCCCGGCGGCGATGCACGTCTACCGCGTGTTCATGGTGGGCGTGAAGGACTTCTTCTCGGATACGAAGAAATTCCTCAAGATCACGCGCATCGTCAACACGTCGCCGGCTGGTCTGCGGGCGCTCACGCGGAAGGAAATGGAGCTCTACTACCAGATGCCGCGCGACATGATGAAAGTGGCGCCCGTTCTGCTCATCTCCGCACTGCCCTTCGCCAATTATGTGATATTCCCCCTCGCGTGAGTCACAAGTGTTCTCTATGGGGTGAAAAATGCATTTCACAATTTGCGTGGGAGGAAAATTGCGTAAAGATGAGGAAAAATCTAATGCAATTTACCAAGAAGCCTTCCAAAAACAGACAAAGGCGTAGTCTAAAGGAAATACTATATTTTAGAGAATTGTAGGCTATTTTTTGCCCTTTCCAAAATGCCATTAATCTTGAAAATCGACCGAAAAATTACACCACATTTCGTGTTTGTTAGTGCAGAAAAGACTTATCTCGCTTTAATCACATAAAGAAGTCATTCACACCATCTGGCGAACGTTTGTTGATCTTAGTATGTTCTAGAAAGTTGTAGGCGATGAAGTCACCTTTCCAAATCTGTCCTAATTATGGCAATCGGATAAGAACTTTAGAAGATATGCTCAGTTAAATGATGGTAAGCAGATGCAAAACCATCTCAAATTGATACTTTAAGTATAATCAAATTAAGTTTTTTTTTTCTTAATTTTCAAATTGAAAATTATTTGATTTTAGATTTCTTAGAAAGAGCGCAAAATAAGCTTAAGGAAAAGCATTTTTCACCATGTAGAAGAAATTCTGCAATGCCGAAAACTGTCCAAGTTCATGAACGAGTGATAAACCTTATCGGAGGTCACTGAATTCGGCTAATTTTAGGTACATGTACCCGCGATACTTCCTCACGTCGCACTTCTGGGACATCCGGCAGAAGAGCGAGTTCCAGCAGCTGTACCTGAAGGAGCGCATCACCCACAACCGCCGCATCTTCCGCTACCTGCAGGCCAAGCTCGAGCTGCTGCGCCCCGTCGAGGAGGATTTCACGCGCCTGGCGAACATACTGGGTCTGCTGGGCAGCGGGCTACATCCCACGGCGCAGGAGATCCTCGCCAGCCGACACATCTTTGCGAAGCCGCCCTACAACATGGGCGCGCTCTCCTCGGGCCACGTGGGCGCCCTGTGCCACCTGCACGGCGTCCGGACGGGGCTGCTGAAGCGTGCGCGCCTCTCCGAGCGCTTCCACATCTTCCGGCACATGGACAGGGCCATCAAGCACGAGGGCGGTGTGCACAACATGTCGCCGGACGCACTGAAGCACGCCTGCTTCCTGCGCGGCCTCAATCCCACGCTGCTGAGCAACGAGCAGATGATCGAGTGGCTGCGCGAGTGGGTCACGGTGTCGCTGGCCGTGGACACGGACACGATGAGCCTGTTCCTCCACCTGCCCATCCTCATCGCCTACAATCACCCCAACAACTGGAGGCTCACGCACAAGTGAGCGCAGCGCCTAGTCACACACATTTGTTCGCAGAGACATAAAAAGACCTTTCTAGAGACGAAAAAAACCCTTTATTAGCTCTGAAAGAGGAAAAATCCGTTAGAATCAAGACAACGAGAGATCCTGGGATCCTCTCCAAGGAATGCGCGGATCCCGAGAATCTCCCCGCCCCTCAAACTAAAACTATATGCGCTAGGAGGAAGTTAACTGGACTTGTGTAATCAGAGGACAGAGGGAAGCCGGTCAGAAGGGGATGAAGCTGGGAAGATCCCCGATCGGAGGCCTCCTCACGGGAACACTTGGCACTATTTCCACGGACTCACTCACGGCCAGACTCTCACCAGTCACGCGGTAGTTCCTCTTCATCCTGTCAATCTTGGCCAGCGTCCTGGCCAGGCGCTCCTGTGCCTCCTGGCTCAGCTCGATCGCCTCCTGGTCGCACTCCTCGCGGAAGTAGCGCACCTTGTCGCTCTTCAGCACGCTCGGTGGGTCGCTCTTGGCCACTCTCTCGCCGGCAATCCTCTTCTGCGGATGCGGGAACGGACATCGCGGCTTCTCGCAAACACCCTTGGCCTCGGCGTCCGGACAGATGAGATCGTGTCGCTTGGAGCACTGAAACATGACCGAGAAATTGGGTGAAAAAGGAAGGAAATCCATCGAAATTCCATGAAAAAAATACTTTCTCAGCCAGCTTGCAGAATCCCTGGAGGAAGTCTCTGCAGATCTCCGTCTTCTCGTTCAGCTTCTTGTGCAGATACGGACAATCCGACGCTGTGCAGCAGCCTTCCAGGAAGAACTTGCACGTGGGCATCTTGGACAGATCCGCCTTGTGCGCCAGTAGGCACGCGGCGTCCTTGCAGGCGCCCTTCAGGAACTTCCTGCACACCGCCACCTGGTCGGGATCGTGCACTCTGTGGCACCTGCCGCGCTCCTTGGCCAGACACTTCCCCAAACGCCGGTAGATTAGGCACGGAAGGTTGCTCTTGACCATCTTGTTGGCCAGGAACGAGATGCTGCGCTGCTTCGCGATGCTGGAAGTGCAGAAAGAGACGCGTTAGGTGGGATTTTGTAGATTCCTGAGCAGATTCTCACCTCAAATGCGTTCTCGTGAAGTGAGAGTTCGTCCTCTCGTACGTGCCGTTTTTCTTGGACGTGTACGTGAGGCCGCCGAAGTGAATTCTGGTCAGCTTCAGCGCCGTCGAGGATGCGTTGCACTTTCGCAGTCTCTTTCCACTGCCATCCATCGTGAATTTCTCTCCGCGGATGAACAGAACGCGATCCTGGAGGCTCTTCAGAACCGTCTGGACAACTCCCGATGACTTTTGCAGCTTGTTCGCCGTGGATTTGTACAGGACGCCGTTGATGTTGAGGAAGGAGAGCTTCCTGGACGCTGGCGGGGCAGCTTTCGAGGCACCATCGGCGATCCGGGAGAGTTTGCGGGGCGAAAAGCTGACAAAGGAAGTGCCACTGAAAAGAGCAAATGCGACAATCATCCTAGCGCGGAGCTGCGGTCGCGGATTCACTCACATTCTCATCAGCTTCTTGTTCGTCGTGGTGACGATCTTTGGGCTGAAACTGCTGCGCAGCTTGCGCAGGTTCTGCGGTGGGGATTTGATGGAGAGATGCCGCCTGTCGATCTTGTACAGACTCCTGCGCCGGAGGCTCTGCGGCGGCACCGCCAGTGCCTGACTAGACGTCCGGACGAGCTTGTTCTTGCTGATCTTCACCAGGCGCGTGGTGGGCGTGTGCTTCACGCGCTGCCCGGACGTGGACGGAACATTCCGGATGATCTTCCTGCGCGTCTTGTAGATGGGCTCCTTCTGGGGGAACTCCACACGAGGCTCCACATGCTGCGGGACGCCGAGGAACTTGGGATTCACGTGAATATTGGCAGGAAGGGCAGGATGTTTGGTGAAGAACGACGGATTTATGTGGGCATTGCGGAATTTGGGATTGATGTGGATCTTCTTAAATTTCACAGGCAAAATCTCCTCTTCCATCATGCGAAAACACAGATAAAGGTTACTCTCTTATCACACAAAAATATACAAGTGGAAAAACTGCTGGGATTTTCACGTCCGAAGATATTTTACAATTCTTTGTCCTTCTCTTTCTTCGTTCAGTGAGTCTTAACGACACATCGACAAGTCGATGTTGTTTGACAGCGGCGCCATGTTGGATTTCTCTTTCTTTCCGGTTCGCGAAGATGGTGAGTTGTTGCGATGATGCGGAGACGATTTTCACGATTTTTCCACACAAATCACGCAATGGCGCAAAGTTTTCACACCCCAACACTGAGAATGGAGATCATAGAGTTGTGAAATGGTGAAATTGGGGCATTTTCCCTGTGATTTGTGTGAAAAACTCGAGGGTGTCGCTCAGCATGCCACATGCGGTGTTGTCATTTGTGTCGATCATAACCTCAAAGCCTGCTTGGAAGCGAGAAAATTGATGGTTTTTCCTTCTTTTGCAGCCCTTCCAGCGATTTGTCGAGACTGGCCGGGTGGCCAAGTGCTCCACGGGACCCCTCAAGGGGAAACTCGTGGCGATTGTGGACTGCATTGATCCCAATCGCGTGCTGATTGACGGACCTTGCACGGGAGTGTCGAGACAGGAATATCGTCTCAATAACCTCCACCTGACCAAGTTCGTCCTCCGCTTCCCCTTCTGCGCGCCCACCAGAGTGATCCGCAAGGCTTGGACAGCCGCGGACGTGAACAAGAAGTGGGCCGAGACAACGTGGGCGAAGAAGGCCAAGGCTCAGGAGAAGGTGAGTTTTTCCGCTTCCGGACACCCTTTTGCGCCCCCAGAGAGTCCACGTGATGATCCATTTATTGATAGGAATGTGCCGACTGAAACATACATGAAGCTAACTATCTCTGACACCCTCTTAATTGCACGATTTGGCGTCCTTTCTGGCTCTTTTTCTCATCAAATTTCTCTCTCTTTCAGCGGTCAAATCTCAATGACTTTGACAGATTCAAGCTGCGCGTGGCCAAGCGCTCCCGGAATCGCATGCTCACAGTGCAGTTCAAGAAGATGAAGCGATATGGCTCCATTGACGGAACGCTGTATGGCAAGAAGAGCATCCGGAAGCCCAAGCTGTGGAAGGATCAGCTCGCCAAGAGGAAGACGAAGAAGCCCGCGGGCAAAACCGCCGCCGCTGCTGAGTAAACGGGAGTAAATTTCTGTTGAAGAGGCGCTAAATAAACCATTCATGAGGACATAAGATAAGCTATCGACCTTTTATTTGCATCTAATCGCAATTCAGATGAAGAAAGAAGATGGGAAGAAGGAAAAAGCTGAATCGACAAGATCAGTTTTGCCGTGATTGTCAAGCGAAGAAGGATGAATTCTTGTTGTTTTCTTGGTTTTGGTCGAGGTTTTGGTGGTTTTTCTGGCGCGAGAGCGCTAAAAAGTGTCTACAGCACTACTTCGCGGTTCCTCAGCGGGAAATCCTTCAAGGATATCCCAGGACCTCGAGGATACACTGTCCTGAACCGCCTCGTCAAGGAAGCCTTCACAGGTAAAAGACAATCGCACGCGCTGAAGATTCCCTTGAGACACTTTTGCCTACCTTTAGGCGTTTCAGAGCTCGACGCGCTTCACTTGGCGGGCTTCGAAAAGTACCGGCGATTCGGCAAGATTGTGCGCGAAGCTGTACTGCCCGGAGTGAATATTGTGTGGCTGTTTGATCCCGATGATATCGCGACAGTCCTCAATGATCACGGTAGTGGGAACTTCCCAGAGCGCAGGAGTCATTTGGCGCTGGAGAAGTACAGAAACGACCGACCGAGCATTTATCGCACGCCAGGACTTTTGCCAACGTGAGTTTTCCTACCTTTGAAGCCTTTTAACCCTTTTAACCCTCGCAAGTGCTGAAGAACTGTCCAGTGCAAGAGTTGAAGACTAAGAGAACATGCTTATCAGCGTCTTTTCCTCAGTAAAAGAATAGTTAAACTGCCTCTTAAAAATGAAGGAATTAAAATTCCTTACTAGAATATTAAATATTGTTGCTGTTCCGCCCAGAAACGGCTCGGCTTGGTGGAAATTGCGAGCGCAGGTGCAGAAGAATCTCAGCTCTCCTCAGATTGTGAAGCAATTCTTGGCGGCAGTTGATGAGATCACTCGAGAATTCCTGGAAAAACTTGATCTGGATCGTGCTGAAGAAGACTTCCTGCCTGAGCTTTCGCGCCTCAATCTTGAGAGTATGATTTTCTGTCATTTCCTGACCTGATTTTCTCTCAAATTCCCTGGAAATTGCTTTCAGTCATTGGATTTCTGGCCTTCGACACACGCTTAAATAGCTTCAGCGATGAGGAACGCGTTCCCGAATCTCGATCTTCGCGCCTTATTGAAGCTGCTGAGGAGTCAAACAGCTGTATTTTGCCGCTGGATCAGAACTTTCCGCTATTTAAACTCTTCGAGACGCCTCTCTACAGACGCTTCCGGAAAGCCCAGGAATTCCTCGAGGAAGTCGCTCTGGAGATGGTGGAGAGCAAAGCTGCAGCGCTACGCAGCGAAAGATCTCTCATCGCAGAGTATCTCCGAAATGAGAATCTCGAGATCAGAGACATTGTCGGTAGGTTTTGGAGTTCTTCGAAAGAGATTTCTTGAGTAATTCTTCTGGAATTCCTAGGAATGGCGTCGGATTTCTTTTTGGCGGGAATCGACACGACATCTTACACAACCAGCTTTCTTCTCTATCATCTCTCGAATAATCCCACAGTTCAGGAGAAGCTCTTCCAGGAGAGCCTCAGAGTTCTGCCTGAAGAGGATTCCCAGCTATCGAGTGCTGCTCTGCAGGAGATTCCCTTCGCCAGGGCGGTTCTCAAGGAATCTTTGCGCCTCAATCCCGTCTCCGTGGGCGTGGGACGCACCCTGACCACAGACACGCTGCTGTCCGGCTTTCTCGTGCCGCGAGGAGTGAGTGGCTTCTGCCCAAAGTGATTGGCGCAGTTCTAACTCACTTAACTTTCCACAGACCATCATTGTGACGCAGAACCAGATCTCTTGCCGGCTTCCCATTCACTTCCACCAACCGGAATGCTTTCTGCCCGAGCGCTGGCTCAAGAGCACGCGCACCGTCGCGCCCCATCCGCACCTGGTGCTGCCCTTCGGCCACGGCATGCGATCCTGCATCGCCAGGCGCCTGGCGGAGCAGAATATGCTCCTCCTCATGCTCAGGGTGAGTGTGGATTTGCCAATCTCTGTCCACAGACGGATTTTCACGCGCGCCACTCGTGTTTCCAGATGGTGAGGAAGTACAAACTGGTGTGGAAAGGTGCACCCAAACTGGATTTCGTCACGAAACTCGTCAACAAGCCGTCGAGTGCCATCAAAATCCATCTCATTCAGCGCCCTAGGAAGTTGACAGCCAATTGAGGAAGTTGCCGCGCCGAAGGTCCCCCGGATTCCAGAGAAACAACTCCAAATTCAATGGGAATTTTGCCTACTTTTACTTTACTTCATGTGCGCAAGAGTACAATTTATGAGTCTGAGGAGTAGTTTATCAGCACGGGAAATCCTTTGGAGTCCACGTAGTTGAAGGTGCCCTTCTTAATCAGCAATTTCCCATCGCGTACCACAGTTTGGCCCCCAATCTCGACGAAATTGTAGCCCCCGGGCGGAGCCTTCTCCACGCTGCAAAGACATTTTCACGATAAAACGTGTCTGGGAATTGGTTTTTAGCAAGGGGGAGATAATGTGGCTAAAATCTGTACACCCTTTCCTATGAAACATTGTTAAGACTTAAACAGGCTAATATTAACTAATAATCAACTGGAAAGGACCTGAAATCTAACAGACAACTTAATAATCCAGGTTTTCAGACAATATTTTATAATTTTCTGCTTCTAATCGTATTTCTTGTATCACTCTTAGAATAAGAATCTCTTTAGCTTCAAATTGCAACTGTTAAGGCAAAACAATTTCGCGATCTTCATTGAGTGCAAATGCACAATTCTAGTAATGAAGGGAATACAGTACAAGAATCTCTATTTTAAGAAGTTATTTAGACTTAAGTATGTCACATAACTTAGAAAAATCAAGATGCAAACCTAGATAAGAGTTGATTTCTATAAGTAAAATAATTAACAAAAATCCAAAGCAGTTTCTCTGATCTGCACTACAATTCTGACCATAAAATCTCTCCTTGATTTCACATTATCAGGATCAGTGAGGATACTCACAATCATCTTTACCTTATCCTAAACGGCGTCGCGTGGAACAGAGGCTCTCCGTAGTGCGTGGCCGGGCCTTCGGGCGCATAGGGCGCCGCCTGCTTCGGCGGCCCGTACACCGCGTGCGGCATCTCGGGCGGGTAGGGGAACTCCTTGGGTGCGTACGGCACAATTGTGTTGGGGATCTCGGGCAGAGCGGGCAGCGCTGGCGGGATTGGGATGGGCTTCAGGTAGACTTGGTTCTCAGGTACTCCGTACTTCGTGTGCGGCATTTCGGGTGCGTAGAAGGTTTCTGGCGGCGCCGGAGGGAAGTGAGGAATCACCACGGGCGGCAGTTCCGGGAGTGAAGGAAGCGCTGGAGGCGGTGGAGGCAGCGGAGCGGCGATAATGGTCTTGGGCGGGCCGTATTCAGTGTGAGGTACAACAGGTGGTCCGTATTCTTCATGAGGCACTTCAGGCGGGTAAGGTCCAGTGGGCTCAGGAGCTTGCAGAGGCGCTGGCGGGAAGTGTGGGATGACCACAGGCGGAAGTTCAGGGAGGATGGGAAGCGGCGGTGGCTGGGGAATCCTGGCGATGGGAATGATTTGCTTGGGCGGACCGTACTCTTCGTGAGGAACCTCTGGAGGATAGGGAGCAGTGGGCTCCTCTGGCGGGTAAGGTCCGGTGGGCACAACAACTTCAGGCACTTCAGGGAGTTCGGGAAGAGCTGGAGGCGGTCCGTACTCTTCATGGGGCACTTCTGGCGGATAAGGTCCCACGGGAACCTCTGGAACTTCTGGCACTTCTGGAACCTCTGGAGGCGCTGGCGGGAAGTGAGGAATCACCACTTCGGGGAGCTCAGGAAGGGGCGGAAGCTCTGGTGGCGGTGGTGGCGGAGGAGCTGGGACTGTTGGGACAGGAGGTGGAGGTGGGCCGTATTCCTCGTGAGGCACTTCAGGTGGGTATGGACCAGTGGGGACTTCCTGCTTGGGCGTTTCAGGGATGAAAGAGTGGGGAATCTGAGGAGGATGCTCTGGCTGAACGATGGCAGGTCTCTTGGGCACGCCATAAGTGTCCGCGGGAGTCTCGACTTCTTCCGAGCTGGAGTCCTCATCGCTGTTGTCCACCGTGTCAAAACGCTCAGGAATCGTGGGCAGTTCGGGGAGTTTGGGCAGCTCAGGAGCCACAGGAGGTCTGTAGGTAAGTTCATCGGTGAGATCGGTGTCTTTCGGACCGAAATCAAAGGGCTTCAAGTCGGGAAGCTTGGGGAGCTCGGGAATCAGCGGCAGAGTGTTCTTGGGCGGTCCGTACTCTTCATGAGGCATCTCTGGCGGCGGCGGAGGCGGTGGAGGGACGGTGGTGGTTGGCGGCGGGGGAGGTGGAGGAGGCGGAAGAGTCGTGGTGGGGACGCCGTAGTGGGAATGGGGCACTTCTGGGGGATAAGGAGCGTCTCGCCGGTGAGCGGAGTGATAAGAACTGCTGCTGCTGGAAGAACTGCTACTGTCCGAGGAGCTGCTCTGCGAACTGGCACTCTTGGACGATTGCGAAGAGGAGGATTGCTCAGAGAATCCTCCAGAACTCTGATGTCCAGATCTGTGAGAATGATGTCCCGCTCCAAAGTCTGAACCACCCTCGGAGTATTGAGAAGAGCTTCCGCCAGAGTGATGTCCAGATCTGTGAGAATGATGTCCTGCTCCAAAGTCTGAACCACCCTCGGAGTATTGAGAAGAGCTTCCGGCAGAGTGATGTCCAGAACTGTGCTGACCGCCAGATTCAAAGCCGGAACTGCTTTCGGAACGGTGAGAAGAGCCTCCGCTGAATCCGTCAGATCTGCGACTGGAAGCTTGGTAATCTGAGCTCGAGCTACCTGAACTGCCTTCAGAGAATTGGGAGGAACTTCCGGATGAGTGATGCCCAGAACTGTGGCCACGGCGGCTGGATTCGAAGCTTCCGCCCTCGCTCTCGAAGCCACCCTCTGAGTATCCCCCGGAAGAGTGGCCTTCGCTGAAGCCTCCCTCAGAGTGTCCTCCGGATGAGTGACGACCGGATTCGAAGCCCCCTTCGGAGTAGCCCGAGTGTCCGTGGCTGCTCCTGAAGCCCTCGTGCTGAGACGAGGCCTGGGACGAGAAGCCCGCCTCGCTCTGCTGAGAGCCCTCGGAGAAGGAGGAGTGCGAGGAGAACGATCCTCCTCCACCAGGCGCCGGAAGCGCAAGAGCGCAGCCCAGAAGCCAGGCTACCACTAAGATTTTCTGCATGGAAATCATCACGTTATCACTGAAACTGCCACTGAATCGCGGATCAAACTTACCATTTTTCTTGCAAACTATCCAAATACTGCTGATCAAGTGTCTTCACTGACGATTGCAAGTGCACTGTCGCTTATCCAAGTGACCCATTAGCGTTTTATACCCTGTTTGTGAAAACCTGCCCCTCGACGCACCTCAGGGCGATTTTTGGTGGAATGTCTTCTTGTGAATTTCCCAATGAATCCCACCCAGAAACGCACGAGTGCGCGCACTTTTGAGTCAGGGAATCAAAAGGTGTGCGTGACTCATGACCTTTCAACCCATTCAAGACGCCAAGAAAAAATTCCTCCGAGACACTTTATTCCTTCCATGGGCGAAGATACAAACAATTCTGGATTAATTAAGATAATACAAAATAGCATGAATAAATTACGATCTTGTGCAGTTTTTCTCTGTAACGGAAATTCATTCGCCAAACCAAATTCTCATCATCATCATTTTCCATATTGCATGCTTCGAATGCAAATCTATTGCCAGAGAAAAATTGTCGCATTCTTGGCAGTTTAGTATTTATATGTAGCAAGATTAGTCACTATTAGTTATTCTTGTTTCCATTCATTTAATCTACGTGATTTACTAATTACGCATGAGTTTCCTGTTTCCATTTTATTATGTTTTCACTCTTTCTCTCCGCACTTCTTGTTTGCAAAAGTGCCCTTCCAATACCAGTGGCCATCGAGAGTGTGAATCACGCCGTGAGTCTTTCTCGCCTTAACCAGTAAAGATAAAGGGCAGTGGCGTAGTGAAGTTGAGAGGGAAACACTTGAAAAAGGCATGATTCAAGTAAAGAGGGATAAAATTCTGTTCTAAAATCACTTTTCTACTCTTCAATAGACTTTTTAGAGGAATTTCTCACTACGCCACTGGCAGAAAAAAAATTCATTATTCAATGGGAGTAATTGTTTTCCACAGCTGAAAAAACAACGGATTGAAATTTGAAATCATTCAAAAAAAGATTTCTTTTACCATTGCAAAGTGAGTGCAATTATTTTGCCATTCAAAGCCGCGTCGAGAAATAAACATTCCTTCCATTTGAGAAAAGTACGCGCGCGCGTCTTGCAAGAACATTTTCATGACAATATATGTGGAAAAATCCACATTTCAAATGGATCAGCAGCAAATTGTTTATTGTGTCATGTTTCACTATTAAATTCATTTTTCTCACAATCGCGAGAATAGCGCGTCATGGTATTGCATAAGTCGCCCACAGACGCAACATTGCTCCACCACTAATGGACTCTCGATGGGTGGCATGGGGCTTTCGGGAGCACTTGTCCAGGGAGCCGAGAGAGTGAGACATCAAGGTGAGCCTCCAGAGTGGATAGGTAATTGTCCCGAGGCCACCGTTGAGACACATGGCAAAATAAAAATGATCGGCGCTCGGATGATTCTATGGCAGACGCTCGCACACTTCACACTATATTAGTCTTGTGAGTCATTTTACACTGCTGCAGGAGTCTCTAGTGTCCTATCGACTAACCCTATCTCGTTATCACACCGCGTTTGAGGCACATGATTTCTTATCGCTTAGCTGGCCATTACGTGATCGGCCGCGGATCGTACGGCGTGGCGTTAAAGCCGACGTATCGGTTGTTCTTGCGGTGCACGAACCCTCGACCAGGAGCGGTGTTGTAGTACACCACTCGTCGGATACCGAACGGATCGATGTAGCCGTAGCTGCCGGTTCGGGTGTCTCCGCCTGAGTTCGTCTCCTCGTGATACTGCCTCGGCAAGTAGTACCTGAAGCCCTCGTCGGTCTTCAGCGTGACACCGTCGTAGCTGGGAAACTGAGGATCGTATCCGTTGCCAATGTAGTTAGGCGAGCTGTCTAGCTGATTGTGCTTGAGATTCGGGTGGTAGTACTGGAAGTTCAGAGGCCCGACGTACTTCCTGATGGGGAGGATGCTCTTGAGGGTTGTCGGGAGGAAGTCAGGTCTGGCTGACGAGGCTTCAATGGGTGGGAGATATGGTCTGAAGCCACCGTCAGGAGGACCGAGATCGTTCGAAGGAGGCAGGATAGGTCGTGGTGTGCTGGAGTAGAACACCCCAATCGGAGCCAGACTCGATGAAAAGTCCGGTCGTGGGGTTGAGGAGGGATGGTAGGTCACTGGCGGAACGTAGGTCGGATGCACCCGTGTCACAGGAGGGAAAATGGTGACGGGCGTTGTCGGATAGTCGGTTTCCGTCACGGGAGGAGCTAGAGTTGTGGAGGGTGTTCCGTACACAGGTTTCGAGGTGGTGGCTGGAAGGTAATCGTGCGTGGGCGTCGAGTGAGGTCGGTGAACCTCCTTGACTGGAGGTAGATAGTCGATGGGATCTCCGTGCGGACGGATGAAAACCGTATCGGGTTTCGGATAATCGTTTACGATCACATTTGATTGGATCGGAGGAGGAATGGTCGTTGTTGGAGTGGTGGAGTATATCTCCGTAAAGGTCTTCTTGCCCTCCACTCCTGGTGCCTTTTTGGCGATCTTGAGGGCGTCCTGGAAACGGAAATTTCGATTAAATCAAAACCTTAAACATACGATTTAAGGTGGGTCTACCTCAATTGAACTCTCACGCCCGACGTAGACTGTCGCAGACTTCAGGATCCTGTAGCCCTGATTGTCTGCGATGTAGTCTTTCTGCCTCAAGAACCCATGACCATCGATCCAAGCGTCCGTTCCTGGAACGCAGTACACAAGGTTGCAACACACATTTTTGCATGGTGATACTGACGATCTTACCAACTACTGTGCCGTCTTGCAGACGCTTCTCCTTGCGGTACTGGCCATTGTCGGTCTGATAGCGAAAGAATCGCTCCGGACCCTCGTCTGTCTGAATGTGATATTGACCACTGCCCGGCGTTCCCCAGGAAGCTTCACATATCGCCACAGAGACCTGCAACAAAAGATTCGGAGATTTTACACGTCCGGAAATCATTATAACTGAATAAATTCGAGTGTTTATTTGTCGAGACAAATAAACGCTCTTTTCCCAGGAAAACTCGCGAAAACTCCCTGAATATTCATGGAAGCGTCGTTGACTCCGAAGCTGGGAAGTTACGAAAGCAAACCGCCAGCAAAATAGACCATTTTGCCTTGAATGAAAATGAATCCATTGAAGTAAATGATGATCGTGGCTCATGTGTGAACTCATAGTAATATTATATTAACAATAATGGCAACAGTGAGTACCTGAAAGTGAAACTTTCCTCAATGGTAATTTAATTATATGAAAAATCTCGTGGCTCTTTTTTTTGCCATTCCATATTCGATGGTAAGCAGAAGTGAGAAGAAAAACTGGCGATAAAAGACATGATATAGTAAATTAACTTGCATTGAGCTTCCTGCAGGGTTTTTCTTGTCATTATGGTAAAGCGCGCTCGCGCGCGCGCCGATCTTGCTCTGGATTCACTTTCTCAACATTGGAATTCAGTGAAAATTGTCAGGTGTCGTCGTGAACTGATTAAGTCTGATGTCTGAGATTGACTTGAGTAGAGTGATGACATTATAAAAACGACTAACTGCCTCTTCACTGATATTAAACTGATTAAATTGCCACACTGAGAGCCCATTTCATCAATTTTCCCCTGAGAAATTTTCCCTAAACACTGAACAATATTACCTCACGACAGCGCATTTCTTCACGATCGGATCGAAAATGGGAAAAATCAATTAAAATCGACCATAGTGGGCAGAAATTGGTACGCCTTATCGTCCACAGTGGTCACAGAGATCATGAAAGTTATGCCACAGCATCGCAGCATTTCATTATGTGAAAGTGGAGCTGACCAAATTTGGAGATCCCTGAGCAAGTGTCTGAGCATCAACACTTCTGCAGAACCCTTTAGTAAACGGCACAAAAGTAGGTGAATCGCTGCATTATTTAACATCAATTTAATTGTGATGCGAAGCTCTTGGAGAAAAGTGAAAATCTCGCACTGCTGCGCGAGAGTCTATTGAACTTGAAAACCGGTACAAATAATTTCTCATTTTGATAAAACCTTAGTGCGCAATCTTCTTGAACATTCAATGGCACGTTCATGTCTATTTATCACATCAGAAGCACTTTCTTCGCAGCCTCTTCTGCACCTGGCGATGTTTTGATTTATGTCTGCCAGTAAATATCCGGTCTGTGATAAAGATCCATCGCAAAGAGTTCACACACACACACACACACACACACAGAATCGTGCACAAAAGGGCAGAGAGAAGTTTCTTACGTAATACAATTCGGTCTTTAAGATGCAGTAAATAATCTGAAAGACCCAATAGAGACTGATCGCGGACATAATATTTCCTTCTCGACTTCACCGAAAATATCCGCACAGCACAATTGACGGTAATGCGATTAAGTCAGAGTGCAAAAAGTCTACTTAATTACTCAACAGTCTGCTCCACAATAAACTGCGTAATGGTTCTGCTGCAGTGGCAAAGCCTCTGCAATCATTGATTGGAACTGCCATTTTTCACCTCTTTGTCCGCTAATTCTGCCAAATGGACTCAAATTACTAACCATAAAGCCAGAAAACATGAAAAGTGATGTTATTTTGAAATTAAAATTGGGTTGTAACTCGTGAAAAATTAGGAAAAGTTTGTGTTTCTTCCTATGTAATTAAAGAAAATGAATTTTTTGTGTTTGTTATTAATTTATTCCGCCCTTGTGAATTACTTTGTTGGTAGTTTGTGTACTTTATGGTCCAAGAGATAATGCTAAATTGCCTCAGATAACCTCTAATTATCTCATAAAGGGAGTTTATTGATTGGAAAGAATGAAAGTAAGAGGATGGAAAGTGTGTGAAAGTGAGAATTCTATTTTGTTGGAAATTTCTGTAGGAATTCCACCGGAACATTCCGAAGTAATCAGAACAAAATTCAAGAATTTCTGGAATTTCTTTCACCTTCCGGTCGATGAGGAAATTATGAATGTGTGTGAGTTTATTAAGGAAAATCCTATTATTATTTTAATCCTTTCTTAGAGGACAATTCCCAAGGATTTCAGAAAAATTTCCTTGAGGGTTTTTTTTATAGGGCGACTCTTGGGAAATCACAGATTTCTCCAAGTGTATTTCGCTCTCTTTAACGTGAGAAAAAGCGATTTGCGAAGCACTTCATTTGATTATCCTCTTCAGCTCGAAGTAATCAATTAAGTGATCATCTTACTAATGCTCACTTGACTAATGATGTCTGCAAAGCCATTTGAATGTACAAAATAATCACATAAATGACCACATAAATTGAGCGGAGAATTCAAATCGAGAGTAAATTGAATTTTATACCTTCACTGTGCGTTTACGATGCGAAGCCTCAATAAAAATCATTCATCACTTTCCACGCGGAGTCCCATTGAGAAGATCTCGCTTGGAGTCTTGTTTGCGAGATTATCAATGGGAAAAAGTGAAAATTCCCAAATCGCAAGATCAATAAATCTCTCAACCTTTCCACGCAGGCGCGCACGACTTCTCTCGTGCCATGATTGATACTTCGTGAGTATTTGGCGCGATCGATGGTGGTCGATGGACAAAGAGTGTTTGCTTGGCCAAAAAAAGGCGATCATATTCACTTAAATTAGCCTCACGTCTGAGGCGTGGTTGAGGGCGATCTCTGGTGTGCCAAAGGAAGATATTGTTATGCAACCTTTGCCTTTTCTCCGCTTCTTGTGCGCTCACACGTGCGCGAGATACAAGAAATAGAATTGGGCCACACTCTCGCATGAATTAAACAACGGAACTCTGTGTAAAAACGATCGTGACTCAAGATCTCTGGTAATTTCTTCTGCGGCTCTCCATGTTTTTCTTTTCCCTTTCGTGTGCTCGCGACAAAAATCCATTTGAGACGTCGCAATTATCGCACAGCTGCCGCAGAATTAGAAGCCATTAGCATTGGATTTAATTGTCCCAGGGAGACAATTAATTATCTCCGCACTCTTTGACTCTCAGTCAAAAAGTTACGTAAAATTGCAAGAATCTCAGCAATTCCACAGCGCGAACTCTACACGCTCGACTGTTTGTGCTTTACTAACCATGACCTTGTTACGCATTGAAGTTACAACAAAAGCAAATTTGTGATCCATCTGGTGGAAAAATGAAATCATCGCTTACACGACAACATTATTGATTGTTGCATAAAATTATTCACTTCACGTTTGCGGCCATTTGTAGGCCGCGCGCGCAGAAGAAAGAACACAATGTGGGTGAAGTGTTGCTCATTCGCGCCTCCAAACATCCTAACATTCCAGCGCCCAATTCTGTTCCTCACAGCTCGTACTTCTCATTGCCAAACGTGAGATTCACGTCGTACTTTCCCGCCTCGAAGATGTTGTGCGGCGTGAAGTCATACGGCACCGGCCACACGAGCTCGCTGTGATTGTAGTGCGGCGGAATGACGCCGAAGATCTCGGTTCCGTACTCGGTCACCGTGGGAAGGAAGCCGATGGCCAGGATGGCGTCCATCGAGGCCGCGCTGGGAATGAGCTCATTGTATGTGGAGGGCAGATAGAGCATGGAGATGGTGCTGTTGTCGTCCAAATCGTCGAAATTGATGTACTTGGCCAGCTCGTAGACGACTTTGAGGAAGGCCGCGGAGTTCTTGAGAGCATCTTCCGATCTCACTTCCTCCCGCACTTCATCAGCCACCGCATCCGGAGGATCTGCCAGGCGCCAGATGATCTTGTTGAAGATCCTCTGCCGACCAAAGAGAAGAGCCTTAGAATCCCATCAATCTCTCGCTCCGTGCAAATTCACCTGATTCGTGTTGTTGTAAATGAGCACAACTCGCGAAGTCTCATAGATTTCCGCTTCCTTCGCCGCCAAGCGCACCATATATCTGCCCAGGATTATCTCAGAGCCTTCTATCATCTGCACCGTGAACGTCTTGTAGATCAGCACGAGTCCTGTCAGCTTATCATCCGACGCATTCTTATTCACCTCATTCGAGAAGTCCACGTAAAAGTCCTTCACGTCAATAATGTCCTTTCCGGGAGCGTGTTTGGCCACGAAAATGATCCTCTGGAAGTATGTTTTCCTTCCTGCGCAGGACATATTGTCCCGGATGTGACTCAAGAGGGTTTTCCGGTGCTGCAGAGATGGATTGGAGCTTCCTTCGCCGCGGTTTCGACGAAGAGAACCATAGGACGAAAAACCTCTTGCAGACATTTTGCCAACAAACTGAGTTCCGTTGCCATAGATTCAGAGTTTGATTAAGAGGGAAAACCAAGGGAAGATAAGGTGGATGAAATTGTACAACACTTCTTGTCGTCCTTAAGGAAGTCCTTAATTAAAAACAGGGAAATCATCGGTTCTACAAGAATTTAACTTCATAAAATTTCTTTTCATATTAAGAATCATTTAAATTGTAGTTTAACTTGCCGTAAATGAGTTTCTAGCAAGGTTTCCAGCAATGTTTTGAGGTTAGATTATTCAGAAATTGAGGTTATGAACATATGAAATGAATAAATGAAGTTTCCTTTGGCAGAATGATTTCTTATTGCTAAAGATCTTTAGCAATAAGAAATCATTCTTCTGATATATTCAGCTTCATTTTTAAAGGATTATCTTCTCTTGATATCCCAAATTCTGTGATCATTTAGCAAAAGATGAATTTAAAACAATTTCTAGAATGTTTCCGCACTTCCATTAGATTGTACACCACTTCTAACAATAATATCCTTCCCTTGGAGGAAATAACTCTGTGAAAAATCATCGTTTTGGCTCTGTTTTGAGCATGATTAACAAACAATCTAGATTGGCTCAAGATTGACACAATAAATCACAGCTTTATTCGCAGTATTCCTGTCACGAATTTCCATGGGAATTCTCGTTGATCTCGTTTCTTTTATTGTGACCAATAATCACGGCAGTAACTTTGCATGGCGGTAAAAAATGCGTTTTCGCTCGAGCAGATCATGAAGTGTCCACAAGACTCCCACTCGCGCATTTGCCCGTACCATTTAGCCGACCAGATAAAATATGCCAAAGTCGCCTCCCAGAGACACTCGAAGGCTGTGCGAAGCTTTTGCAATCCACTTAATTGCTGGAGAGATCATTGAGGCACACTTTTTTCTGCCGCGTGATACATATTCCGATGATCGAAGAATTCCATCAGAGTGTGTTATGAAATTCCACTTTTAGGTTTGGATATTGAATTGAGACAAGATTGGAAGCGTGCGATTTTGTACATAAATTTGTACCTAAATTTTTCGGAATTAATCACACGGAGTCGCAATCTTCAGTGACTCCCGATTGAATTGAACACAAGAGCTCAACACGCGGATCTGCGAGTTCAATGAAATGCAAGATATTATGCGGACGTGAGTTTTGCATTAATTCACCACGAATCCCCCCAATTTTACATAATATTGGCGAAAAGTGAGAGTTTATCGGCACGGACAGAAGTCTCTTTTTCACACTATTTTGCACTATATTTATACGCGAGCAACTGAAGCGGAGCCCATTTTGCCACCATGAAGGTTAACACTTGCAGTGACATTCAATTATCAGTCTCTCTAATTGCTTGCATAAATTTCAGAGGTGCGAGAGACGTTTTTGCTTAATTGCTCTATTGGCAAAGAAATTGATGGGAGTTTTTGTCCGATTTCTCTACTTTCTTTGCGTCAATTTCTTCAATTGACATCTCTCGCCCTTAAGCGTCAACTTGGGCGGTTGGGATTAATTCTGATTCCAACATGCGTCATTAAAGATTACGACCTCTTGTTTGCATTTATACGATCTACACTCTCTCTCTCTATCACGCCTTCTCGCCCAAATGGTAAAGTTGATGGAATATGAATTGAATTTATGCGCGACTTCCCCTCAATTACACTTCTATCAATGCTTTTTATCGCCCCTCGATGATATCTCCGCCTCAATCTCTGGGTCATTTGGCCGTCAAATTACATTTCCCTGCTTCTTGGACAGTCAATTGCCGTGAAAATGTCCCTGAAGAAGCACTTCCATCGCGCTTGGCGCTTCTTTCTCAAGAACTACTTCGGCTACTTGCAGAGAGTTGACGCCGTGTCGAAGACTCACGGTGTGCAACACATCATGAACAATAGCCTGCATCCTTTTGAGAGGTGAGAAAGCGATTGTTCTGTGACAAACGTCGTAAGTGGGAACTTTGCAGGATCCTCTGGATTTTCATCGTCATCACGGCTTTCTGCGGCGCCATCGTGATCGCCAACATCCAGTTCACGCGATTCATGGCTAATCCCACCGTGATATCTCTGGAGAGGGATTATCACGACTGGAACGGAACGATGCCCGCCGTGACTTTCTGCTACGCAAATCGCCTGACGACAGAAGCTGTGGAGTTCTTCCTGGAGGAGAAGTTCAACGTCACGCCTTCGGATCAAGATTTCTTCTACTTTTATGAGTTTGTCGAGGCCGTCGTGAACATATCCATCCTCAATCTGAGAGCTCTCGATGAGTTTGCCTACGACGAACGCTTGCAGGTAAATTTCTTTATTATTCTTATTCATATTTCTCTCAAAAACTCATATTTAACCCTTGCAGGACACGAGTTTCCTGGAGATCACGCAGTTTGTCGTGCCCGTTTTTGAGCAGTACATCAGCAGTTTTGACAAGACCGTCCAGCTGGACGCAGTGCCGATCATCACGGAGAAAGGACTCTGCTATTCAGTGAATTCTCCTTTGTCGCATCTTCTCGCAGTGGAGCAGGATCATCGGATCCGGAAGCCGCTATCGTGCAAATTCTCCATCAGTCAGTGTTTCCTCAAGATCGACGTGTACGGATTTCAGCTTTCCTCTGTCTTTGTCCATTCGCCCTTCGAAGTTCCCCTGGCGGACACTTTGTCCTTCGCCATGGAGCCCACGGACGAGATCACGTCCACGTACAAGATCGTGGAGACGATCGCTGATGACTCTCTGCGCGAACTCTCCGTGAGGCAGCGCAAGTGTCTGTTTCAGGACGAGCAAATCCGCGGTTTGCCTTCATATTCAGTCAATCTCTGCCTCATGGAGTGTCGCGCCGCGGCGGCTCTGCACTTCTGCAGCTGCAAACCCTTCTTCTATCCCTTCATCGAGGGTCCTGTGTGTGGGATCGACGGGATTTTCTGCCTCAATCGCATCTCGTGGCCGGACAATGTCAAGAACTCGTGCAATTGTCCCAAGTCCTGTCGGGATCTGCTCTTCCTGCGTAACACCTTCAAGGTGGAGAACTGGGATGTGGGCGAGGAGGGAATTCCCTTCGCCCAGAAGTCCACTTTTCGCCTGGAAATCCTACCGCCGCGCATGAGACATCGCAGGGAAGTCCTATTCACCTTTGAGGACCTCCTCGTGTCTCTCGGCGCCGCCACGAGTCTCTTCCTGGGCATCAGCTTCTACAACATGCTCCACGGAGCCTTCGTGCACATTGAAATACTCTACGAGATCATCAGATGGTGTCGTGTAATGAGATGAAAGACATTTTGCGCGATGTAACTTCGCATCTATTGGACAAGAGATTTGCCCAAATTCGCGCAGAAAAAAAGCAGTTTGTTTACCAAAGGAGAAAGCATTTTCCCTTGGCAAGAAGAAAGATGTTTTGTTTGCATTTTACATAATTTGCTCTTGCTGTCTCTGTACAAATTCCATTCATCTGCTGAATTTCAAGAAGCTTGGGAATTCGCGGTGCATTTCTTGCAATTACATCGAGGAAATCTCTCGCGGGCAGCATTTCTTGGCAGACTTCCCATTAGGAAGTTTCTCATTAAGCACTTTGAAGTGCACGGCGAGCAAATAGCCATCAATTTGTCACTCAAGTCCGGTGGAATTCGCATGATTTTCCCCTGAGCTGACCAGTAATTTGCCAGCCCATTAGTCGCGCGCGCGCGCATCGTTTTAATTTTTCAATCAACTTGTGGGCAGATTCTGACGGTAAAAATCCATCTCAAATGATCACTTTTTCTGCCATCCACTTTCACTATCAATGCCGTTTTGTATTTTCATCTCTTTCTCAGCTTGCGCCTCAAGATCACGAGGCGCGATTTGGAAGTTGTTTCTTCGGCAATCTGGGGCGCTCTTTTTCTCCTCATTGTCTGCCCGCGAGCCATCGATCTCCGCCAGAGCTCAAATTGATTTTCCACTCACCCAATTAAACTCATATCGCCGCATGGGAGAAAAGCTGCCAATGCTCCAGTTGCCAGCTGGGAGGAAAGTTAGACTATTTGGTTATTAAGTCTCTGGGCGTCGATAACAGATCTCATTTTCACACATCTCATGTGGGAAATGTCCTCGAGCCATTGTGGTGCTTTTTGTGCACTATCATCGGAGCCTCTTTCACCAAACAAATCGACCATTGTTGGCGACATTGTGTGCAAAAGCATGGGATGAAAGTCTTTCGCCAAATCGCGCGCTCGTGCATATTTTTGTTGTCTTTTTCGCGACGAGTTTCGTGTGTGGTCAACGCGTTATTCTTCATCATCGTCAATCGACAAAGCTCGTGTGGAGCGACACAAAAAAGCATTAATTAAGCGCTCTTTGTATTATGCAAGATTTAAATATTTCCCCTCTTCACGCCTTTTTGTAACACAATGCAATTGTCTTGGCCAGGAAAGGAATAGAAGCGAGTGTGTAATTTGCTTGGATTTGTGTTAAGGTGCACCCAATAGAATGCGCGCCTTTTCAATGGATCTCCCGCGCGCGCATTCGGTAATTAATTTGTGACGTGAGAATTCTCAATCTCAACCATGTCGAATTTATTTTAACCTCATAAAAATTCTCTTCATTGCCTTTTGGGCGAATCATTTTGGGCGGGGAGGAAAATTTCCTGGGCGCCTTGCAAAATATGCGCTGAGACACATTTCACAAGAGCAGAACCTTGCTCAATTGATGAGTTAATCAGTCCCATTAGAGCCAGAGCTAATCGATTTGCTCAGAAGCTTGACTTTCAAGCTCAGAAACGCTGCCATGAAATATGATCTCAAACCTTCTCTTACGCGATTGCGCATGAAGAACGAGTCGTTTTCCATCTGCTGGAGTTTCTCAAGTATAAAACATTCTATATGCAAAAGTGGGTGGACAACTTTGGCAATTCGGGCAACTCTTGAGAGTCTCGAGAGGAACAAGCGCGCTTATCTTATTGCCATTTGCCATGCAACCCAGTGAATTGTCGCTGGCAGAAGGTAAAAGTTGTCTGAAAGTGTCACTGATGGTGAAGAATTCTTCGGCGAAAGTTAATTGGGCGCAATATTGCCACAGGATTATTGCGTTCATGAGCTTGTCAGTCAGTTTGGAATGCACCGGAAGGTGAGAATAAAAAAAGCACATAAATTCCACGTGAGTGAATCAATAAAAATCCACTTTTACTTTTATCACTGCAGCCGGTGTGTTATTGATTTACCCAATGGAAATAACACTCACCACAAAAAGCCCAAGAAAAATCCACTTGTCCATGTTTTGCAGCTCAATTTAGCCAATCTTCCCTGAGACAATGAGGCTCAATGAACGTCTTTTTCTTCACGTTTTTCCTCAATGCGACACTCTAAATTAATTTCACACAGAGATTTGCATAGAAATCATCTCTCATTATGCTGTGTTTTCCGCCATATCTTCTTTTTTCGGCGAAACAACAACACAAATATGATTTAGTGCAGTTTCCGGAATTGTTTCACTGCGTGCGGCGCGATTTAATATGCGAAGAATGTGTGAGAAACACAATGGAATCACTTGGTCATAAATAACCACATAATTTGGCGATTTAATAAATTGAGCAGCTCTTGAACAACACTCACGATCTCCAGTGAAATTCGCGACCACGTCCGCATGCGAGGCTGACTCTTGTACCACTAAAGCCTGCACTCGAGAGACTCTCACAGCCACCGCGAGACATTTTTCCCACCCAATTCCGCGCTTTTTCCTCTCCTGCACTCGCGCTTTGGTGGAGTTTTTGCCCACGAGCGCGCGACTCTCTTGCCAAATGACTTGTGGGTGAACAACACTTCGGGAAACGCGAGATGAATTGCCTCTTGCCAATTTCGTGATCCGCGTCATTTGTTGCCAATTTCTGATCCTCCCTCAGGCGACAAAATCCCCCAAAAAATCACCCAAATTCTCACCTATTCGCACAGCTAGAAGATCGAAAGTGTCACAAGATATGAAATTCCCTCGAGAAACACCACAAAGAAGAGTGACTCAGAGATCGTGGTTTGCAATGCGTGGAGTGTTTGAAGCAATGGATCTTTCAAAGACTCATTTTCATGATCAGTCGATGCTTTCATTGCCGCACTTCCATTTACACGCTCAATGGAACAACAGACCACGAAGTACAGCTGAGGAGTGAAGAATACAAATTATTCTGTTGAGTAAATTACGCAAATAATCGCTACTTGTATGGGAAAATGTGTATAAAACCAATTGATTATTGGAAGATTAAGTTTGTGAACTTTTCTATACAATATTGATTAAGTGAACTGTCTAAATGTCCATGAAAACCGCTCTTAACCCTAACAAGGATTTTCTAAATGATTTCGCTGTGATATTTCTGTTATTCTTCAAGGTTTCTTTATGTTTTAAAGGTGATTTGTGGCATTTCAATCGCAAAGTGCTCAATAAAATGCTCTTTGAAGCTCAATTTTGAGCAAAAGTTAGGAACAATGATAAAATAATTGTTAATATGATCTGAAAATATACAAATTTATGTTGATATTTAACTTATTGATTGTTTGCAACCGCTTCTGAATTGGAAGCTTTCTTCTCAGCAAAATTTAGCTAAAAAATATGCTTTTCCGCATATTGTGTTCATTGAGAAGCATTTTTGATTGAAATTTCCTACTTATGCTGTTTATTACATTTCCATATTGATCATTGCAGAAAATGAGCAGCCAATAACTCATTTTGATATCCGCAACGATTGAGGTTTTATTGCAGAATCAATTAAACTCGCCTCTCACGTGACTATCGCCAAACACTATCAGCTGTACCCGAAGCCAAATCTCATTTGTATGTAAAACAGTGGCTGGAAACATGAAAATCTGTCTTTGCTGGGAACAATTGAAGGTTAATTCTCATCATTTTGAGCGGTGTATGAATAATTCACATCCGGAACTTATTAGGTAAACAGCAAGAAGTGCTCAAATGGCACAAATTCACTTTGAAAATTGCACTGATTGTGTGACAATGCGAGACTATTGTCTCTCTGCACACCTCCGTGTTGTTTGGCGCCGAACGCGCAGCTCTTTTCCATCAGAATTCCAGCTTCTTTTTCATGTGGAATTGAAAATTCCCTCCCACGTGGCGACCACGCAATTGTTCTCGCACTTGGCAAAATCAATTTCTGTGTATTTTATTCCTTTGCCAATGAGTTCTTCGCCGGTTGGCAGCTGATTTCCTGGTTTTAGTGTGGGCAAATCAACATCTGCAGAAGGCAAAACTCGTGTGTCTCTGTTAATCAAGCTAATATCCTGTAATTAGTCGAAGTGGGCAAAAAGTCGCTTCTCTATTGATTCACATTTTAGTGGTCAATTAATTTGCAATGTTGGATGATTGTCTGCACGTTTGTGGATTAATATACGCAATGGCAGATAAATATTGAGAGCCTTTCAATTGGAACGTGGGAGTTCTCGGTCACCTTATTGGGAAATTCTACATGTGATATTTCTTTTTGATCTCTCTCTTAGCAAGATCTTGGCTTGTTTGTGTCTCCTCAGTAATTTGAGACACTTTAGAGTGATGGTTTATTTTTCACGGCGACTTATAAATTAATTCTTGCCTCCAATAGACCAAGGAATGAGAAAGGCAAATAAGACCAGCTTCGGCGGATATTAGCTCTGGCCAGTGTTGGTGTTCTGCCGCGAAATTTATTGCTCCTCCTCTTTGGCAATTTTCTCTGGAGATTTTTATTGATTTTGCCCATTTTTGCCAGCTGAAAAGAGCATATTTTGCCATCGGTCGATGACACTGAACAAAACATTTTGCTTGATACAATAACATTTCAAAATTCCCTGAATGTGCGCCCAAACAAGGGCAATCTTGATCGTCGTAAAATGCATCCCGGGAACAATCTTAATCACCGTGACTTGAGGATTGAAAAGAAATGTGTGTGTTGGCGAAAAGAGTGCACAAACTGCGACTTCTTCTGCTTAGGAATTCCATCGCCATGTCCATGGAAAGCCAGAGTGCAAGTTCAAATCATTTTCTGAATTGCTAACAAGGCTCGAGACTCGTTATGAATTCGTCGCTGAATTGTTCCTGACCTACGCAACTCTCTCATGATGAGCAAATCCCGATATAACAATTGTCTGCAATCGCGATAAATCCGTCCTCAGCAATGTCACGGTTGTTCTTACCTTCAGCACATCTCGGCAGACCACAAATATTACTGTCACATCAGCAATTTTGCTCCACTGCGAATATGTGGGAGTGCAAATTTATTACAAACTCTTATGTGGGATTTCGAGCGTTATCTGCGCTGTTCCTCAATTCTTTCACACAAACAGACAATTTCTTATATTTTGAGGAATGACGCTATTTTGCTTATTTTCCGCACAGTATTTTCGCTAGCAATTTGATCAATTTGGGGGTGTTTTTGTCCATGCAAAATGCCAGACACTCAAGAGGAAGGTCACTAGTAATTTTTTGGGTGGAAGATAAACACTTTCCGTTACACTTCAAATTCAATTTATACATTCAAACCGAAAAACGCATCTTTTCTCCCCTTTTCGCTGGCTAATAATTACAAGTAGAACCACTTGAATTCGTATCCTTTTAGTCCCGCTTCCTTCTCCGTCTCTTCCCTGGGCGTTTCCTCTTCCGGCACCTTCTCCAGCTTGAACTTGGGTTGATAGCCAAACTGATTGGCTCGGTATTCTGTGCTCCTGCGGTAGCCATCCCTGTCCACGAAGTAGTATTCACCTTCCTTGTTGCCCTCGCGATCGCCCTGAAAGACAGCCCGTCAGAGGCGCTTAAGATGCGGAATAAGAGATCTCTCACCTGCTCGTTGTGTCCGTGGTAGCCAGCGGTGTAGTTGAAGAGATAGAGGAGACCCTGCAGCATTTGCTCCATGTCTGCGTCGCTGTCTCCACTGTCTGGTGATGTTCTCGGCTGCGGCGAGTAGTATTGCTGCTCTTCAGGCTGCTTTCGCGGTACTTCCACGCCTTTGAATCGCGCCATAACGCTCTCGATGGGCATGTCTTCGGGTGAAGCACCGTCGACTTTGACCTCCGGTGTCAAAGTCGCGGGGAAATCGTCAGCCAGGGATCTTCCCTCGGGCAGTGCATTCACGGCTGAGGAGTAGTCCTCCTTGGCCGGCTGCTGAGCTGGCTGGGATGTGGCCAGAGGCGGAGAGAGATCAGAGCTTGGCGGAATGTCCTGATCCTGATTCTGGTCTTGCCCTTGTCCTGCGTCAAAGGAGTTCTCGTCCATCAGGTTGAGATTGGAAGGACCAAGGGAAGGAGCTTGATTTGGAACTTGAGGACTCATTGACTGGAAATTTCCCATCAGGTTGAGATTGGAAGGACCAAGGGAGGGAGCTTGACTTGGAACTTGAGGATTCGTTGACTGGAATCTTCCCATCACACTCATGAGCGGTGGCATTTGAGGCGGCACAGAGGATCTGCCCAAATTGGGGCTGAAGGAGGGACTCAAGGGTTGATTTTGAGGTTGAACAGCAGGCGCTGGAGGCTCTGGAATCTTGCAGTTGGAGCAGGATTTGATGTCACTGGCCTTTGGGGTTGTCAAATCCAGCATCACTTCCAGTTCCCTCGCTGGCGCCGCTGTCGAGTGGATCACAAAGGGTTGTGGCGTCGTCGTGATGTCCAAAGTGTCCAAATCAAGCTGACGCGGCTGCGGACTCGAGGATTCAAAGTTGGATCTCATCGTGGCGATTGCAGAGGCGATGTTCTTGGCCACTGAAAGGAATGACAACTCTTAGGCAAACAGACACTCAATTTGGCGGTTCGAGGAGCTCACTTGGTTCGCTCATCAGCCGAATGTTCTTCATGGAGATGATCTTAAAGTGTCCGTCGGCGTCTGTGGCGTAAACGGTGACGTGATAGACGTTATCAGCTGTGATGAAGCCGAACTCGCCCATGATGATGCCGTTCTCGTCCTTCTTCTCGTGCCGGTGCTGATTTCCCTCGATGTTGAAACCGAACTCATAAGGTCTGTTCTCCCCGTCGTAGTACTTCGAGGCGGCGCTCACCAGTGCCAGTGATGAAATCTTCGGAAAAAAGCGCGGACATAAGAAAGACTTCACTGAGTGATGTTGACATGCGAGGGATCAAAAGGTCGCATCGAAAAATGCGTAATTGTTTCACCTGAAATGGTGAATTAGCATCATAATGTCCCCATTTCCCGCATAAAAACACACACACGAAATATTCAAATGAGTGATAAGCGCGATGTTGAGTGCATTGAGAATATTGTCGGTGCTATTTGTGAAAATAATGATCATCAAGTACTTGAGAGCCTTGACAAAATAGCGTCATCGAGCGATTGTTGATGTTCTTGTACGATTGATGGGCGCACAAAAAGCCATGTAAGTTGTGGAAAAGCACAAATAGAAGAAACTCTATCCGGGAAATCTTCTTCCGACAAGTGGACAAAAGGCACTCGAGGCCCAAAGATGGGCAAAACAATGGGAAAGTCGTTGAAATGCCTCATTTACAAAAGTACACAAACATTTAATCGCATGATAATTGGCGAGAAAAACAGATTCTTTTGACGAAATTTAGTACCTCTTAAAAATTCATTGACGACTCCACAAGGTCGGTGATAATTTGTCTTGCGGAACTCGCAGAATCAATTAAGAGATGGTTTTATCTCGTGTTTATCATCTTATCAGTTCTCACGGCGAGCAGTTATTTATAGCTTGTGAGATCGCTTGAGAAAATTGAAGAAATTGAACATGATCGTCAGTCGCAAAATACTTATCGGGCATTTAGAACACTTAGATCACTTTCGCATCGACCCAGAGATGCAAATTGCTGTTGATTGTAGAATTCTCAAAACTCGCAATTGCTTCTGTTCTTCACTTCCCAACTCTGGACGCTAATTTGCGAACAGATGATTTGACGAAGAATTTCGCACAGAAGTTGGCTAATTTCATATCTATTATTATAATTACGAAGAAATTAGTCAGACAACAAGCGTCAAAGAGTGTGTCACAGACCAAACATTGCAGACCAAAAAGCTCTTCCGCATTTTTTCGCACGCAAAATCTGTTGATTCGCCAAATTAAGAGAAACCAAAATACGCTTGCAAGCCAGACGGGAAAGGTTGAGTGGGCGTGAAGGGTTGATTGTGAAATGTTTCTCATTTTGTGGATGATTCGGAGGTGAAAATGCAGATCTTCACTGAACATACATACAATTGAGTTGATGTTTCGGACAATGGCACAATGCAAGGTGCATCCGCCCGTTCAATCATTGGAAAAAATGCTACGGAGAAAATTTGCAATTAATGCTATGAAAACATATGCTAATTGCATTTTGTGAGGCTTTTTCTCCGTTCTTAATCCACTTTTTTCTGGCCATGCACACGATGCGTAAAGGATTTATCCCCACTTACAAATATGATGCACTTGAGCATTTTTCTCCTCCTTTCTTGAGCTGCTCACAATTTTCACAATTTAATATCACAGAACAAACAAACACGCACAAAACGGCTAAAATCACTGGCCAATAAATCACACGCAATTGATGCAACTCTGAGTATTCTTGTTGATCTTCCAGGTGGAATTGGTGTCAATCGGCTCTGGGTGAAAATCGAAGCCCACAACTCGGAGGCTCTCAGCAGAATGCCGAACTGACCATTCAAATTTTCTATTTATTAGCAATTACTCTTCCCAGCATTGGCAACATGTACGAGAAGATGAGCGCAGAACACATTCATCTCCATGTCTTCCACCACCATTGGCTTTTCCTTCCTCAGCGCGCGCGCTGGTGTTTGGAAAGAAAATACCAACATGGTCAATTTTCTCAAATCACACCGCACAATCTCGCGGTGTTTTATGACGATTTTTAGCATAAATGTGCTTTAGAAATAAATCTCTGCATGCGATTTATTCGTCGTTTCATAAATCACTCGTGACAGGATATCATCACTTGAGGACCATGAAAAGTACACTCGCGAGCTTTCAATGGTGAAGGAATGCCTTTATTTATAAGTTATGAACTCACGTGAAAGATCACTGGTGCAAATTAAATGTGTGGCGAAGAAAGTAACGTCTAAAATGTTTAAATAGAGTTCCGCGCCTGATTGTGGGCAAATTAACTATGATTTGCCGTAGGAGAAATCGATGAGTTGTGGATTTATGTACATAGCGTGCTATGTATGTACATAACAGTGTTGAATTTCACTTTCAGGCATGAGTGTCATACAAATTGGGGTGGTTTTGAGACGCTGCAGCAAAATGCATACATTTTGAGAGCACTTTTCCAACACAATACCCAGTAATAAAACTCCGAATATATGATTACATTATGTATTTGATGTGCACGCATATACATTAATTCCATATTGACGCTGATGATGATGAAACAGCCGAAGAAGCCGCTCGAGTGACTATTGTGCCAAAAACCTTTAAAGCTCACCCATAATACTGTGTCAAATCGCCAAAACAGAGGACTCTGAATAATTCATAGATCAATCAATTTTCGCCTCTTGCATATCTTATTTCCTAATATCGCACCGTCGTCTCGTGATCATGATCATCACCCACCAATCCGGTTGGTGAAATTATGCTGTGGAAAAGGATGTGCCGAAGGAAAGCGACCCTTGGCATTTCGGTCAAGGTGTCTCAATGTCTTTTGTCGTGATGATTTACGATCTTGCTGACAAGATGAATGTAAATTAAGCATTTTAATTCTCTCAAGCAATGAAAGGATTCTTCGCCGTTTTCTTCTGGAGGCTAGAAAGGACGCCAAGATGGCGGTGGACTTCATCTGCATTCAATCAAAATTTTGTATTTTTTGTCAACAAACCAACTCTTTTATTAAAAATCTAACTTTACAAGAGAGCTTTGATGATTTCTGTAGGTTTTGTTCGTTTGAGACAGTTTATGGCACATTTTTCGAACACATATCATCAACAGGAGGGGAATTTTGTGGATCAGAAGCATAACAATATATTACAAACTGGGATGGAAGTGTGGATTTGCTGGGTAGATCTGAGGGAGGTTCTTAGGCGGTTGGCACGTGGGCGCCATCGGCACGGAAACCGTTCTCATCGGCGACCCAGTTGATTGTGTAGGTCACTCCGTCCTCGCCGACGAAGCTGAAGCTTCCCTGGGACACAACAGCGTTCGTCTCGGGACCGAAGTTCTTCAGTTCACCCTGAGCATAGGCACTCTGTCCGTCGCTGGTCTCGTATCTGCAAAGCGATGCCGGTTATCATTTTTTTGTGTTCTTGAGGGATGCAAACTGCACAACTTACGCGTATTTGTATCCATCGAGTCCGATGTTGTCGTTCTCGTAGCGCCTGCGGGGAGAGAAGCAGAGATTTAGCGGTCAGGGAATAGGATAATCCGTAGAGGCCAATTACAGGACTGTGGCATCCTTGGAGGGGTCATAGGGCTTGGCGAGGGCGAGAGCCACAACGGCAGCGAACACAATAATCACTTTCATGTTGATTTGGGCAGTGGGTTTTAGAGCTACACTCAAGGAGTTGATTGGCTGAAGTTCGACACTACAACTGGTGTTGGGGTGATGTGCCATCTCCCCTTATATAGCCCCCGAAAGCAACCACTTTCAATCCAGTTTCTTATGTCATTCGCGCGATATTAAACAATCTCTATTCCGATTCCCGAACTAACATGACAAATCTCACAAACGCCACTCTTTTTTTCTCAGCCATGGGGATTTTCATCATTGACTCGTCTTCCTCTCGGCCATGTGTCTCGAAATATATTGACCAGAACAGATAATTAAGCAAAACTCGTCTCGAGCGAGATGTCTTGCGTTGGGTGTCGTCTGTAAAGGTCGCCACCGTTGCCAGATATCGCGGTTCATAAGGCGAGATATTAATTTTTCTGATATATAAATCCGTCAGCCCGATGCGCCTCATGGGATATTAACGCCAACACGTAACATTAAGCCACGCATTATATACTGGACAGAGAGATGCTCAAGAATTGCGGGAGATATTGCTTCGCGAAGTGGCCAAAAAAGATGCACGCGCGACTTTTAGCAATCCAACACATGGTCACGGCTTTGCATCACTGCTTCCAGCATTCCTCGGTGGCTTTTTGGGCTTTTCCTAGTCCAAAAGCTCTCTTCTCGTCAATCAATTCGTGCCACCCACTGTTCGACATTTTATTAATTGCGTGCGTAATTTTAATTGAAAACATCATGTCACAGCAAATAAATGGTGAAGATGTTGAACATTGACGGCATCAACTCCATAAGGAGCGTCTTAAAGTCCAAAAAACTGCCTCTTTATTGGCGCATAAAATTCTTGTAATGTTCCATCGCACGGGTGAAAAATTGAAAGAGCGTTTTTTCATGTGTCATTAGCCAGTCAAGAAATAACTTATGCAAATTGAAATGAACGCTCAGCCATGGAAGATCATGATTTTAATTACTCCACTTTTAAACGCATGCTTTTTGTCGATGGCCTCTTTGGCCTGAATCCTTGAGATCCTAACATGGCGATGTGTAAGAACATTCATTCATTTTCTGCTGAATCGCGGGTGAATCTTTTGGATTATTTTTAGTCAATCCGCGTTAGAAACTAGTATCAACTCGAGGTCGGCCTGAATCTTCTTCCTGAGACAAGAATGAAGTCTGTGAAAAAATTAATTGCCATTTTGCGATATTCCGAATTTACATAAGATGGCATTTTTTGCTCTCTGTCGAGCATAAAATTCACGATGACACTGATCCAGTGATGTTGGGATCAAGAAGATGCCAATTTGTCGATTATAATGTTCTCGGTAGCGAGAGACAAAGAAGCTGTTTATAGGCTCATGTATGTGATAACAATCGCAAGACAGTGATTTCCTTCGCGCTAATGAGACTCATAAAATAGTCACCTAGAGAAGGAGCCGCGATCTTTGCTAACGTGGTTAGAGGGAAGAAAAAATGTCAAAGTCACAAGAAGTCCAAACATGATGGAATGCGAAATGAGGCAGAAGAAGTGGCTGGAATTTTGCCATTCAACATTGCATCTATGTGAGAATCTTCATACAAATTTACACCTAGCATCGCTATTTACTCATCAAGTTTTCGATTTCGACAATTAGGACTCAAAATTTCAGGAAAGATCGCAATCTATTTGAAATATTCTTCTGAAATAGTGCTTTGATAAGAATGACCCAGCTTGACCTAGTCTTGAACAAGACTAGGAATTAGATTTTGCGTAAATCAAAAGTCTGGGCTTTAATAATGAAAAGCCCTAAAATAGTATTTCTTGCCATTAAATAACATTTAAACTTTTCAAATTTCAAGATATTATAATGTTTTGAAGACAAATTTTTCTATAAAGGCTTTGAAACCAAAAATATGCAAATTATTCTTATTAAATTTCGGTTTGAGTTTTATTTCAAAAAAATACTTCATTTTATAGATAATATTAATATTACTTTTTCCAATTTTTGCCTTCATCTTGAAACAGAATATAGAAAATTGATGAAATCTTTCTTAGATTTCAGCGAAGATTCAGTTTCTTCCTCGCGAGCGCTCGACTGCGCACCGGCAATGAATGAAATCGAAAGTTCTCGCGCTGTTTGCATATGGGTTCGGAGCTCTGAGGCAATGATGGAATTTAACACTATCGTGCAGAAGCGGCAGCATTGAGAAGGTCGCGACGCTCATCGTCTCTTCCAGAGGCGATACCAATCTGGAGTGATTGATACGCTCGGCTGTGTGCGGCTGTTTCGGTGTCTCTAGGCGGAATCGCAGCTGGAAATCCACGTCAAGTCTCTCCCCTTTGGCGCGCTGGCATTCCGCCAAGTGTGCGCTCATCGGCGTTGCGCAATTTGAACTCATCCTCGCCGGGGCTGGATGACCTACAACCGCCAGATTCCACCGCCGCCAAAGAGGGGGCTCGCGAACACCACCACTCGCGCGTGAGCGTGTGTGCGCGGATGCATGGTCTCTTTTTTCCGCGAGCCTCGCTGGCTGGGGAAGTGACGGTGGATCGCACTTTCATCTGCACATGCTGTAGTGGATGATGAGTATATAAAGAGGCTGCCGAGGATGAATTGTCATCAATAGTTACCTCGTGCTCTTGCTGCAGTGATCACAGGAATTCTTTATACCAAAAACACAACACAGTCAACATGAAGGCCATCCTTGTTCTTGCCGTTCTCGTCGCTGTCGCTCTTGCCGCTCCTCTGGATGATTCCCGCAATGCTCAGATTCTGTACGCATCGCACATTATCAGCTGATCCCAGAACCTAACAAAATCTTTTCCCTTCCACAGCCGCTATGAGAACGACAACATTGGTGTCGATGGATACAAATTCGCGTAAGGATTACGATTTTGGCAAACAGTGATTGAGGACTAATTCAAGATCTCTTGCAGCTACGAGACCAGCGACGGCGTGGCTCGCCAGGAGGAGGCTCAGCTGAAGAACATCGGAACCGAGCAGGAAGCCATCGTGGTGCGAGGAACCGTGTCCTGGGTCGGTCCTGACGGCGTCACCTACAAGCTCGACTACATTGCTGATGAGAACGGATTCCAGCCTCAGGGCGACCATTTGCCTAAAGCCTAAACTGCCCCAAATCTAGTTTGTACGAAATATTCTTCCACTAAGGCCAATAAACACTATTTAAAAAGGAAAAGTTCTACCCATAGACTTATCGATTTTAGCCACAGGGAATGGTTTTAGGTCCAAAAATATTCCGCTGATCTAAAAATATCGGATATTTTAATGAGGATGGCAATAATTCAAGCTATGCATCACATTTGCAAAATGTTAGAATACATTTGAATAAATTGTGGCTTCTTGACATTCAGTGCGGCGTTGGGAGAAAATCAGGCAAATTAGATTCAAGATTCTCAGGCCTTTTTTTCCGATGGTATTTGTGAAGTGATTTGAGGAAGGTCGTGATGAAAAAGACATTTTAGGCGCATTGCAAGCCAAAATCAATTACGATCCGAAGCAAGGTTTTGCTCAGGCATCAGTAATTAAGATTTTATCCTAAACCCCTAGTGTGACACGCGCTTGATTTTCCTCTTTGCGAACGGGTTTTCATATCGCACTCATGCGCTGATGATCAAATGCCATAAAGCTAAGGAAGATTAATCGCGTTTCTCATATATTCTGCGTCCAATAAAGCCATTGAAATTGACTAATAAAGCCAAATCAGACCGTTTTTAGGATCTTCTCTTCGAAATACCATCAAATTGTGACGATATTGTTGGCCATCTTCAGCTCTGGAGTTTGCGGCCAGCGTACGTGCAATCTCTTATATTTTTTAGCGCCAATTTATTTACATTTGATTCACACACATTCAATATATGGCGTGGCACTTGTTTGATGAGGTAAAAATTACATTGACAGTGTGGAAATTTTGAAACTGAAAGTGTCAACAGAAAAGCGATGCGCTGGAATTAATGAGGTGTGATTTTGATATGGCAAAAAAAATCCCTTCACAGCTGAAATTTCTGCAAATTAATGCGGAAGAGCGCATTTGTCATATTCAGCACCGCACAGAAATTTGCATGACACAATATTTGATCTTCTACGGTCAGATGACATTCTAATGCCGCCTGTGTGAAAAATTCCTGAATTGCGCAAGAAACTTCTTCTGCGCCCGAATAACTCGGCAAACACAGTGGAAAATTGGATCTTCGCATTGCAAAAGCGCACACACATATTCTCGTCAAATAAGATTATGTAAAAAAAAACAGTGACTCTCAAATCTTTCTCTCACACCTCATCTCGAAAGTTATGCTTCTTCACTCTTTCCCTCCACTCGCGATTGCACAATTGATTTCAAGGGCGACCGCCAATAGATCAATCGCTTTAAATGGAACTAAATTATACGAGTTGAGAGAAAAAGTGTGTATCTATGAAATGCTAATATATGCATATATATTTGGGAATTGACTTTTCGACATCACACCTCATCGTTGCATGCGAAAGAGATGCTATCGCGGGCTTTTGGTGTCAATCGAAAGATCATAAAGACGATGGATGGGACAGAGAAAGACGGCAGATTGTTTGATTTTTGCTATTGATGCATCTTCTTCTTTTCCTTACAAAAAAGACTATTTTATTACATTTGTTTTCTCCCTTTTTTGGCTCGAAGCAGCACTTTTATAAAAACTGCTGCTCGACCACTGCGTGAAAGGTTGTTGTCTTGAAGGTATTTACAAAGAGGTTGAGGGAATTCTTCACCCATTCCTGGGGATTAAGCTATCTTGTGTGACTGTTGGATGCGGATTTTTGGCAGTGAAGAGCTGCAGAAGGTGAACTTCTTAGGCCACTGGAAGGTGAGCTCCCTGAGGTTGGAAACCGTTCTCGTCGGCGACGTAGTTCACCACATAGGTGACGCCATCAGGGCCAACGTAGGAGAAGGATCCACGCACCACAAGGGCCTCGTGCTCGGTTCCCACGTTCTTCAGCTGAGCCTCCTCCTGCTGGGCGAGTCCGTTGCTGGTCTCGTAGCTGAAAGAGCCAGAGAAGAAGGCACTCAAAATCACACTCATTCACTATATCTGCACTGCGTGATCCTTACGCGAATCTGTATCCATCAACACCAATGTTGTCGCTCTCGTAGCGGCTGCAGGAGAAAAGAAAGCCTTCAGTATTCCCGCCATGTGGCCCAATATCCTTTGCTATACTCACAGGACGACGGCGTTCCTGTCAGCATCGACCTGACGAGGAGGAGCAGCAAGGGCGACGCCAACGAGGAGGGCAAGAGCGATGATGGCCTTCATGGTTCTGTTGTGGTTTTTGGGATGTTGTGACTGAACAAACACTCAACACTTTCTGATACATCTTCGCCATGGTGATGGTCTTTTTATACGAGTCCAAATCTATCTCAGGCGGATTGTGAAATGATATCGTGAATATTTTATAAATCATTAAAATCTATATGGTGCGTTGCGGTCTCACCTGCTACGGCTACCTCTCATGATGCCGCAAACCATTGTCTAAAGCCCCCAACCTTCATCTCGACCATATCACATCATCCTCACACTGTAACATCGCGATCGGTGGCCAATTTCTTACGCGTCTGCCAATCAGAGCACCTGTGCGTCGTAAAAGTGCGTCTACTTTGGCTCACTGAGATCAAACTGTCATTATTAGACATTTGACAGACTTGTAATTGAATTGGGCTTTTTAAGAATGTTCTAAAGATGATTTTAAATCAATTCAAGCTTCTGAATAACAATGGACATCTGGCTGAAACTGCCTTGCTTTAGAAATGTTTCTCAAAATTCATGAACCTCTTTGGGTTTAGCCATAAATTAACTTTACGCAAAATCTGGATTTTCAGTGAAGAATTCTGTTTGACAAAAAAGAGTGGCGAAAAATTTGATTTTTATTTTGAAAACGCAAATATCAAAGTAATTTAATTTACAAGAGCAGCAAAATCTTGATGAAGTTTCGTCTAAAATCGGAAGGTAAAGGCTTTATTAGAGATTGAAAACACGAATTGACCCACAAAATAGATTAAAATAGAAAAAAAAAACAGAAAATACATATTTTCTTGATATCATAGAAAATCCCAAGGAAAATCCCTTAAGGGCTCTATTATATAGTACAGTTAGAAGATGATAAAGATCTTAAAAGGAAAAGTAAGCAACCTTCGGAATGATCTTGAGATTCCACAGAAATCTCTGTATTTTTTGGCATTTTGATCTCGAGATAAGATCAGCCAATTAAGATGACAATAGTCAACTTCAGATAAGCCAGCAATTGCTCTGAATTTTCTACGCCAATCGTGCAAAACGTAGAAAAGCTCATCAAGCACGCAACTCAATATGTGATTGGTGAGTGAGAGAGAGAGAGAGATTTTGGAAGATCAAGGAACGTCTCGATGGTGGTTTTGTACGATCAAATACCACAATGAGAGATTTAATTTCTTGTCAGTGTAAATAGTATTTTTTTCCCCCGCGATTCACGGAAAGAGTGTCTGGAAACCTGTTTGCGCGCATGAGGTCGCCAAACACTGTCATTTTCGTCTCTATTTGCTGAAATTTGGCGAGATTGGGGGGCTTTGGCGGGAAGACAATGCATCTGGAGGTGAATACTGACGAAGATGTGTACAAATTGGCCCCGCGGGCCCCACAATGCCGCGCGTCGTGTCTCTGCAAAAAGAACAATTGCCGCACAGAAGCTGAGTTGTATGCGGGAAATGTAGATGAGAGGGAGCTTTCGTCAGCGTGTTGCAATTTGGCATCAAACGGAGGCGAGTGGGTAAATAATATACAAAAACTGGTCCATTTGTTAAATATGCCAGAGGGGCAGTGAAAAAAGTGTCTTTGGTATATTCTCCAAATGTCACTAGCATGGAAGATCATCTTCCATAAATTTACATACCAAACTATGCTAATGGATTGGCTGATATGACTGAATATCGGAGGTGCTTGTGGATTTATAACACACTCGCCGGCCTTGGTCAATGCTAAATGGATGGCGCGCATCTTTCTCTCTCTGAGGAGATCCGAAGGAGACACACTCCATCATATCACATCCTCACGCTCCGCCATAGTTTGCGTGGAAAACTGGGAGAGACGAATAAAACTTTCAATTTCATTTTGTGATAATTTTTACCGCCAAGCTCGTCATTTTTTCCTCTCTTCTGGGCTGTGTTAACATCATCGGCGATGCGAGATGATGCAATAATTGTGAGTTGGCTCTCCATGTAATCCGGTTGGGGCTTCTTCAGTTGTGTTGTCCCACAAGAATGTTGACATTATTGGCTTTGCTGGCTACTTTTTCTTACACCACTGCACGCGGGCAATTTCTGGGGAAGGCAGAGCGAGTGTCATGGTTAATGAATTAATAAAGCATCATAAATATTCGGATATACAACTCTGAAATCATGGACAGAGAAATACCACTTCGTCTCACCTCATTGAAGATGACATCAGAGAAATATATCTCATATCGTCTTTCACGATTACTCTAGCTTCTCCTGCATTTTCACAGCCATCAGTGCTGAGCTACTGTAAGAGACGAATATGTAGTGAAAATGCGTGGGCTTGGTCACTGGAAATGGACTTTGAAAATACCGGCGCAGTGATTCCATTTTATGACACATGTTCGAGGACAAATCTTACACAATCGGGATGTAAGAGTGTCAACTGATAGCTGAAGAATTTGAAGAAGACACCAGAAACTGGTTTAATAAAATCAGAAATCCTGCAATGCGACGCCAAAAGAGGGAGGATTTGATGACTTGACGTGTAGTCAATTTGAATACCTGCATTTTGTCGCCAGATGCAAATTGAAAGACACCAAATCAAGGGAGAGACAATGTGGCTTTAATTTGTACACACTGAAAGATTATTATAATAAATTTAGATGAGAAATCAGAGAAATTGTGATAAATAAAAGGTAATTACCCTTTTAAAAGTGCTTTAAAAAAATATTTTTGAGGTTATGTTTAACTATACCATTGATTTTTGTCACTCGGATGAAATAATCGCATAATTTATTAAATGCAAATTCTTAATTCTCGTAATTTGTGAAAAATTCTTATTTAGGCGCAAGAATTTACGTTTCTGAAGGTTTTTTAAAACCTGAATTAATTTCAATTATTACAATAACGTAGAAAAGTAGAATTATGTTTTATAAGTCAATAAGTCCATTGAAATCAAAAGTGTTGCGCTAATTTGCACAATAAAGAAGCACTCTAATGCTTCAACGAAATTGTACATCATTTCACACCTAAATGTCTCCGCCTTGCGCTAAATAAAATAGGGGAGGGAAAAACCACTTGAAACACTGCACTTTACACATCCAATAAACCTGAGCAACGCAAAATAGTAACTCAAATTCTAAACTAACCGCAAAATTGTGGCTGAAACACACTTCTCGGAAAACCACTATTCAAGTCTATCGATCATTTGCGAATGGGTAAAAATTTACATAAAATTTCTTTTCGTCAAACAACCCAATCAAGCATTACTTCTCGTCTTCGTGACTCTTTGACTGTTTTAACGGGCCAAACAACTAAACATATTAATTATACTGATGCGATGACTAACTAAACAACCGCAACCAAGAAAGGCGTCAAATTAAATTTGCAATAATATTCGCATTCAATTTCGCAATCAACACTTGTCCGAGCAGACTTTTCCTCTCTCCGGGGAATTTCCATTTGTTACTAGCACTCGTGCAAGAACGACAATCGACAATGTTGTGTTTATATGTGTATTTATTCATGTCACAGTATAACTCTTCTGGCTGATATTTAAATGACAATTAAAACTTCTTCCAATTGGAACCTTTTTACAACAGAACGAATGGCGAAGAGAGCAAATTTATGTCTTTCATGACATTTATGCTGAGTATTTGTCAATGGCTGGAGAGATTGATGCGAAGATGTTTGGTGGTTTTGTGCGCATTCTTCGGGCTGTCTGAAGGGGTTAGTTTGGGGCTCAGGCCTTGGGCAAGTGGGCGCCCTCGGGCTGGTAACCGTTCTCGTCGGCCACGAAGTTGATGGTGTAGGTCTGGCCGTCGGGAGCCACCCAGCTGTAGGATCCTCGCACGGAGATGGCCTCGTTCTCCGTGCCGACGTTCTTCAGCTCAGCCTCCTCCTGTCGCGAGATGCCGTCGCTGGTCTCGAAGCTGTTGAGACACAGAAGAGGTGCTGAGCAAAAAAAGGGAATTTATCAGATAATTTCTATCGATTATTACGCATATCTGTATCCATCAACGCCAATATTGTCCGTTTCGTAACGCAGAATCTGTGCATTGCGGGAATCGTCGACAGCTTGTGGGGCGCCCAGAGCGAAGGCAACAACAACAGCCAGAATGATGATCTGGACATAGAAAGAAATTGCGAATTAATTGACACGAAGTTCGCGTATCGATTTAATATTCGATTGTTGTGCTTTGTTTGCCGTGTGTGTGTGTGTGTGTTTTTTTTTCTTGCCCAAAACCCGCATTCATTTCTATTGCTAATGCCAGGCGATATCGCGGAAAAAAATTGAATGGCCACACAAATCACTCCTTTTGCGCAATTTCTCGAAATTTGATGCATGACTATGGAGAAACCACGGCCATGTTGCAATCTGGCCGAGCTATAATTTCTCTAGCACAGAGCGCACACCTTCCCATTAGAGGATCCACCCGAAAAGCGGGCACTGGCACTTACGGTCTTCATGGTTTATCCCAGGTGACAAATTGGGTATCCGAAAAAGAAGGTGCGGTGCGGTTCACGAGTAGCGACACGGAGCAAAATGCAGCGAATACTAATTGAGCATCTCATCTTCTGTTCTTTTTATACAGTACACCACCTCCGAAGACACGGAGCACCCGTACAATTATCTAACTATGTACATCTCCCCACCGCAGTGACCGATCCATCTTCAAGAAGTCGACTCAGCAGAAGAGTGGCGTTTAAGTACTCAATTTATTTATTTCCAAAACACAGCAATATTTGTATTATTCATCATGATGGCGGTGCGAAATGCACAGCATTTGGACAGTAAATTGGGAAAAAATCGACTGGATTTGGAAATCACCGATACTAAAATCTTCCACAGCTTTTTTCTGCACTCACTCACGACTTTACAAAATTCTTGTGCGACTTGAGAGAAGGTTAGAGTCGATTGTGAAAAAAGGTTTAAAACTTCAGTTTCCAGAAAGGAATGACTTTTAAGAAAATGTTACAAACAATTTAAAGCACAATAAAGTTCGGAATTTAATTTTGTAAATATCAAAATATAATAAAAATCGTTAAGATTAGAGCAAAATGTCAAATATTATGAAATTAGAGAGTAATCTTAAATCATAAATTAGAAAAATTTCTTAACATTACTACAATTCTACTTGTAGTCTTATTAATTTTGCAAGATATTAACAAAAAATGAACGTCAAAAAAGCAAAAGTCAGGTTTTCAGCTGTCCTTGCAACACTCTGAAGACACTGCAAAGAAAAAAGAGGAATTAAAGAGTTATTTTAACCTTAAAAATAGCATAATAACTTTGAAGAAGCAATTGGTTTTAAGTACTCTTCAGGTGGTTTTGACCAGCATTTCTTCTGCGCGCATCACTGTGTGTTTTTGCGCCGCTCAGCGACTGTGGAGGTGTTCAGATGAGAAACAGGGTAGTGGCAAATTGCAAAATCTCCCGAAAAGTTGCCAAAGAATGTCTTGTGATAAAAAATAATCACCTGCTGGAGGGTTTTAACACCTCATCAAGGCAACTCGCGCATCAGTTGAACAGAGATTTCCTCATCATGTGCGCTTCGCCAATGCAAAGCAAGTGATCAGCTTCCAAATCCTCCAATTTGCCTCAGCAGATCACACAGATATGATTGCTCGCGGCCGCCCCGCGACTTCTTGGCTTTGGCTTTCTCTCGAGAAGGTGATTTTAATGAATATTATTCAATTTTTACAGCAAATAATCATCGAGTGGTGGTGGCAAAAAAGACAAACGCCACTCGTGAAATGAATAGGGGAAATCAATGAACAAATTTGCTCACCACGAATTAAGATATCTTTCTCCTCTTATGAAATCCGATACGAAAACCACGCGAGCAATTGTTGCAAGTGGTACAAAAGATTTGTTCTCTTGTAATTTTGTGCTCTCGAAATTCATCCCAATCGCGAGAATGTCTTTCATCATGCGCACAGTGAATCTTTTTTCGAGGGTGTAAATTCAGCCGCCACGAATCGCGAAGCGTGCAAAATTTCGCCTTTGCCACAGAGTTGTGATGGTGCGAAATATCAATGTATTCAGAGCCACACACGATCATCTTTATTGTCAATAGGAAAGTGAATCTTGCTTGACCTATGATGTAATTGGTTTAGTGCAAATGTAATACACACATTTCATTTGCGCTTACGGCGCGAAGCCAACCAGTTTATATATGCAAAAATCGCACCACAATTGAACTTCAAATTTCATAAAAATGCCTATTTTATGCAGAAGCCAGCACGAAGCTCTAAAAATGACTGGTAATTGCAGTGAAGAGTGCATGTGAATTTGTAATGAAGCTGATTTCCATTTCGTTTGAGATTCTTTTTCACTAAAAGTTTCAGGATGAGCGCGCAAAGTTTGGCTCTCAAAATCACCGAAATTCCCTCAACAAACTCCCGGAAGAAGTGAATCTGAGGTTGTTGGCTTCATAATTCGTGAGCATGACCAATTGTGGAGGTGACATGAAAAGAATTGCGCTTTTATGCGAAATAAATCATAATGCAGGATGAAATGTTGCTACTCATTCACTTATTGTGAGGCATTTAAGGCGCAAGACGCGCGCGCTTTCAAGCAAACTCTAGAGGAGAGTCAGAAAGTTGTTTGAGAATGATGGAATGGTCAGAAAAATGTACAATATTTGCATTACTTCATTGCATAAGGAGACCAAATAAAATTCACTCTTCACTCTATTGACAGCGCGGGTAAAAGTGAGTCAATTGCATTTCAACTGGAGGGCAATGAAAGTTGAACTCCTCGAGAAGTACTTTTTTTCATTGCAATTTGGATAATAAATCATAGCAGAATTGATTGGCAGGAAGTGAATTACATTTTTCAAGTTCAATGTGCGTCTTTGACGCGATTTATTGTATCATTTAGCGCTTGATTTAATCCAGCACACGAAAAAACTTGCGCAAAGAAAAACGAGATTTATATTTTAATTCAACGCGGTATTAAGTAATGACGTGTCGTTGGATTTATTGGAGGCATCACGAAATCAATGCGATTAATGAGCAGAAAATGCATCAAAGACTATCAAAATTAATTGCTTCTTCGAGTGAAATAGAGAAAGAAATGCATTGGAAATTACTTGTGGGAATTTCAGTGTATTTCTGCTTGTTAAATTCATGACAATTCTTGAAGGAAATTGGACAATCTATTGAGGTTAGGCGACTTTGTCAGCCGACAAGAGACTTGAGCGCGACTGGGGAAATTCTGTTCTTTGAGTGATAACGACTGGTCATGGCTTGATATCCTTGAGGACCAGAAGTGTAGTCGACGCGATAGATGTACTTATCGGGTCCTGTGTATCGATAGAATCCCGCCACTTCCAAATATTCCTGGTCAGTTCCTCGATTGTGGATCGTGCCGACTTCCTCTCTTCCCGTGCCATCGCTCAGTTCGTACCTGTTAAACAGTGAAAAGCGTTAGGCTGAGAAAATCTAGGATATTCCACTCAATCCTACACATATTTGTATCCAGTCTCTGTGTGTGAATCCTCTCTGAAAAGGACTTTGACTTCGTTGTCCTTGATAGGCTCGGGATCTGCACTGTCCTCATCATCGTCCCCGAAGATTGATGCACTTCGCGTGACGGTGAAGATGCCGAAGGTCAGGAACAGGACGGCGAAGAAATGCAGTGATTTAACCTGTAAACAAGTCATGAAAGTCACCCAAAATTGCTTCATTTATTTCTCCAAAAACTCAACAATGCGCAGGCAGCAAGAATGTCACCTTGACCTTTTCCCAAGCACAAAACAACGCACAAGACACATTACCAAATGACCAAATGATGCAATTGAACTCTCACCATCTTTTCACAAGTGATCTCCTTCTGTACAAAAGCCCACGATCTGCACTCGGCTAAACCAAATTTCCCACTGAGTTCTGTCGGCTAGATTCGAGGCACTTTAGTCAGGTTTTACAATCTCCATTCATCGTGATTGGACGCCATGAGATATTAAACTTAAGCCTTGAATTTTGATTTTTTCGTATTTCATCCAAGAAAATTAACAAAATACTCCGGTTGCAAGTCGTGCAAATATCATTTCTTATGATGAAAACTACCGATTGACTATTAATGACTATGTTAATGACTGTGAGTGGTCAAATATATCTCAAATCATTGAGGAAGATTGGCCACTTTTTGGTTACAGGTTGATAAATAAGGTAACTTCTAGAGGAGTGGCATTTTTGATCTTAATATATAAATTATATATCAAGACTTCACGTTTGTCCAAAACTATTTCAAAAAGAGGGGGAAATAAGTCATTGAAAAAAAGACTCATAAATTCGTGGGAAATTAATAAAGAGAAGATAAACAAAAAGACATTTAAGAAATGATTAGAGAAGTTTAGAAAATTCTGTTGCATTGAACTTTTCGCACTGTTAATATGTTATCCGCGTGTTTCGGAGATTACCTAATAAAAAATTGCAATAACATTAAATTTAATATGATTGATTCTTGATGCGCAAGGTTTTCCTCAACACACATTGTCATATTTTGTTGTTCTTCCTTGAGATTTTGAACATTGGGCAAAACATGTTTATGATTGTCAGAACAATAATATTTATTCCATTAAATTAAGATGAATTCCATTAAAATACATAATTATTAATGTTGCTTGTTGCAAAAATAACAGATTATATATTATAAGTATTGCGGAGAAGATGATTAGAGGAATTTCAGGAATGCGTTTCATCTGCCAAAGACATGCTTGAAATGTGGATGTGAAAGGAAAAGTCCGCATTTTCGCTGTTCAGCGTTAAAATTTCGGTCACAGAGAAATCCACCAATTTTCTACATCATCCACTAACATGTGTTAATTTATGGCATTTAATAAATCGCAAGTGAATTGACTCGCTGCAGATAGTCGCGAGGAGGGGACATCATTGAAATCTCGCGGTGCTTCGATAGAATAAATAAATATAAACCGGTCATGCCCAGTCGCTCGGGGGAGAAGTACTTGAGCTATTGAGCATGATTTGCACAGATTCGCCACAATTAGCTGGGGATCCTTTGGGCGCGCGTCAGCCCACGAGAATGGTGAGCAGTTTGGAGTCTATGCAGGTGTTCTGCTTCACGCACTCGTTCGACGATTCCGGCGGCAAGAAGAGGACATTGTCTTCGGGCACCGCCGTGGGATCGGGATAAGTGTAGAAACCAGTATCATCGGATTTGTAAAGAACATTCCTGACGATGCCATTCTGCATGTAGGTGAATAACCCACGAATTACGAACTTCTTTGTGCCATCGACCTCCTCAAATTCTGCCACCTCGACACGACGACTGCCATCGTTCAACACATATCTGCAAACAGAGTTGAATAGTCAATTGTGAGAAATTGTCTAGATTGTAGATGTTGAACAATAAGTTTGCCAACAATGAGAAGAAACTGAGCGAGAGAAGCGAAAGAAATTGACTTATCAGTGCTTTAAATTCTGTAGATTTACAGGATTGCTTTTTGAAAATAAAGTACTAAAACAAAATGTGACATTTTTCAGTAGGCAAAGTAGATTTTGACACTCTTTTTCACTTTACAGAGATTTAAATAATGAATTTAGTACAAAGTTTAGTACAGTGTCCAGTAAAATTGAAAATTTTGACTAAAATTCTTCGATCCACTTTTGAAGGTTGATTTTCACGAGAATTGAATTTGTCTGAACATCCAAAGCGACAAAATATCAATAAAAGAAGCTTTTTGGATCTCTTATCTAGTCACTTTGCAACTCCACAATTAAAAAGTGATTTTTCTCCAGCACAAAGCTTTGGGAGTTTGTCTTAAATTTTGTTGACATTTGCCGGATTTCACGCACACGCGAGAGCAATGAAAGAAGGCTCCCATTGTGATGCCTCAAATTACTTACGACATCGTGTATTCCCCAAGATCATTCCGCGAATACGTCTGATTGACCACCTCGAGCACCGCGGGCTTCTCACTTGCATTCTGCGCCGCCGACACTGTCCTCAGGTGTCCGATGGTGAAGTTGCCCCCGGCCAGGCGCAGGGGTGTGTCGCGGGTCGCCTGGACACCCACACTGGCCAGCACCACCGCGATGAGCGCCCAGAGATTCATGGTTCTGCCACGCGAGCACGCACAGGAATATTCTCGCAGAGAAAGCCCCGATCAACTGACGAGCTTCCACGGGCAAGACTAATATTTAGAGGTAAACCTCATACTGAGACATGCGAGAGAATCAGCAAAAAGACAAGCCTTTTTTCTCCGCACTATGCATGGGCACAATCCAGCGATAATGGACACTCAAAGATCTTTTTTTCTCTCGCTCGCTCGCTTTTTGTCACGATCCTCCCGAGCAGGTTCTCTCCCAGCAAATCACCGTGCAATAATTATGCTATTTACTCGCGCCGCGTTATTCAATTACTGCGCCGAGAGTTGCTTCTTGTGTGCGACGACGGGAAAAAAATCTATTCGCGACCTCTACGCTGGGTGTTTTAGGCAGATGATTCAATGCAGCATCAATGCAATTTTACTGCTGTGTGATAATTGAGGAAATTCAGTGCAAATTGGGAGGCTTTTTGAGGCCAAAGAAGGCGACATTTAAACCATTGACAAGGCGTGTGGCGTATAAATCTCTCGTCTTTGGAGACATTTTTCTATCGTCGTCAGCTTGAATGGATGTCTGTTTTTTTCTGAAGTGCGTTGCGAGACACTTTATGCAATGATATTAGTATTTTATCTGCAAATAAATTATCACAACCGTAAATGATACCAAGAGGTTGCATGCGATCGGCGCCTGGCGTGCATAATCAGTGTTCGGTAGGCAATTGTAGGAGGATCTCGTCACCAAAGCATTTCTCTGGCGAGAGTGATGAGACGTTGCGTTGAGATATCGATCGTTGTGCTGCTTTGCATAGCCGAAATAGTGGCGGATTCCTCGCTTGTGAGTTACGAGAACATGATCATGAAGGAAGCTTATCACTTTAAGTGAGTTTCTCATCGGAAATCACGTGGTTTTCCAACATATTTCGCTGCTGTACTTCTTCAGGTATGAAACCAGCGATGGACAGATGAGGGAAGAGATGGGAATCCTCATGAATCCTGGCACCCCCGCCGAGGAGCTCGTCGTCATTGGCTCCTACTCGTACAACAGCAGCGACACAATGCACATCGTTATGTACAGAGCCGATCGTCGCGGCTACGCGCCAAAAGTCTTGATCATGAGCAAGAAGTTCTCATCAAAACCGCTGGACCGCAACGTTTTGCTCTCGCTGGTCGGCTGAGCGGCAAGAGCGAATGATCAGAAATCCGTTCCGCGGAAGAATTCGCGAGATTTGTCACGGCGCAGAACAACTTGGCAATTTTTCATGTTATGCAGAGCTTTTGGGGGATGTTCGGGCGCAATTTGTTTATCTTTCGACAAGTCTGGCAGTGAGAAATTCCTTTTGTCGGATTCATGACACGGGATGGCTTTTAGACGCGATCGGGAATTACCATAAATTCTTCAAAATATTTGTCTCCTTTTCACCACCAATTTGTCATTGCAAGAGATTCTGGACACAGAATAATGAATTATATCGAAAGAAGTTCAGAGACTCGTCATCATTTTTATTGTCATCCAACGAGGGATTTTAGAACAATCGGAGCAACAAAAGCTGTAACTTTTTCATGAGGAATAGCATCTGTAATTGTTGTGTTGGCGTGATAGCCATTGATTCCAGCCACATAATTCACAGTGTAGATGCGATTGTCGTCTCCCGTGAAAGAATAAGAGCCTCTGACTTCCAATACTTCAATCTCATTTTCTCCGTCCTTCAGGGGAAGAATTTCGCCATGTTCATCACGAGATTGACCATCAATAGTTGAATAGCTGAAGAAGAAATAGAAATGTAAAGCAGTTTTAAAATACCATCGATTAAATGCCACCTGAAATCATATCCATTTGCATTTCTTGAGGAACTGTAGGTCAGCAGATCCGGAGCATAGTAATTCAAAGGCAGAGCCAAAGCCACAACATTGACGCTGAGCAGCAAGAAGACGAACTGAAAGATCACGTAAAATTTTGATTTATTCATAATTGCACAACTTCTGGGTTGGATTTCTTATCAAGACGCTTGTTTATCTGCATTTTAATAATGCAGAATGGAATTTGTTGATCACAAACGTCAAAATATTGTACAATTCTTTCGCAATAATTTTGGGGTATTTTTTTTCATAATAATTACTCACTTTCACTGTCATCATTCACCTTTCCATCTACTGTCTTAACAGCCCGCGAACACGCAAGTATTTTTCGCGACTGACTCCAAAGTATGATGCTTGCCAGAAGGAAGCTCACTTAACTCGAGATTCAATGCCAAAGTATAGCGTGAACATGTGAATTTATTGCCAATTAGCAACCTTAGAAGCATTACGGAATATGATCTTGTTGAGTTTAAGGAGCGTTTATCCAACGAGGGATTTCAGAACACCTGGATCAATGTCAGAGGGACGAGTACCAGTAGAAGGAAAAACAGGAGTAAGAGAATCCATAACCGTCACTTCTGCTTGGTATCCATTGACTCCCGCCGTGTAGTGAACAGTGTAGACGCGATTGTCGTCTCCTATGAAGGAATAAGAGCCCCTAACTTCCAAATATCCATCATCATCAGTGTCACCGTAATTCTTCCGATGAAATTCTCCATGTTCATCTCGCGATTGGCCATCACTGGTTGAATAGCTGAAAACACAGAATAAGAGAATGTTCAGAAAATCATATTTTATTATATTTTTGTTGGAATACCTAAAATCATATCCGTTATCACTCCTGGAGGAACGGTAGGTCAGCAAATCTGAACCTGAATCTCGAGAATTACTCAGTAGAAGGGGAGTGAAATCTCGAGATTTGCTCAGTTGAAGTGGTTGAATGTCAAGTGGAAGGGCGAAAGCCAAAATACCCACATTGATCAGCAAAAAAGTAACCTGGAAAAGGCACGAAAAACTCAATTTTGGTAAAGTATTTCTTCTTGTATCCACTCACCTTCAGTATCATCTTAATTAACTTCTGACCAGACGAACGATTATTTCACGATTGATTTCAGACAATGATTTTACTAAGATTAAATCCTATGTTTATATACCACAGAAAAGCATACACAGACGCATTTGGATGTTTTATAGTCATGATTATTAGCAATCTCGGCAGTAGTGGGGTAAAAAGTCTCACATATGTAATCATCATATATTTAAAAAAAAAAATTTTCGAAAGCAGAATATTCACTCATAAATGAATGTCTTTTTATTGCAAACGATATTAGCCAACGAGAGATTTCAGGGCATTCGGATCGATGGCAAAGGCAGGAGCAGGAGTAGAAGGAGGAGTAAAAGAATCCATAACCGTCACTTCTGCTTGGTATCCATTGACTCCCGCCGTGTAGTGAACAGTGTAAATGCGATTGTCGTCTCCTATGAAGGAATAAGAGCCCCTAACTTCCAAATATTCATCATCATCAGTGTCACCGTAATTCTTCCGATGAAATTCTCCATGTTCATCTCGCGATTGGCCATCACTGGTTGAATAGCTAAAAGCACAAAAGATTCTACAGTAGAAAGTGATTTAATCATATTGTGATACATACCTAAAATCATATCCTTTATCAGTTCTGGAGGAACGGTAGGTCAGCAAATCTGAACCTGAATCTCGAGAATTACCCAGTCGAAGGGGAGTGAAATCTCGAGAATTGCTCAGTTGAAGTGGTTGAATGTCAAGTGGAAGGGCGAAAGCCAAAATACCCACATTGATCAGCAAAAAAGTAACCTGAAAAAGGCACGAAAAACTCAATTTTTGGTAAAGTATATCTTCTTGTATCCACTCACCTTCAGTATCATCTTCAACAATTTCTAAGCAGTCTGGGCAGATCTATGATTATTTCACGACTGATTTTGGACAATGATTTTACAAATAATGAAGCCCATTATATTTCACGGAAAAGAATACACAGAAGAGTTTGGATGTTTAATGCCATGATTTTTAGCACTCTTGGCAGTAGTGGGGTGAAAAGTGTGATATATGTATGTAATACATCATTATTATTTTAAAAATTTGAAAGCAGATTTTTCACTCATAAATGAACGTCCTTTTTATTGCAAACGACATTAGCCAACGAGGGATTTCAGGGCATTCGGATCGATATCTTGCAATATTGGTTCAAAAGTGCTGTCTTCGTCGTCTTCATCATCATCTTCTTCCTTTTCTTCTACTTCTTCTTCCCCTTGCAATTCCTTTAACTTTTCTTGTTCTAATAATACTTGTTTCTCTAGATCCTCCAAAGTTATTTCTTCATCTACATCTTCCTCTTCTTCCTCCTTTTCATCCTCCTCTTCATCCTCCTCTTCATCCTTATCTACTTGCTCTGCCTTAAATTCTTTCATTTCTACTCTTTCCCCTTTTTGAGAATTGCGATCAATCACAGACACATTAGCTCGATAACCATTGATTCCCGCCGTGTAGTGAACAATGTAGATGTGATTGTCGTCTCCAATGAAGGAATAAGATCCCTTAACTTCTAGGTATTCGACATCAACGTCACCGTAATTCTTGAGATGAACTTCAGCATGTTCATCTCGCGATTGACCATCGCTAGTTGAATAGCTAAAAGCACAAGAGAAAAGAAAAATAATTTATTAGAAAGATAATTTTATTATATTTTTCTTAAAATACCTAAAATCATATCCTTTATCGCTTCTGGAGGAACTGTATTTTAGCAAGTCTGGCGATTTATTCAGTGGCAGCGCCAAAATCACAACAGCAACACAGATTAACAAGAAGACAAGCTGAAAAACGCATAAGATTCTATTTATATAAGCATAACTACATAATTGTTGTAATTTTTTCTATCAAAAAGTTTTTTGTCATCAACTACTCACGTTTAGTATCATTTTATCCACTCTTGAGCTCACTGTCTTACGTGTGCTTCGCAACTGATCCGAAATGATGATTCTGCCAGATGAAGAGCCCATGTTTTGTTTCAAGGAGAAGAACGCACACAAACTAGTTTTTTTTTATTAATTTGAGTAGCGAAATAAAAAATCTTACATATGTACATAATAAAAAATTTAGAATGCTGATGTTTCTCTGATAAAATAAACCTTCGTTCACATTAAAACCATTTCCTTTGCATGTTATTTAAAAGCCATTAACAATTTTCAACTTCATATGGTAATATTCTTGAAATTATCCAACAAGTGAAGCAATCAGTGCATTTCGATCTATGTGACGTGCAGGAGGCGGCGAGGCATCAGAAATCACCAAATTAGCCCGATATCCATTGATTCCAGCCGTGTATTCAACAGTGTATCTGCGATTATTGTCCCCGATGAAGGAATAAGATCCTGAAACATCGAAGATTTCCACCGCTTTTTCTCCGTCATTGTGGACAACAATTACAGCGTGTTCATCGCGAGATTGATCATCAGTAGAATAACTGCAAGAACCCGGAATTGTTAATTCGCGAAGAAAATTATTGATGTGGTTTACCTGAATTGATATCCATTATCACTTCTGACTGAGCTTTGAGGACTTGTTTGAGGACTTTGAGTGCTTTCAGCGCTGTTAAGCAGCAATTTCAACCTGTCAATTGGTATACTCATTGCCAGAGTCACCATGAACATCAAGAAGAATAACTGAAAGAATAAAAGTCTTTGTAACAATGCAAGATGATGAGTTTTCGCTATGAAACATCTCACTTTTACTATCATTTTGTCCACTCTTTACTTCACTGTCTTACGTCTTTTTCGCGACTGATCCGAAAAGATGATTTTATGAGAAATATACTAAATTTCAAGGACAAGAATATACAAACTAGTTTTGAGGTTGATATTTTTTAATCTTTAATCTATTGTAGTGGGGGAAAAGTCTTGCATTTGCAAAAATTTTTAGAATGGTGTCTGATAAGATCAAGGATAAGATGAATCTTCTTCGATAAAACCAGTTCTGATCAGTGTGCATTAAACCATTTCAAATGACATTATCCAACGAGGGATTTCAGTGCATTGGGATCTATGTGATAAACAGGAGGTGGCGTGACATCAGAAATCACCAAATTAGCCCGATATCCATTGATTCCAGCCGTATATTCAACAGTATATCTGCGATTATCGTCCCCGATGAAGGAATAAGTTCCTGAAACGTCGAAAATTTCTACCGCTTTTCCCCCGTCACTGTGGACAACGATTACGGCGTGTTCATCGCGAGATTGGTCATCAGTAGAATAGCTGCAAAGCACACGGAATTGTTATTTCGTGAAGAAAATTGACAAGGTGGTTTACCTGAATTGATATCCATTATCACTTCTGACTGAGCTTTGAGGACTTTGAGGGCTGTCGTAATCTTTGGTCAGCAATCGCAATGTTTCAATTGGTATACTCGTTGCCAGAGTTACCATAAGCACCAAGAAGAATAACTGAAAGAACGAAACTCTTTGTAACGCTGGCAAGATTCTGATTTTTGCCTATGAAATATCTCACTTTCACTATCATTTTGTCCACTCTTTAGTTCACTGTCTGACGTGTTTTTCGCGACTGATTTGAAATGATGATTTTATGAGAAACATACTAAATTTCAAGGAGAAGAAAATAAACTAGTTTTGAGGTTGATATTTTATTAATCTATTGTAGTGGGGAAAAAGTCTTGCATATGCAAAAATGTTAGAATTCTGCCTGATAAGATAAAATTAATTTTCTTAATTCACGTGCATTAGAGACCAGTGCAAACACATTATCCAACGAGGGATTTCAGTGCATTGGGATCTATTTGGAGTATTGGAGGCGGACCAGCCGCAGGGAGATCAGAAATTGTCATGTTGGCTCTATAGCCATCGACTCCGGCCACATAATTCACAGTGTATCTGCGATTGTCGTCTCCAATGAACGAATAAGATCCTGTAACGTCGAAGATTTCCAGTTCTTTGTCTCCGTCCTTCTGCAGAAGAACAACAGCATGTTCATCGCGAGATTGGTCGTCCGTTGAATAGCTGCAAGAGCATCAATCTCAGATTTACGAGGAAAATTAATGGTATCGTGATTCACCTGAATTGATAACCATTGTCACTCCTCGTTGAGCTGTAGGTCAGCAACTGCGGCGAATCCAGCGGGAAACCCGCTGCCATTAAAGCCACCATAAACATTAAGAAGATTAACTGAAATATAGTAACACAATCACATTATAACAGATCTTCCTTTTCGCTATAAAATATCTCACTTTCACTATCATCTTTAGCTGTTTTGCGATTAAACTCTCAAGCGTTGCACGGTTTTATCGCGACTGATTCCAAAAGGCAGGCTTGGAAAAAGTCACCTTTTATATTTTATGAGTTTCAAGGTGAAAAATGCGGCACGTGAAGAAGTCATTTCTTCAGCTGGTTAGCAGCAATGGTGCAAGAGTTGCACAAGAATCTTACTTTCAGATAAAGTCCCAAGAGTGACCTTAAACTTGATTGAGACTTCGCTTAATGTCTCAATTTCTGTCTTTATTTCTCACTTTATTGGTTCTTAGAATGTCTGTTTATTGCCCAAAAGTGATCATCCGACGAGAGATTTCAGCGCATTGGGATTAATGATGGGCACTTCTTCGGGATGCTCTTCGACGGTGACGTTGGCTTTGTACCCGAACTCTCCCGCCACGTAGTCCACTCTGTACGTGCGCTCGTCGTCGCCGACGAAGGAGTAGAATCCGTGCACCTCGAGAACCGTGTCTGGTCCATCTGGCCCGAGGCGCGGCACCAAAACGCCGTGCTCCTCGCGCGTCTCGTCGAACGTTGAGTAGCTGCAAGAGTGGGTGGACAGCCACAAAACGACCGCATTAAAGCTAATGTACGCGCAATTTAGAGACAGGAGATACCTGAAGTCGTAGCCATTGTCGCTCCTGGAGGAGCTGGAGGACAGCAGGCGGCTGCCGGACGGGAGGGCGGTGGCCAAGAGTGCCACGCACGCCAGCAAGAAGACGATCTGTCGGAGGAAAAGATCATTGCGATTTTTTTGGCTCGCTCGTGTCTGGGAAAATGTCAAGGTGTCACTCTGGGGAGGTGTGAAGAAGACACACAAGATCCGCCGACAGCCTTCGCGCTTAGGCAAACACTCAGTCAAATTGGGAGCAATTTTGACTGATTAGGTGTTATTGGGGGGAAACCTTTGCACACTTTGTTGCACTTATTCTTGCTGGCAAATTAGCAGTTTCTGCGAGCGTAATTTTGCAATTAACTTTTTAGCGAGAACAACTTACTTTCACGGTCATGTTGTGCGGCTTCTTGTCCACCGAAGAGACTTCCTCAATGCGAACGCGTTCACAGATTTTGAACAACTGATGCTGTAGATATAAAAATGAAGCTTTTAATGTTATCTGACAGCCATATGAGTCAGTGATTAGCATTTTTTTGACATACAACTTGCTACAATAACTACTTCCTTGGCCGCACGTGGAAATCGAATTCAGCACAAGGTGCAAAAAGTCAATTCTTTCTCCTTGGACTTCTTGGGAGGGAAGATGATCAGCCAGAGAGCGCATAAATTGGCGAATGGCTCAAAGCGAATTCCACCGCGACTGATATTGGATCCGCAAACATGCTTCTTGATGCTTCTGCACTTGGTCTGCGCGAGATATTCCGGGCAGATCTTCCGCGGGATTTATCGAGCGTCTCATGAGAGGCAAGTGATTAATTATTTGTGCAGCACTCAAGAGTTGAAAGTCTCTCAACTGCCAGCGGTGAATTCACTCGAAAGTGACCGCTGATCTTCCGCACCAGAAATTATCACTTTGTGCGCGCGGACTTGAAAAGCTGCCCAGCCAGCAAGGCGAGCAAAACAACAGCGCGATTTCGAGGGAGGAATTGGAATCTCTTCTCTTTTTTTTCAATCAAGGCGTTTCTCGGAATTAAGCGACACGAACATTATGAGGTAATTCTCAGCAAAATATGGTGCTATCAGATGAAATTTATCACATCGATGTTGTGAAATTGCGATGTTGCGCGTCTTCTTGGCCATGTCGAGCCATTTGTAATTGTCTAACTTTCGTCCTAATAGATGAATAATTTATGAAAATTGTACAAATAAACAAGTCGTTAGAAACAGCTTTTGGTACGTGTCGATGAGGGTAAGTTCGGAATGTTGTGTGGTTCCTTGCCTGCAAATATTTAAATACTCGTTCTTTCTCTCAATTTAGCGACAAAATTATGGGACACTAATGCCTTCGTCATCGAATCTTACCGATCATATGACATCAAAGCTCGTGTCAGATCTTCTAATCCTCCATATCTAATTTATTTGGTGTCAAATCCTATTCTAATTTGTGACTTCCCCAACAATGAGCCGAAAGAGCTGAAAAGGGGGATCATCAACACATTTATTGCTGTGAAAATCATCCTGACACTAATTGGACGGAATCTCATTTGAAAATCAAATTCTTAATTGCCCTCATTTAATCTTATGCCAGAAATCCTCGATGATCCTCTTCCTCAATACACAGGCAGTGGCGTAGAAGAGCATAAATTTCGAACAATATTGCCTGATTCTAAGGCTTATTCAATTGACAAAGAAGTCTCGCGAAATCAACAATTTCGTCCATAATCTTGAAGGAAAGATTAGATATAAATTCAGATGACTTAAGGAGTTTATTGAATTTAATTTTCATTTCATTCATGCGTTTTTGCTGTTTGTCTTCTTGTTGCTGTTTTCTATTGAAAGCTATCCAATTAATAGCTAATTATACTGCTGAGTTTTATTATATTTCTGTTCAATAATAGTATCAATGATTAATAATATTAAGTGTTTAATGCTTGAGATGAAAAGGAGTTAAGGATTCAATTTGCAGCTTGTTCTTAGAAGTTTTTGTACTTCTTATTTTGCAAAGAAAATTACATTTCATCTATTATGAAGGAGAATCAAATTGTAGAACAGATCTTAAAAGTCATATTCTGCACATATAATCAATTAGAAATTTTTCCAGCACAGAATTCTCGGGAATAATATTTTCTTTCGTGGAATTGAGAAGATCTTCTGTGGCATTGTCTGTATGACAAAATTCGCTTTCGCTCAACACATTAATTACATTGATCGCATAAATCAGGCAGAGGAACTACGCCACTGCTTGTAGGCTTGCGAATCCAGTGAAAATATCCCAGACTCAGCATTGATGTTGCCAAGATAACGATTTGGCTTTTGTATCGTTTATTTTGCCTCCCTGAAAGACACATTGTGTCTCAGCGATGCCACCTGGATGAAATATCTCTTGTTTATTTCTCTCGAAATTCCCCGATTAGTGAACATCCTCCGCAATTTGAATATCAATGAGATCCGAGAAATCCGGTATCTCGCCGCGAGATTTATCCTCGAGTGTGGGAATCCAAGAGACAAAAGAAGGATAAGAAAAGCCCCAGAGTTTCTCACTGAGTCATCTTTATTGGTCTCACATTTGAAAAGAAAATAGCCTAAAGTGAATGTTGTCGTTCAGCAGAAGGCCCTTAAGCGTGGCTCACGTGAGTCTTTTTCACGTGCGGATGGAAGCCCGATCCGTCAGCGACATAGTTGACCGTGTACTGGATGTCGTCGATGATGTAGCTGTACGATCCTCGAACGATGTAGGATTCGTCCTCAGTGCCCTGGTTCACCAGCTCGCCTTCTTCTTTCCTCTTCTGGCCGTCTTCGGTCTCGAAACTGCGGAGAAAAAGGATCGTCAGAAGTGCTTAATGCCTTCAGAGCTCTAAAGCTGCTCAGACTCACGAGAAGGCGTAGTGAGTGTCGTCACTTTCACTGTCGTAGTGTGTCACGTCCACGAAGGGCTTTCGCGTGATCTTGTCGGTCGTTGGTGCCCTGGTTGGGAAGGTGTAGGTTCCATAGTGATGATCAGGCGTTCTGGCGAAATGTTGCGGCTGAACCACCTCCGGATGCTGAACCTTAACCTCTGGCTGGTACTCATAATAGTCCGGAGCCTTGAACTCCTGCTGAGGACGAGGTTTGGCCGCCACCACAGCAACCAACGCGAACAGGGCGATCTGAAGGAATTGTTTGAAGAAATTGTGGTAAAGTCAAGAGTCCAGAAGATGTGTAATATTCACACTGACCAAGAACTTCATTGTCACTGAGGGATTGTTGATGGTGAGTTTTGGCAAGAGAAGTGACTTCAGCGAGGGTATCCAGATGAAGAACTCCCGAATCCCCGTGAATCCGGGCTTTTATAGTGCGCGAGAACTTTTTGGCGAAGCAAAAGGCGAGAGGAAGAGTCAAAGACCCAATAAAAATCCAGTTCTTTTCACATCTTCTGCCATTACACAAATTCAACCCAAAAGTCCACGGCGGGCGGATGACAAAACCCACAGTTGGAGAAAAAAGTCCTCGCACTCCTATTATTTATTGCACATCGATAAAAGATGGATTTTTCGCTTATTTATTGGACAGTGATCGTCGGCTGGCCGAGGAAGGAGAGTTATTGCGCGTCTTTTCCTCGTCATCGCGTGCGCTCCTTTCCCAGTTCACTCAACTGGATGGGAAACTCATCGCATAAATTGCCTCAACAATCTCAACAGCATATATTGGACAAAACAGTGGAGGAAAAAAATGCAAATTACACCTCATTTTTTCCTCGGCTCGCGTGAAAGATATATTGCTTCATTGATGTTTCGCTGGAGATTTGCGGTGGGCAAAGAGAGCTTCTCTGCGTCCAGAGGAAAAAAAACACCGACCAAATGTTGGGCTGCAAGAGTATGAATTAGATGGACTTTCACTTTCGATTTCACTCCGGGCGCATCAAATGCCCACTTGCAGACGCCCCGAATCTGTGTCACTGGTCCATCGGGTCACACAGCTGGATGAAGACTTCCGAGACGCAGTGAAATTCACTCTCGCTTTCTTCCATTCACTTTGCGCGCCGCGGAGAAATTTGGGGCCGCGCAGCACTTCGCCCGCCAGTCATCTCGCGAGCGGAGCACATAGTTTCAGGCGAATCTCAGCTGTGGTCGCACAATTCGGTGCTAATTATGCACAATTCACGCCTCGAGTGAGGGAATTGGCTTTGGCGAAGAGCGAGCGTGAAGAAAAGCACGAAGAAATGGTAATGACAGTGAATTTTCTCATTCAATAATCCCAACTTATTGATATTTCCGTGTCATTTGAACCGCCAATTAACATTCCAATTAAATCACCGATATTGAAATTAATAATCGGTTTAATGGGGAAATTCACATGGAAGAAATACTGTCTCTGTAATTAATTCATGCAGTGAAGGGCAAATTTTGCTCTTCTTTAGGAAATGTTAATTCCAAAGGGAAGATTAGACTAAATTTTGTACATAATTTCCTGTCTCCTCCATAATTGGTATGCAGAATATTCAGTATTTACACATTTTTCACTATTATTACATCATTTCCCATTTCCGAATTTTTTTTCATCAAAGGACAACGAATTTTATCAGAAATTCCTTCTGAATACTGTTTAATGAGTGCGAATTTTGCAGTTTCTTCAACAAAATATCATGGATTTTCCGCCAAGAATCATATTATTCTTAGCTTTTTAACTCCAAAAAGCTACTAACAATTTTATTTAAGAGTTCTCTGGTGATATTAAAAAAATTTTCTTCAAATTTCTCTGATAAATTAAAATATTAATTATTTTACAACATGATCGCCATGAACGCATTATTCAAATCGTTCAAATCACACTATTTATGAATAAGTAATGAAAGAAAGAAATGTTTGTAACTCCGAAGGGAAGTTACTCGTCTGTAAATTTGCGTGAACATTAGGAAACGTGATGAAACTCTTCACAAATGGCCTGAGTCGAAATTGAAATGATTCTATTAAATTCATTGCTCGGGAGTTCATTGCAACTCGTGGGTTTTCGTGGTGAAAAACGCTTGGATTGTTTTGTCACAGGTCTATATTTTACAGAGCTTCTCAACGAACTACAAGTACATCACAATGGGCTAATAAGTTAAGGGATTGCGGGGTTGCTGGTCCTAGTACTTGGCGTAGTGTTGCTGCTGCTGACGCGGCTGGTAGGCGGCGTGCTGGTTGAAGGTCTGTGGCTGGTACTGAGCGTGGTACTGAGCCTCCTGCTCCTCGTGCTGGTACTGACCGTCGTTGCCCTCGTCGTGGTAGGCGTGGGGGTTGGCGGCGATCTTGGCCAGCGCCTCCTGGATCTCATGGGGAATTGGGGGTGGAGTGGGCAGATGAGCGCCCTCGGCGCGGAAACCGTGCTCATCGGCCACGTACTTCAGTCCCACGGGGATGCCATCTTCGCCGGTGTAGGAGAAATACCCCTCGGCAACCTGGCTCTCGGCGTCCTTGTGGCCGGCATTCTTGGTGTATCCATGCTCGGAGGCCTGGATGCCGTTGCCGGTCTCGTACTTGAAGTTGTAGGAGCCGTCGTGGTTGCGGTTGTTCTCACTCTTGAGAATGGGGATGTGCTTCTTCGGCTGCAGGTGCTCGTAGTGGTGCTGCGGTTCCTGGTAGTGCTGCTGCGCCTGCTGGTAGTGCTGCTGCTGATGTTGCTGCTGATGCTGCTGCTGATGCAGCTGCTGATGCTGGTGCTGCTGATACTCACCGGCAGCGGCGGCCACCATCATCATGGCGAACAATCCCAGGAACTGCAGAAGAGATAGAGAGAAAACCGTCAGTTTCCCGCCAAACAGCGCAGAGAAAGGAAGCACTGAATATCCTTGCAAAAGACATCCTTTCGCACCACTTTTTGCACACTTACAACTTTCATTTTGGTGTGTGTGTGTTGTGAGTTGACTAAGAACTTGATGAAAGAAATGCACTACTTGGCTCTCCTTGGCAAAGGAAAATACACCTTTTGCGATGGACTGTCTCGAGTGGGAATGATCATTTGGCGCGTGCACTCGAGTATTTATACCCAAAACCAAAAGACTTGGCGCGCGAACGCGCCCGCGAAGGTGGTGGAAACTTTGCACTCGCGGAGGGATTCGAAATGCAATCTCACACTGCGAAGCACACGGATCAATTAATACAGCCACTCTTTGGGTGTCTTTTTGCCCAGTCTTTCCTGATTGATCGTCACTTGAGGGAGAAAAAAAGCATCAAATGCGAATCTAGGGCAAATTTTGCCTCAATTCAGCCGCGTCGTCAGTGAAAACCGCCAAATGATTGACGCGAATTTTGAATATTGTGCCGAATTAGGAAGAGTTGTTGGCATTCTAGATGGAAGATTTACCAAATAGTGTAATTTTGAGCGGTTATTTGTAAAGACCTGCTCAAAGTCACTATTCTTGCCATATTCTGTCCTCAACTTTGATTTGTATTAACAGAGTTTTGCTTGTAGAAAATCTTACAAAAAAAATGATCAGAAGCTCTTAAAATAAAGCGACATTGCCAGTGAATGGAAATAATTCCAGTTTAGGTGGGTGGAATTGTTGATCTTAGAGATTATTTAGTTAATAAATTTGCCTCTTGTTCGTCGCCAATCTTTAATTTGTCAGTTCATATTCGCCGCAACTCTGGTGAGACTCGATCGCGAAATAGGCGATAAGATCATTCATCACTGAATTGTTCATTTTGTGCAAAATTGATCACAGGGTGGGTCCAAATACACCGCCCAAGAACACTTTGGCGCGCGCGATCTGTGCCATCCTAGAAGGCATCAATTTCATAACACTTTGCGGCAAAAAGCGCAATCTTTGTTGTGGCTCAAGATGCCGAATTTTTGCTCACACACTCATTACCATCTGTATCAATTGAGTGGTAAAAAATTAATGTGAGTTTATGTAATTTTTTACTCCTTGGCGCACTTTCTTGGCGCGCCGTTTCGAGCCCACACTCCCAATTAACTTGTAAAGAAATGTTCATTTGACAAAATTCTGCACGAGTCATGCAATTTGGGCCTCCAATAAAGAGCCAATTGCTTTTCGATTTGGCGCGATGGCGCTTTGTAACATGAGCAAATTTAATGCCTTATTTCGTCTGATTTTTACTCTTTGTCACCCATTTATTGTGCAATTGTGGCACTTTCAATTACTTTCATTCTTCAACATCTCTTGTTGATTGTCTCATTAACTCTGGGCGTTATTATTCACCCCAGAAGAAGAAACACCCAGCAAAGTGTGAAGATTAACATGGAGTTGGTGAAGATATTAACATCACTATATTATGTTATTTGTTCAACATTGGTAGAAAGTCACTGATACTTCCTAAAAAATAACTGAAAATTATGCGCCTTTTCCCTAATTGTTGTCTGTCTTCCGTTCCACCAAAACCGCCAAGGCGCTTTACTGCTGGCAATTAATAGTTGAAAGAAAGGAAAGAGCACGATTTTCCATAAATTTTTCACTAATCCTCATCTTCAATTCGATTTATGGCCACTTTCTTTCTCACTCTTGTCTACAAGACTCCGCGCGCGCGCACACAAAAAAGCGATTTATCAGTGAACTTTCCCACTTATCGCGATGTATTTGAGAATCTCATGTGCGAAAAAAATCAGCGAAACCAAAACATTAGCTTTGGCGCGATCAAGTCTTCTTGTCACCTCAAATTCAACCCAGTTTTGTTTTCAGCTTCTCGCGTGTGAACTTTTTTCACCGTCTTTTATGCTTATTGCAAATTTTTATATCTCTCTCTGCACACATTTTTTTGCCACTCTTATTTCCATTCATTTTTGCGGGCGGAAAACGTCGCGAGATAATTTGCAAATTAACCCATTTGCCGAAGAAGTCTGTCGGCGATCGCGAAGAAATGCACTTTCGGCATCAATTAAGACCGCGCGATTTTTATTGTTCAAGAAATTACTCACTCAGTCACAAGAAATAAATATTTATTGCCGTGAATAGAGACGATTGATTTAAAGTCCACTTTTTGACTTGGCTATTTTTGGGCGAGCGCGAGATGTTTTATTCATCAAGAGATGCTCTAGAAAGTGGAAAATTCATGCAAAAAAAACCACACTGGCAATTGATTCTTTGCGGCGAAGGATGACGGCAAAGCGGCGGAGGGAAAATCGCAATATCGCGCCCAGCGAGAAGAGTGTTTGATTGAGGGAAGTGCGATATTGTGGGAAGCGAGCATTTGGTCGTTGGTTGGTTGCTCGCCCTACATTTACATTGGTTGGTTTTCCCTGCTGATGCACAAGGAAAAAAGGGGACGATCCCTGCGGAAAAAAGCAGGTGTCACCAAAATTCCCGCTCCATGTTAGCTTTTGTACTCAACAAAACACTCTTTCAATGACTCAAAACCCACCGTGACCATTCCCATAATGCGCCGCTAATTCCATTAGCGCGCGACACTGTCGCCGCGAGGGATGAATCTTGGGCGGAAATCCTCCTTGGCAACAGCAGAGGAGATTCTCAAGAGACTTTTCCAGAAAATCAAGCCTTTCCTTAACGACTTTTACTGCAAAAATGCCCAAAAATCGTAAATCAGCATAAATAATTCCACCTGCAATATGTTTTTCTCCCCTCGTGATTTCCCTTCCTGCCAACATTCTGATTAAGTGGTTGATTAATTCACTCAATTCGGCAATTCCCCTCCCCAGATAGAGTCTAAATTGTGTCAAATGCACTTGGCCACAAAGCCCTCAGATTCCCGCTGATGAAATTCAGCCGAAGGGCTGAAAAATCCAGCGAACAATGCTTTTAATCTCTCGATCTTGTTGTGTAATACAAACGATTCATTAAGATAAAGGAAACACATTTGAATATTCAGTGGATTCCGAGTGTAATTTTTGCGCATGGTAACGAAATATTTATTATAATAAATCAAATATTTATTCAGTTCAAAACGATCAAAATGAACCTGGAAATGAAGAAAATTGTATAAATTTGGAGCAAAATTGCTAAATAAAATTAAATAATTGAGTTCAAGAAACCAAGCGCAATGATTAAAAATTGTCTGAATTGCCTGAGTTATGATAAAATACAAAAGAATGCAACATTTATAGTCAAATATCTTATATTAAAAAGAATTTCTGCATCGAATTAAACATCTTGAGTAAGAAGAAAGATGCTTCATGACTAGATTTAGAACTTTTAAAGGTATAAACGAAAGAGGATTGGTTCCGCCCATTAGCTTGCCACGCCCCTTTCTGTCTTCGTTCTTCGTTTCTGTACTTTTTCTTTCCCTTCTATCTATCTATCTTTCTTGCGAAATCTCTTTAACTAAGTGGAACTCAGCAACCCCTCGCCTTCCGGGGATGGTGCAGCCGGTGATTCCGGCACGCGCATCAGCAGGCGGACAAGCAACCCTCTCTGGTGCACGAGCCGTGGGACTGACGGCACCTGGCGCAGCCTGCGAGAGTGCACTCTCGAGTGATCCGCTGACTTCCCCTCGGACTTGTCGCTGTGTGGTTTCGCAATTAAAAGACTATTATGAAGGCAGGAGATTTGACGGGGTAGAAGGTCTGGGCGAGGGATGCTGTTTCCATTTGCGGGTCACCGTGAAAACCACTTGCTGCGTTCACGGGGAATTCCGTGAGATTTTCACCACTTGTTCCGATCTCGCTGGCGATGCGGAGGGATGAAAAATCAGGGCTGATGGCGTATAAAAGCCAAGGGATGGTCCAGAGAGGCAGACAGAAGTGTTGCGACAGTGTAGACGAAATGTTTCCAATCATTCCGCATCACATTGTTAAGGCTGTGTCTCCTTGCGAGGAGAAGTGCTTCAGGATATCCTCTTTCTCCACTCGTGCGCGGCCAACGAGTTCCGTGAAGGCGAGGAGTTTCTTGCCCAGAAACACGCTCTCAAAGACTTTCAGTGTCATCCACACGCCCAGTGTTGAGGGGAAAAGTTACAGTTTTGCGCTGATCGCTTTGAAGGGATTTCTTCAGGTGACTGAAAAGTGTCTGGCCAACTCAGGTGGATGGATTCGATTGCTTCCACTCGCGAGAGACGTTCACAGTGGGAATATCTGCCTGGAAATCACCGACGGCGGACAATCTGTAAACCTCAGAACCACCCGGAACATCGAAGAAGGCGAAGATCTTCAGCTGTGGTTCTCAGAGAAGATCCTTGCGCTCATGCAGATTCCTTTTCTCTCTCCTGTGAACATACAAGGTGAGCATTGAAGCCTCTTTCCCTCGATTAGGCACTAATACTGTGCTTATCCAGGCCAGAATCGCTACATTTGCCACATTTGCGAGCGCGTCTTTGAGGATCCCAATCCGCTGAAGATCCATCTGGCCACTTTCTGCGAGAAACACTCCCTGGACGCGCTCTGGAATCGACTCAACTTCATCCTCTCCTCCAGTTTCCGATCAGTTCCGTCTTCTCCGCCTGCCAAAACTCCCCTGGCAAGTGCTTCTGAAGTCTCGCCGAGATTCTCAGCCTTTCGTCCAGTCACAGCTTCGCCTCGCCTGGAGTCCGTCTCGCCGCCTCCGTCAGCCGCCGCCGCGGCCGCACACCTCGAGACGATCGTCAGCAACATGGGCTCCTCTAAGGCCGGCCATGTGTGCGTGTATTGCGGCAAGCTGTACTCGCGCAAGTACGGCCTGAAGATCCACATTCGGACGCACACGGGCTTTAAGCCGCTCAAGTGCAAGTACTGCCTGCGGCCCTTCGGCGATCCCAGCAACCTCAACAAGCACGTGCGGCTGCACTCGCAGGCCAACTCCGTGTACAAGTGCCACATCTGTGATAAAGTGCTGGTGCGGAGGCGCGATCTGCAGCGCCACATCCAGTCCAGACACTGCCCAGAAGCGCCAGAAGCCGCCGAGGTGGAGATGAGCTCGTCCAGCAGCGAAGACATCGCCTGAGACTGCAACACTCGAGTGATACGCAGGAGTTTGTATATAAAGACTTTAATAATAAAAAATGAGTAAAAATTTATCTCAACAACATTATTCATCTAACAAAGATAACTTGTCTCAAGTCCTCTATAAATACTCAAAAGAGGGGAAGAATTGAAGAGCACCGTTCACCCTAGATTTATCTAAGTTCCTATTCGACTGGAGGAGGTTCTCTCGACCTCACAATTTGGACGGACTGAGGTTCCACAGGGACTGTCAATGCTACAAGTCCTGCATGGCGAGGATGATGTTCTGTAGCGCCGTCCGGGCGTCCGACGAGGGCAGCTCGTCCAGCACCTTGAGCGCCGCCAGACTGTGCTTGCGCTGCAGATCACGCGTCCTGTCCAGGCCCGGACCCTTGATCACGGCCGCATGGACTTTGGCATAGTCGATAGCCTCCACATTCTCCCTGCCCTTCAGGATCTCCTCGTACAGACTTGGATCCAGCTCCAAGTGGAAGAGAACGGGCGCTGACACCAGGCTGAAAGTGGTTCCTGTGCGAGAAACTCAGTTACTCTCCGGAAAATACGTAATTCACACGCGAAAGGACTCACCCAGTGGCAGCGTGGACGTCTGGAAGGGTTCCAGGTCGAGGCAGGCTTGCCAGGCGAGCGCCAGGTGCTTCCCGAAGAGATAGCCCTGGTGCTGGAGCTCCTTCGGCTGGCCGGCGAGCTTCAGGGCACCCTGGCAACTCTTGCCCAGGAGACTCCCGGCGCTCAGGATGTGCCGCACGGCCCACTCGCGCTCCGGATCGCCGATCGCCTCGTCCGTGTCCAGCGGCAGCGCCACGTCGTTGAAATCAAAGTCATCCGAAGCCTCGGCGGCGCGTGCGCGCAGCTCGCGTGGCTTCGACGGCAGCGGCTTGTTCTGCTGGTCGCGCTCGCCGATGAACTCCGACTCGGCCAGATCGCGCACAGCCGACGAAATGAGTTCAATCACTTCCTGATTCCTAAGGACACGACAGACATTGGCATTTTACAGATAATTCACGAGAGATCCATTGAAAGGCGGGAGATTAATTTTATGCCCGCGAATTATTGGGCTATAAAATGGCTGGAAAAATTGGTCATAAAGTATCAAAAAATAAATCTTTCGCCAATTTTCAGAGGCGTAGTAAATGTCTACTTAATCCGATCAAACCTCTACCATTAGTCGATCCTTCGACTTATATTGTAGCAAATTTTCCACAGAATTAAAATGTTATTTCAATTTCATGAACTTTGAACTTCAGTTTTAATCGTTTGTTATCATAAATCAAAGAAAGACTAATTATCAAGAGGTTCTGATGTCGGTAAAGGCTTTTAGACCACATTTTACAGAAGATTAAGAGACTTTTATGACTAAGGAAAACAATTATGTAGATCTTTTCTTTAAAATATGAGAAGATCTAACGAAAACCTTCTCAATTCTAAAATAATAAGCTTATTTTTGAAAGAAAAACTGCCAGATTTTCCTTGGAGATTAATATAAAATATGCTCAGACGATCGATTTGTTCCAAGACAAGCAGGCTTTGAACGCTCTGCAGAAGCGCCGCCACTGACGATTTACCAAATTTAACCGCGAGTCCGCGATGCGAATCCGCGGCTGTCTCACCTGAGGCTGGCGAGCTCAGAGCAGGAGTTGGACAGCAGGTAGTCGCCGCTGAGCAGCGCGATCTTGTTGCCGAACGTCATGTCGCCGTGCGTGGCGGACAGGTCGCCGCCGGCCGCCGTGAGCGGCTGCAGATTCACGAGGCCCTGGTGCACGAGGTGCGAGATGCGGATCATCTCCGTGACCTCGGCCAGGCCGCGCTGCGAGTGCAGCACGCCGGCGGACTTGTCCTGCTCCATGTCGGGGATGCTCTCGGCGTGGCCGGCGGCCTTGGACACCAGCAGGACAATGAGGCCCCAGGCCTGCATGTTGTTCTTGCCGTTGTACAGCAGATTCCTGCGGCGGAGAGAGAGATTGTGTGTGATTTATGCAAATGGCACGCGACTTTCACCGCGCGCGACTCACTTGGCCGTCTTCAGGAGGGGATGGTTGCTGCCAACGAGCTTCCGGAGGTGCAGGGCCACATTAGCGATCTCGTCGCTCAGGAGCCAGCGCAGGCTGAGGAAGGACGTGGGATAGCCCACGATCTTCTCCGCCTCGCTCACGGCGCGGTTCCAGTCGTGCTTCTGCACGTTCTTCGTGGCCAGCTTGTCTGGCAGCGAGGCACTGGTGCGCAACCATCTGGCCGCGGAGCGCTGCTGCGTGGCCACGGCGCGGAGGCCCCTCTGCACGGACCACAGACGACTCAGGGACATCCTCGTGACGATCTCTGCGCAGGGAAAAGGGCACACAAGGATGCTGGGGCGCGGCACTGACGTGGAACTGTGAGATCTCTCGCGAAAACTGGGAGTGGGATGTTTACTCGAAAGTGGCACAAGTGAAATCTTCGCGAGCTGCTCTCCGGAATCCCCACTTCGCGTGACAGCTGATGCCCGACATAACCTCACAAAGGGAGAGTGAGACGCGCATTTCGATTAGCCGAGACGCACACTGTGTCGTTCAAAAGCGCGCCAGAGTCGAAAAGACGTTAAGAAAGTTTTGCAGAAGAAAAAAGAGAAATAGCAATTATTTTAAGGATATTTATTCTAGCTCTTAAAGTAGTTTCACACATTTACAAATTAGCGGAAAACTTCAATCTCTTTGAATTATTTTAAAGGCAACAAATAAAAGTTTACAAAGGTATTTCTTTATGGCAGGAACCGTCTTTGATTTCAAGAGGAAAATAAAACACAAACAAAATACACAATAATAGAGACCATTTTCGCATCTACTTTTCGCCGTTTTGTAAAACCACATCTCTCTTAAGAAGTACAAACGGAGGAAAACATCTACTCTCTTAAAGCTCAGGAAGATATTTTAAAAATAAGTTGAGTTTCTTATCAGTCCCCAAGAAAGTTTCTCTGTGATCTTCTCTTTGCCGGAAAAAAACCTTCTTCATCTCTTCTCCTCTCTAGAAATGTGTGTGTGGGTGTTTTAAATTTATTATACTTTCTAATGCTATTAACGTGTTTTTGTGTGTTTAACAGAACTTTTTTTTAGCAGTTTATATACTTAAGATATTTTCCATTTTTTCTTCACTGTTTTACTGGGTTTCCTTTCTTTTACTCAATAACTTAATCAATATGCCGTAAATATTGGTAATGCTGTTGCTGTATTTTCATAATTTTGCTACACTCCTTCATTTCTTGCTCTCTCTCTCTCTCTCTCTCTCTATGCAAAGCGCTTTTCTGATGTCCGAATGAAAAACTCGCTATAACACAAACAATCAAATAAATAAAGACTTTTCCTTTGGTCACATTTTGTCCATTATGTCTCATGTTTCTCAAGTTATTGTTGCATTTCTCTGGCTTCTTGTGTGTGTGTGTGCTTTTCCATGTGGAGAAATTAATAATTGTTTAGAATATGCAATAATTGATTGCAAAGATTTTACACATTTGTAATTTAAAACTTTCGTTGTTTCTCACAATTGCTATCATCTTTAGTTTTCTCTGTCTTTTCTTTCATCTTGTTTCACTTCTTGGAGTTCCTAAACGTTTCACTTTTGCAATGATGTTTCTTGAAGCAGGAAGATGAGCACCGGGAATTGAAATTCATTGTTATAACTTCTCTTCACGTCAATTTTTTCTTTCATGATTCAACTAATTTTTTTTTGTAACTTTTCAGTGTTTTTTTTATGTCTTTCATTATACATAACAGCGATGAATAAGTTAGTCACACTATTCTTTCTTATTATTCCTCATTAATAATATTTTTTTTTAAGCTATCACGTCGTCAAAACACATACTAAAGTTGAATATTCCTTCTCATAATCTCTCTCTCTTCTACTAAAAAGATATTTCTTAATACATTTATTAGGTTTTTCTGTCTTATTTATCTTCTATACACATTTTATATCGCACTGTTTCTGCTCACATTCAATCGATTGGGTATTTCACTTATTAATTTTCTTCTTCATTTTTTTTTCTGGGAAAAGAACATCTTTTATGGAAATGAAAAGTTTTTTTTATCTTGGGAAAAAGGAAAATTCTAATTGTTTTCTCTCTTTTTCAACTTCTTTTTCTTTGTAAAATGTTCATATGTAATCAAGATTTGAGATATGCGTTTCAGAGTCGTTTTTTTGATATCACTTTTGGATATTAAATTTACTTATTTTTCAGGAGAGTGAATAGAATTCTTATTTTTTCTTCAACTTTTTTAATGCATTCCCTCAAAGTCTCAGACAAGCCACAAGAAGTTTAGTCGGCAATTGCTAAAGTGCCGAAGGAAATTATTGATATTCTTCATTGGGTGTTGTTTTTCTACTTTAGTCATGTTTCTTTTTTTTCTTTTACCTTAAAATACCTCTTGACTCTTTTTTATGCTTAGAGATTAAGAATTAATATTTTTTAAGACACATACAAATTCTAAGCTTTTACATTTCCATAATTTTTTTTCACCTGCAGAGTCGCTCAGTAAAATTATTCTCCCTCAAAATTAAACCACTTTTCCTCACATGGTAATATCAAAAGGAAAAATTCTTTCCTTCAATCCTCCTAAATTACCTGCACTTTTCATCATTTCCGCCCACTTTTCAGCCTCCCGACGACTTATTTCTCGCTTTAAAACTATATCTTTATGTACTTGTCCATTACCATAGTTTTTCTTATCTCCATAAGTTAAATAATAAGTTGCAATACGAAAAATCATCGTGATTTCTTCTCATCAAATTGGTTTTCATTTTTTTTTACTCATTACTTAAAGACATAAAATTGAAAGGAAAATCGAAAACAAACTCTTCCGTCTTCACCACTTTTTTTTGGTTATATTTATAGGCACAGTTTATATTTCTTCACTTTTTTTCATCATCATTTTAAAACTCTTAATAAAAAATGGTTTATAAATTTCCTTTAATTATTTTTAATGCTTGAAATCACATTATTGCACCATGTTTTTCTAAAAATTTGTCACTTCTTTTCATCAAATACAATAAATTTAAAGTTTCTTTGCTGTTTTTTTTTCTTTAGAGTTTCCATTTTTGCGCTTCTTTCTTCATCGCTTTCTCGCCACATTTTTTTGTATCGTTTTATTTAATCCAAAAATCAAAGTTTTGCAGTTGTTTTCGCCTATTCATGCTTGACAAAAAGGGGAAATTAAATGTTTAGCACACGCAAACATGTCTTTTCAAAACTCAAATTCACCACAAGTTTTCATTGTCTGCATTAATGCAATTTTATTATATGGATTTTTAAATTCAGCCAAATTAAGCATAAAAAAAACCTTTCTTGTGACATCATTTCATCTTCTTTTTAGCCTTCATCCTCTCTTTCACTCTGGGAATCTCTCGTTAATGCTGAGGAAAATGAAAATCGTGATCATTCCATGATGATTTGAGGTAGTTTCTTTGCTCGACACGCGACTTGAGGAAATTGTCCCGTGAAAAGCGCTGATGGGCAACAAAACAACACAGAGGAAATGACACTAAAATCTACGCCGAAAGTCCCTGACTTTCTCTAAATCCACGCTTTCAGGCTCTAACTATTGCTTTTGAGATCGTGTTTTACAAGACAATTTCCCAAAGTTTTGTGTCTCATGGTCTATTTTCTTCAAAAGGAGGAAAAGAATTAAAAAAAAAATGCAGAATGAACAGAGAAAAAATGTCAATATAACTTTTCTCCCACGTTGCTAACCTTTTTTCTTCTTCTCTACTAATTTTCTTCTTTTATTCACTTATAGTTTGTGCAAAATGTAGTTTTTTTTTCTTCTTTCTAATTCATTTGCTTCCACAAATTCTTCGCCCTCAAACATCTCCTCCTCATCGTCATTTAACTTTAAGTATGATTAACTGGTCCATTTTCATGTTATCTTGAGTGCATATTTCATGAAATTTTGCTGTTTACACACTAAGAGAAAAAACAAACCCAAAATTCAGCTCTCATTTTAGGATGATTAGTTATTTTGTACGCACAATCAATGTCAATTCAGGAGTTATTCTGGGTGTCCTTTTGCATTCCTCTCACGTCTTATTAATCCCCCATTTAAAGTCTATATTACTTAATATGTGAACAGCGTCAGCATTTTATTTATCATTAAAGAGAATTACGTGAAATATTTATCCTTCAATGTTAATGTTATTTTATTTACTTCTCTTTTATGGTGGGTGGAATTTATTATAAAAAATTTGTCACTGATTCTTTTGAGCAATAAATCACACAAAACGTTCTTTTCCTCAAGCTTCTCTCTTTCTCTCCTCTCTCACTGGTTTTACCATTCTTTTCTGTCCCCCTTCTTTTTCTTAGTAACATCATTCAATTTACTGGTTTTTCTTTTGCATTTTACGTGACTCATTCTTGTTCATATTTTTCTTCTCCACGTTTAAATACACATTTACAATTAATTAGAAATATATAGAAAAAGCAAATAACTACAAAAATATTAATTTATATTTTATAATGCACTTTTATCATTCGCTTTTAAGTCCTCAGAGCGTGTATTGAATAATTTGAGTATGTCGGTTGATCTCTAAACCTCACATTTAAACCATTTTTGTTCCTGCATGTTTTCTCTAACTTTATAGTTTACACTTTTCCTATCTGTGTTTGTGTGTGTTGGTTTTCCTCACACCTCAGCATAATGTGATGTTTAATTAAAAAAACTAACACGAAGAAGTTTTGCTATTTAACCATTAGATTTATATCTCATGTTTTTTTGGTATATTTTCCCAGTGTATTTTCTAATTCAAAAAACTTTATATCTTATTTCTTAAAAATTGGGCGGAATTATCTCTTCATTTTTTCATCAAAAAACACTTTGACAAAATCAATTAAATTCTGTTTGTTTTTTTCCTTTCATTTTGCTTTCGAAGATGCGCTGAAATTAAAAGCTTTTATCTCATATAAATTATATATAAAATAGTCTGTTGCAATTTGAATTGAATGGTTCTCAACTGCTCAATTGATAGTTTGCTGATTTTTTTTATTTTCACTCCCCCCGGAAGACTTTTTAATCCTAATTTTCATCAAGTTTTCTCTCTTTCTCTCTCTTTACTCTCATTGACATGAGTTGTGTTTTTCCTCCTCACTAAATTAATTTTAAAAATGCAAATCAATTGAGAGATTTCTCTTCTGCGGAGAATTCCATCAATCTCCAATCACATTTCATCATCCACCTTTTTTTTCTTTTATAAGCTTAAGAAATATTTCCATTATCTAACTTCATAATTACAATTTTTATCTTTGTATGTTCAATTTTTTATTCTCTTCTTCCTTAATTGTCATTAACTACCTTTCGTGCTTCACTTTTCCTTTTCTTTTGATACAATTCACAAATGAAATCCTTGCTTGATATGATTGTAGCAAATAAGTTTCCGCCGTTCAATCATTGACACGCGCGCGCGCTTTTTCACTGTCGAATAAACGCGAGCATTAAAACAGTTTCCAATTCTTTACCTATTGCGCTGCTCAAATTGAGAGTTCCTAAATCGGGTGGGAGTTCATTTTCGGTCTCTCTAATTCTATTATTTTGGAAAGAAAGTGTTTTTGTTTTTCTCAACAACAACTACAACAGAATCGCAATGCTCCTAAATTCCACACTCTTAAGCCGGTCCATTCTCCACAGTCGTCAGCGATGCGGCATTGTTCTCATCCACAATTGTGGCCTTTGCGGAAGTCGCTTGGCTCTTGCACTCGCTTATTTCATTGTTGTTGCAATTCTTGCTGCAATGAGAATCGTCCATCAAGTCACATACAAATCAATAAAACCGCAATCTTTCTGAATTGATTAATAGTCAATTCCCATGACGTGAATTGAACACACAAACACACGGAATTTATGAGCGAAAAGAGGTCATTTTCAGTTTACTCACAGTTCCACATCAATGGAATTATCAGTTGGTCCATTGCTTGAAAGTATCTCATCGGCACTGTCTTCATTGCTCTTTGGCTCCTCCGCAGAATCGCCAATCACACCATCATTGGTACTCTCCGTTGCGACACTTAATGGCACATCAGTAGCTTCTTCAAAAGTGTGAGAGTTGTCTCCATTTTTGGCATTTTCATCGCTGCAAACACAACACAGTAATATTCAGCAAGAGGTCAAAAGTTTACATTTTTTTGCCAATTTCTCACCAGGTTTTATCTTCAGTTGCATTTTCAGTCTGATCAGGAGTTTTGCTGCCATCCTCAACCACTGGAATATTCTCTACGTCGCCCTCTTCCGCCTCATTTGCATCCTTGTCCGCGCCGTTGCTCGCCTCCAGACTCTCGATCTCCTCCGCATCCTTGTCGCCATCATCATTCGCGCCACTCTGAAATCCGCCATCGGAGCTGAACTGGTTGAAGTGCGTGTCGAAGTCGGCGAAGTTGTCGGAGGAGAAATTGGCCCAGCCGGAGTCGACCAGTGGCGGCTGCTCCCTGACCGGCGCCACGTTCGAGTCCCAGGGACTGATGAAATTCACCAAGTTGGCCTCCTTGCTGTCCTCCTCCTTCGACCACTCCGACTCGAAAGCCTCCTCTTCATCCGGCCACACCTTCAGGGTGTTCAGGATACTCGAACTCAGGTCACTTGATATGTAAGCCGAGAAGAAGTTATCGATGGCCTCAGTGTTGGCCATGTTCGGTATCTCATCTATTGCAGAGCTGCAAAGGTGAGAAAATAGCTTTGTTAGCTTGATTTTCAAGAAATACACCAAGATAAACATCTGTGAAGATTTGCTAATAAACTAGAAATGGCCTTTAGCTTGTCATACAAACAGAATTCTCCTTATTAAACAACTAAGAGCTTCTGAACTTCCAACAAATCCCATTCAATCTCAAGTCAGAAGTTCTGAGCGAGTCCTTTCGGGGCCAAAAAAGGGATTTCTACAGTAGAAATAAGAAAGAGACTCACTGCATGGTGTCTCCAAAGTCGTTAAACGTATCTGATGCCTCGTTGTAGAAGTCTTTGGGTCCCACGTTGTTGTCATCCTGAAATGGATTGTGATCGGCCAGGAAGCGCTTCTGCTGCCGCATCTCCACCGTCAGCTCGCCCGAGCGCTCCTCCTCGTCGGCAGTAATCTTCCGCCACAGCACCATCTCGTCCTCCGTGAGAGTCGAGTCGATTAAGGCACGAAGTTCCTCAGACATTGTGTAGCATGAAACCAGCGAGTCGAGGATCTGGATCAGGTGGCCCATGTAGCCGAGACGGCGGCCCTGATTCTTCTCCTGCTCACTCTCATTGTACATCCAGCAGTCCAGCAACTTTGACACGACCCGACAATCAACCACCACCTGAAACAGACACACAGAAGCGCGTTGAGCGCGATGGCGAAGAGGAAAGGGAATTTCAATTGGGGTCAAAGGTGAAGTGGTAAGAATTCATGGTCAAAAATCAAGTGTTACGCAAGCGAGCGCTCTTTTTCATCATCCATTTCGCTCTTCTCACTCACTCAGTTCAATGGCAAGGAGAGAAAGAAAAACGGTTTCAAGATGTGAATTTAGTGCATAATTTTCGTGTGTGTTTACCAAGAATTCAACTTAACTATGTTGCAAATTGCTTATCTATCTTCAAAATACACTCAGTCTAGCCATGATTTATTCAATTCGCTTTATCTTAAGCTCCGCTGGAAATCATTTGACAAACACAACACAGCTCGAACATCCCAGAGATTTACACAAAAGGTACTTTTCAAATCGACTCTCAAAGAGTTGAAGTCAACATAAATTTACCCCGTCTTTCTCTTGACCGGAAAACACCCTTTTTACACCCCCATAAAATGCTTGATTGAATGACTCTGACTCTATAAAACTTTCATTTTTAGCACGACAATAAAAATCTTTGCATTTCCTGCAATTCTACTGAACGAATGCGGTTCACTTTCCAACGCTGCATCGTAAAATAACATTTGTGCTGCAACACAAACACTCCAATCTAATTGGAAGTTCGCTACAGATCATTTCGAAAGATTAATAAATTGAAGAATATCAGAATTTTTACGCACCATAAAATCCAAAACGTACTTTTTCTCTCTTCCTCTCAATGTAACAGTTAATACATTTTGAATAACATTTTCCAGTGAGTGATTTATGGAATCCGTGAGGCGAATGCATAAATCTTGTTTTTTTTTTGGGCAAATTGCGAGTCTCTTTCTTGATACTCACGTGCTTCTGTAAGGCAGACAAATGCAACAGAGTTTTGAAGTTCTCCTGATCAATGCCCGTGTCAAAGGCTTTGAGGGCATAGCGCAGACACTTGTTGACATGGTTGTGTAGAAAATTATTCCAACAGTATTGCTTAAAGAGGTTGAGCAATGTGTTAAAAAAATCTGTTGCACAAATTCTGCAAAGAGAGAATGAAGGAAAAAAGAAGGGTTTCATTAGTCCCTGAAGTGTCTTTTGCTCATGCTGTGTGATTCTCTCAATTCTAATTGAATTGCGTAAATCTGTTTTGTCTTCATCCGGACTAAACTCTGCTGTCAAGCAACATTCGCGAGTGTATAATTCCAGCGATAAGACATCTTTATCACTGCTTCAGCTTCCTCTAATGCGTAAAAACAGATCGCAAACACCAAAAATTGTCAATTCAACAGTTGAACTTACGCATTGATAATATCACTATCTTGTGTTTCTATTAATACTGTGAATAGACAGCATATATGAAGTCTTGTATTTCCGAAAGCTGGCAAAATGTCCACGTTCGCCTCCACGAGCATCGGTGATTTTGCCGGTGATTTCAGGAGGAGCTCATGAAATTTCCCCACGTGAAGCTTCAGCACGCCCAGGATCTTCTCCACCACCGTCAAGTGGTGCTCCTTCTCCTTGTTCACGAGATACTGAACGGCGGAATCGTCGGAAAGCTCATTTCTGTGCCCAGAGAGAGAGAAGACAAAGTGCGTCAATTTAGGACAAAGAGGATTCGTGCGCGGACAACTCACGTCGTTAAATACTCAATTAAGGCAAGAATAATGGTTATGCCGGCGACAATGCTGCCGTCGCTACGGCGCTCGTCGTCGAGAATCGTGCGCAGCAGCAGATCGGCCGTCTTCTCGTCCTCCAGCGTCTCCAGCAGCATGTCCACCTGATTGACCTCCTCCTTCTCCGTCTGCCGCTTCCGCCTGCCCTCGCGGATGTACTCCACGAGGAAGAGCGCGATGTTCTCGTGCCGCTCACGGTCACCGTCCGCCGCGCCCAGCGCCTGGATGAGGCGTTCAATGAGATTCTGCTGATTGAACCACTCAAGCAGACTCTGCCGCAGCTCCGGTCCCTGGATGTGCATGATGATGTACAGCAGCAGGTCCATGATCACCGGCGTGCCCATGTGCTGCAGCATGGCGCCCAGAAAGTCCTGGCGCGACTTGATGAAGTCCAGCACCGTGATGCACACGTACTGATATGCGAACCAGTCCTGGTGCTGCTTGCGCGCGATCAGCATGCCGAACGTCTTGCAGAAGAAGGACATGAGCAGCGGATTGAGCGGCGGCTTGCGCTCCAAGAACGAGTACAGCTTCTGCAGAATGGCGGGATCCGACACGAGGCTCTGGTTGAGGGACGGCAGGTCGCTCGTGAGGATCTCGCACGCCAGATTGGAATGCTTGAAGCGCTCACTCTCCGCCACATCTGCGGGCGGCTCCGTGATGATCAGCGTCACGAGCTCCTCCAAGATGTCCGGGCGATTCAGGCTGCAAAAAGCAGAGTTTTGTCACTTCTAGCGAACTTTTAGAGCTCAGAATAGTTGCAAACTTTCCAATAAGACACAGATAATTGGAAAAATGCGATTTCTTGAGCCTTAAGGCACAATTTCTTCAGAAAAAGATTCAATTCTATGAAATCAAGCATCTGTTTAACCTCGTTTTAATGGGTCAATTTGTCCATCCAATAACTAATGAAACTATTTTGCCTTTCTCTGAAAGTCCTTTTCAACGTTTATAATGCAAATTTAGGCTCTGGGATTGAATTTTTTTGCACGTTTTCACATTTTCTCATTCGAAATGTCCAACTGTCACACTGAAAGACGGGAAAGCTGAAGAGATTCCAGCGGAAAATTAAAAGCAGGATGTTTTTGTGGCTTTTTGATAATCGTGAGCAAACTATTTGGCTTTAAGTGGTGATTTTTGCACCGAATGAAAGCCAATTAAGTGGTCTAATTACATCTCTGGGGTTCGAGATTCAAATGAGCACAAAAGTGTCCCAAAACTGCCCGCTTCTCCCGTAGCCAGTACAAATTGGCTTCCAATTTGCGGGCTGGCATCTGTTTGTCTTATTGGCCTGACAGCTCGGCTGTCCGGACAGCGGGCGACCATTTGCTGGCCGGAATTGGCGGACTTACAACTGCACCAATTTGGTGTTCTGTGTGCGGCACTCCTGCAGGATGTCCTGGTCCTCGAGGATCTCGGTGAGCAGCGGGTTCTCCTTGTTGAGCAGCGCCTCGATGTGCTGAGACGGCGTGTAGGAACCATCCCAATACATGGCTGGGCTGCTTAGTTCACAGGCGCGAAATCTGTCCCTTGGCGGCCTCGCGAATTGCTACTAAATGGGTGACACAGCACTGGAAGTAATTAGCGGAATATCAGCACAAGTGCACTTGGCGGAGCAACAGCGACGGCCAGAAGAGAGCGTGACACATTTTTCTCGCTCGACTTCCTCCGTCACTGCGCGAGCGAGAGAGCGCGGGGCGCCGTGTCACGCGACCCCGCGGGGGCGCGCTCACCTTCGAAAAAGGATCACAGATACAACATGAAAGCGTAGTCGCGCAGCACTAGTGGAAAAGTGGGTGGAAAACAGCGCGGTTTCCGGGCACGAAGAGCAACTCCAACTGCGACTTTTGTTGCTTCCTGGCCAGCTATTCTCGCAGTTTTGTGTGTGCGAGTGAGAAAAAACTGCAAGTCGCCCCTCGAATGGCAGCACACCAAGAGTTCCTTTCTTTCAGCGCGCCCCGAAAACTTTTCGCCACGAATTGCAACTTACGCACGAGATTACGCGTGTAACACTATCGAACCCGAGATTATTGAAACTTTTCACACACTCCTCAGTACAACACAGTTCATTGAAATTTGTTAAACTAGAGCGTAAACTAAAAAGAAATTTACAAAAACCCATCCATCATTTTTTACACACTGTGGGGAATTTTTGTCTCGCGAAGCTACACGAAAATTACTGCACTGTTGCTCAGTCGCCCAATGAGCGCCGCGAGGTCATTGACAGGCTGTCAAAACGACATGTGGACATGTCCGCGGACAGACGGTGGATTGGCGACAAAGGAAACAGAATTTCACCGATAAAAGTATTCACAAGAATTCAGAGAACTTGCCAAGCTATCAGATTGGCTTCAAATCTTTCGATTCGTGTTAGTACATGGATAATTTTCTTTCTGTCTTGTTCGAATAATCTTTTTTAAGCATTGTTTTCGGCTATGATTTAATTAGTGGTTAAAAGCACACTTTTGCCAACTAGAAGAGGTTCAATTTCATCAAAACAGCACAAATGGAGTATGTGTGATAAATCCGTAATGAATTTTGAGCGAAATTAATTTCAACTTTTCAATGGACAGTTACACTGGAATGTTAATAGATTTGTCCAACACTGAGTGTCGGAAAAATGTTACTGGGAAAACGGCGCATGCTTTGACCCTCAGCATGCAGCATATGCTTCAATCTGCTCAAATTGGCGCCAAAAGCACGAGAATGTACAAAGTGCATAGGGAAAACGAAGCATTTTTCTCACTATTGTGAATAATTTATAGGCCTCAGTATTTTCACTGGGAGAATGAAAAATGCAACAAGAGGACGTATTTAGAGAGCCTCCATTGTGTTGACAGAGGGAAAAATAACACGAAAGGATTCGGAGAAAAGTGCAAGAGGAAAACACAGCTTTATTATGCAACTATTATATTTTTTATATCCCATACAATGGTACACGGTGACAATGAAGCCAAACTTATTCCATACTAAAAGACGTTTTCCATTATATTTCATCTGCTCACGATATTTTTTATTCTGCTTCATGGAATAAAAAATAATAAAAGGAGTCGAGGAAAACGAAATCATACAATCAATTGAACGCAATTTCAATGATCCAATAGATTTTTTTACACATACACATTTTTTTCTTCATTTAAGGTAATGCTTTTTAGCTAGATTTTTCTTCACTTTTTTTTTTAAGAATATTTGTTCTCTTGTTTTGTACCTACACAATGTTTACTCTTGTTTTAATCTTGAAAATTACACAATAAGAATAATTATAAGTAGAGAATAATTATGATGGGTAATTATGCAACATTTAAAAATTAATATCTCATCGCATTAACAGGTAAGAATTATATTAAATAAAATTGTACATTTCTCTTATAAATTTATTGGATTTCTTCTCAATCAAGTTTTGGGGCAAACGAATGGGTTTTCATGTCTCCATTGCGATTTTTCCTATGTTTGTCGGTCAATAAATTAAATTTCTTATATGAAAATTATCATGTTGTAATTTAATTCTGTTTATGCAATATTTAGATTATTTAGTTTAATTCATCATTTTTACTTATCATGTCATTAATTAAGCTTTCATTCATGCACTGAATTCTATTTTTCACTTGGTTTTCTTCTTCCTTTAATATTCTTAAAAATTCTGATTAATTTTCATGTATTTCTTCTTGTTTACTTCATAGGATTAATTAAATAATGTGTATTGTTTCTTGTGTGTATAATATACGGCGCGTATTTGCACGGATTCATTTTCACTCCTCACATTTTTGTCGTGACAATAATTAGGGTAATTCATTACACTTCTTTAAATGATATCAGTATTTACAATGAAATATAGATACAAATTAGAATACAATCCGTTTTTGTGTGTGTCTATCGAAAACCATTTTCCTGTCACTTAAGATTAAACATCGGAGAAAATATAAAGGATTAATCTACAATCGGGTTATTTCAATATCATGGAATTCCTCTATAAAACTATCATTTCATTTAAATAAATTGCTGTTTCTTTTCTCACTTTTTTTCCTTGTAAATTCACTTGCTCTTCTCTTTGGCTCTGGAAGTGTTTACATTTGAATTATTAAAAAAAGGGACAATAAATACAAGAAATGTTTCATCTTTCTCACCTTTCTCGCTTAAATAAATATAAGAGGAAAATCTTACAAGACAGAATAGGTTTTAGGTATATAAATTAATGTGTTGTGAAGAGTGGTTAAAGAACGGATTTCTGTTCATTTTTCTCTTATTTTGTGTGAGTGTTGAAAAGTTTCTTCATCTTCTTCTTCTGTGTCTAACATTGAATCTGTTGCTGTTCGGAAAATGGAATTTTTTTCTTCATTCATTTAAAATTGTTAAGTTTAATAAGACGTAATATTTCTTTCTATTTCTCTTGCATCATTAATGTCATTTATTTAATTGTGTTTCTCTTTGAGAGGAAAAAGGGAATTTATTCATTCACTTTAAATGCTCTCCTTCGGCCTTAAGTATTTCTGTGGTTCTCGCACTAACATCAATTTTATTAATATCCTCTTCCATTTTCATCATTTTTCTCCCTAAATATATGCTTAATAATTCAAATTAGTCATACTTTATTGGTATACAGTAAGAATTTATCATGTCTCTTGTTCATTTACTCTTCTGTGATATTCTTTTCATTAGCAATTTGCCATCTATTATCGTCTTTTCTTGCAGTTTAGTCTGTCTCAACTACGGAAAGAGTGGTTTTTTCTTCTTCTTCTCCTTGAACTTCATCTGAAGGGAGGAAAAATATTGCGAAAAGTGCGCAAAATAAATAAATAGGAGGGAAAATCATGGGGATAAAAGAACGCTCTAACAACACTTTTAATCGCGCTCCTCCTCGTGATTATCATACGAATATCATCTTATCTTAAATCTCTTCCACATGCGATTTTTTCTTCTTCTTCTTCTCTCATCATCAAGTATAAAGATATGAAAATAATTGCGTCACACATTTTTTTTCCTTGTCCAAAAACTCACGCCTTTCTTCAAATCCTTTTTCTCAAAAAGGTGTTCACTAAAAATTATAAGTTATCAACAGAAAAATTCTAACAAATACCAACCATTTTCGCTCAACTTGCTTGCTTTTCTCTCTCTCGCTACGCAAATATCAATAATTCTTTTTTTTTATAATAAATTTCCTTTTTATACCTTTTTTTGTTACCACGAAATAATCTTTTTTCACGACTCTGGTCATCGACACAATCCCGCTAAACTTTACAATAATCTTTATCTCATAATTTTGTGTAGATTTCATGTGATTTTCCATGTTTTTTTTTGATAAATTTTGCATTTAATAATTTTCCTAAAAATATTTTAATAATGTACAAAATTTTGATGACTCTCTCGGGAGGGATCTTTGTGTTCTGTTTTTTTTTTCTTCTCAATATTCAATTGAATCCCATGAGAAAAATTCAATTAGCAGAGTGGAAAACAACAATTTTGAATTAGTTTTTTTTTCATTCAATATCACAAAAATTAGTGTGAAAAATAGGAGATAAAAAATGCTATCGGAAAGATTTGGAAGGCACTTTTCTACTTGACGATTTATTTTTTTTTTACACTTTTTGAACACACTGGCCAAGACAATTTTTTTTTCATTTATAATGCTTACAATACTCAAAAAAGACTCTCTTTGCGCTGCAAAAATCGCCTCTGCGATGGCAAAATGTGGATAAATTTTGAATAATCATTCCTAAAATGTACACAATAATTTCTCTAGTGATTCTTCTTCGCACTTCTCTATTAAAATATTCTCTCAGGCGACTCTATAAATCTCTCTCACTTGCCCTAAAAAGTCACTTTTGCATCGCATTCGGCGAGGTGATTCGCAGCCAAAGACAAGGATCAAGAAGTCAACAACAGATTTCGGGTGTATAAATTCAATTTCGAAAGCTTCTCTCCGTGACTTTTTCACTCTGCAATGAAACAAAACGACCTCGCATGGGATTTCCCGCCCGTTGAGAGTCACTCTAGTGGTGTTTTGCCTAAAATTTACACATATTTCATATTCATTTTGTTGCCAAAAAGTTATTCAGTCCCAAAAAGTGGCCTCTTACAATATTCATCTAATTTTTTTGTTGTCCTCAACGTTATAATTTAGCTTTATAGTTAATCCAAAAAGGTTCTTTTTATTTGTCCTAAATGATTTTCCTCCTCTTATTTTCCTTTTTTTTACTTTATTAGTGTTCACCGTCCTCTTGTTACCTCATTTCCTATACAAAATACTCGATAAAGTGAGATTGTGTCACAATTAGAAGGCATTTTTAAATTTATATCTCTTCCAAACAGTTTTTTTCTTCTTCTTCTTCTTTAAACATCCTCTTTTCGCCACGACGTTCTTCAGCTTGTTTTTGTACATTGATTGGTTTTTGCTGCTATTCATTCGGTAAATGCTACAGATCAAATGCAATGTGTGAAAGGAATTTCCGTCAACTGAACGACGAGAAAAGAAGGATCTTCCAAAGGAATGTCTCCAAATATCCGTCTTCTGCATATTTCTGTGGTGCACTGAGTTGAATTGAGACGCAATCTTAACCAGAGATCTGCGCGAAACACTTTCGCAACCGTCGATCGACAGAAAGCCTACCTTTTGGCATCTTTCGGTTTGGGTTACTTATCATCTGCGTCAAACTTAGTACCAAGAGAATCACAAATAATCAAAATTAGCAGTAAAACCTGTAGAAATAAGCCCAGAAACTTCCTAGACTTGCTAGGTAATGATCAAGTTCTGCTATTTCAGAAAATATTATGAATAATCTGTCCGACGCCATCTTTCCAAGATGTCTTCTTGTGTAGAAAATGTTTTAAAATTACTCTTTTCCACTGAATGAAAGTACAAAACGGCGCTTAAAGTGGTGATTAAGATACATCAAAGGATAGCTTTCGCTGTTCTGGCGCAGATCTCTGATTTGAACTCATCTTAAACGGTTTCTTCTTCAAAATCTCTGAAATATTGCACGCGATTCATCTTCCCTCTTCGCACTCGAGAGAGAAAGAGTTACTCAAGCGACTATTGCACATCGCCAGTGCTTGTGATCTTGCCAGCCTACTTCTAGGGATGATTTGAGGGGAGAAAGAAAGGACTTTGAACTCGATTCTATTGCACAGGCAAGAAGAGCGCTGCCGGAAACGGCGGCGAGGCGCTCGGAAACGGCGGTGTAGCAAGCTCTATTGACAGGAGTCCGCTGGTGGCGAACTGCAACACTCAGAAGGGGTGGTGGGGCTTAGAAGGGGAAAAGTCCAGTGGGGTCAAATCCTACGAGTTCGTCCTCGGCCGCGTCTCACTCGCTCCTGCATTCGGTCACCGGCTCCATCTTGATGCCGCCGCCGTCCTTGAAGCCGCTGAGGCGCGACGGGCAGGAGCGTGGCGCGCCCACGATGTCCGCGATGTCCTCCTGGAAGATGTTGTCCTGCCGCGGCGAAGTGTAGCCGCGCGACTTGTAGGACATACCGCTCACGCCCACGGCCAGATTCACGGCCGGCTCCAACGCCATCTCCAGCGAGGAGTTCAGCGAGTTGTCGTCCGGACTGGCCATGCGCAGATCATGCGCGGATCCCGGCGATGCCAGGCGCGTGATGTTCAGCCCGCCGCCCGACGCCGGGCCGCTGCTCGTGGCCGTCTCTCGCGTGGTCGACACGGAAACACTGGGCAATCCCGGCAGTCCGTGCAGGCCAGACAGCGCCGCCAAGCCTGGCGAGCCGTGGCGCGGCATCGGGATGGAGCCGCTCGCGTTACCGCTGCTCAACTGTCCCGGCGTGGCCGGGGAGCCCAGCTTTGGCATGGGGATGCTGCTGGCCGAACCGCCGTTGTTGGGGTGGATGTTGAGGTGCGCCGGCAAGTTGAAGCCACCCGCCGCCACGAGATTGGCGGCATCGGGGTGGTGCTGCGCTGCGGCGGCCATCTGGATCTGCTGACGAATGCCGTGCGCCACGGCGGCAACGGCGGCCGCTGCGGCGGCGTCCGGCGACATGGACTCGGGCCCGGCGACCGGCGGAGCCTGCGGTCCTAGGCCGTTGGTGCACGGCGAGCCAGAGTAGTTGAGCGCGCCCTCCTGGAAGGGAAACAGAGGCTGAGAGACGGCTTAGACCGCGGCCGAACGGCCGCCGAGTGAGCGCCGGAGTTGACTGTGGCCGTCTAGGCTCTAGCCGGACTAAAAAGGAATGTAGGAGACGTTATTTTCTGATCAATGCCTAAAAGCTATGGAGTGAAGCCAGGATTCAACAGTCAACTCCGAGCACCAAATTCTCTATTCAAGCATTCACCTTAGCCAGTGGCGTAGTAAGAATGTTACGTGAAGATCAGAGAAAATTATTAATTAATCTGCACCTAATAACTCTAAAAAGGCAAATTGTGGGGTCTTTATAGGGAAAGTGTAGTGCGCGAACAATTGAAGTGAAGCGTATGCTTCAGTAGGAACATTCGACAGCGACCATTGTTAAAAGTTATATTTATCGTACTCTGTCTTAAAAAAAAGAGGGTCTCGAACTCACTTTAACTTTCTGCACGGCGAAAAGACACAAATCCTCTAGATTTGGGACCAGGAAATCTTACTACGCCACTACTCTGAGTGCATTCTGGGCTAGGCTAGAAGTGTGCTCACCGAGTGCCGGCCGTATCCCATGGGAATGCCCTCGTCCTTGAGCTCTTTGGCGTCGCGAAAGACCACGGTCTTGATGACGCCGCGGATGTGATCGTCCGGCCAGATGCCAAGCAGGATGCGCTGCGGGCGGCCGCGGCCCTTGGGGCGCAGGTCCGTGCCGCCGTCGATGGACGGGCCCAGCATGTTGTGCACGCGGTTGGCGTACAGCACGAACGTGGGGTACGGGATGTCGTACTTGCGCGCGGCCTGCGACAGCGACAGACCCTCCTTCAGCACGCTAAAGATGGCCTCGGCCATGGTCTCGGGGCGCCAGGACTTGAGTGGTCCCCGCTCGCGGAACCGCAGGTGGTGGATGATGTTCTGGTTCGTATTCCAACACTTCTGCCACATGGACTGCAGCTGGTACTGGTAGCTGTCTGCAAAGAGAGCGCGAGCGCCAGAAAAGACCAGAGTTAGTGTGGCGGACAACGACAGACTTTTGACTTCCAGGGAGCCAAAGTGCCAGCGGATTTCGTCAGAGAGCCAAAAACTCGCTTGCGTCAATTAAAGTTAAGCCATAATAGAATATCGTAGGAACTAATTTGATGTGTTATTTGCAATTTGGCGTATATGTTAATTAAAAAAGTGTCTTTTCCACTGACTCATGCCGCCTGCAAATACGGAGGAGTATGATTAAATAAATTTAATTAATTCTCAACTGCGCAAATGCTTTTTGCCGTTAACTTCAATTATTTGTAATTAAACAAGTAAATATTTTAATATGCTTAGAAGTCATCGTCCAATGTCTTTTTGACTATTCTTGGCTTTGTTTTTCTCTCTCTGCGTGCCCAACAAAATCCACTCGCACGCCAAATATAATCACAGTGAAAAAATGTGGAAGATTTTCACAATGTCACGTTTTTATTTCTATCCTCAAAGTAAAAATTCACTTCTTGCAGTGATCTTTACATGAAAATATATTCCTATTTGATAAAATTACCTAACAAACTAACTTAAGCTCTACAAATTACATCTTTTTGATTGTCTTCATCAGTAAACATAGTGGAATGTCTTGAGTTAACAGCAAAGGTAGTGTAAATATATCGAAAAAAATGTCTTTCTTGTGTACAAAACTTCAACATTTCATCAGAAATTTTTTATACAATTTGTGTAAGATCGCAATATTATTCCAAAAAGCACTTTATCGAAATATCATACCACAAAAGTGTGTAAAATTGTAAGACACAAATTTATAGCTCTTTAGTTCCTATCATATCGTAATGGAGTATTAATATTAATAAAAAAAAATTTGGTAAATTTTGCTTGCTTAGGGAGATAAAACGTAAGAATTTCACACGCCAATTCTTCTGCATGGTAATTATTTGCACTCTACCAAAATCTACAGAGTAAAATACGAGGGGGTGAAGGAGATAGAAATTGGTGAAGGACTCTTATGAGCTGTTGAGGCACTTCTCGTCCGCGTTGCCGTCGTAGTGCAGCGACACGATGGAGTACTTCTTGCAGAAGGCCCACCACCACCGGAAGCCGGACTTGCCGGAGAACTGAAAGCTGTGCTCCATCTTGAGCTTCTGTACAAATTCCAAAATACTAGCTAGTGACTTCTTCGTGCGCCGATTGTACGGCGACACGGACACGTCGCAGCAGAACTCCAGCACGGCGTTCTCCTCCGTGCCATCCAGGCCGGCCTCCTCCAGCACCTGCATGCGGTTCGACTTTCCCAGGATGTTATCGTACAGCGTGCCCTTGGGGATGTTGTAGCGCACAGAGGCCTGCGTGAAGCGCATCTTCTGCGTCACCACGGCGCTAATGGCATCCTTCAGCTGCTGTTGCGTCCACATCGGCGTCTTCAGCTTCAGCAGATTCGGGTAGTCTGCTGACGAAACGGGCAAAGACAAGGCGCAGAGGCGCGCGAAAAGGTCACATAGCAACATATAGAGAAAAACATATACATATTGGGCGGGGTGGGGGACAAAGTCATTAGCATTAAATTAAGAGATTAAATTGATTAGCGCTGATCGACTGAAAGAGAACTGTTGTGGTTATTTGAGGACATTCACACAGGCGAATCTTCGAATATTCTTGCCAGCTTGAATCTTGAGTCGGATTTTTTTTCTCTCTGTTATGATTACTTTTCTCACAATCGTCAGAATTATTTCAATCATTGCAAATACATCAGAAGCTTGCCTACGTGGAAGGGTTGAAAAGAAAGCTATTCTCAAATATGTATAATTCATCAAAAACACCTGAATTCAATCAACAGCACTCAAAGCAATCTAATTTGAATCATAAATAAAATGACACAGGATAAATGCAGATTGATTGATATTTATTTTAATAGTCGATACATTTGATTAAGGATTCTAGACAAAACGATTGACCAATAAATATCATCAGCGCGGTGGAAAGTTGGTGGCTTTCGCATTTATTTATCTGCGGGCTAATTGATTGGACTCACAGTGCATTGGAGAGTTCTCAGGCAAAACCACCCAGCTATTTATTTATATTAATGGATATTTATTTAAATATTTAGTCATAGCTCTCCATCGGGAGACCATTTCTCCGTTCCCGCGCGACACCCGCAAATAAATTAACTCGCTGTCGGTCAACAGAGTGGCATCGAGGCAATCGGTTTTTCTCGAAGAGTGCGCGATGCTTGAGAAAGAGACACATTGATGGAGGGAAAAACAAGAGAAGTATAAATAAGAGGAGTCAACAGGAGACGTTGGAGAGATATTTCAAGAGTCAACAGCTCAGAAGGGAGGGCGTTTGAGCAGAGAAAAGCTGATCGCATCGTGAAACTATAATCACAGCGAGACACTGTCCATCTGAGACCATCGCCAGAGAAAGATGTGTAATAGTAATAAATTAAAAGCCCGTTTCTTCCCATTTTTTTTGCCTGTCCCGCACACACACTCCAATATTTACATTTTCAATCAAAGACAGTTACTATTGAATCTCAAACAATTCATTTTCGGTGATTGACTGGTTAAAATTTTCCCGAAATGTGTGCAGATGATTTTCTCCGCGCGCACATCAAGAAATTATTAGACACACATCAAGCAGACACACGAAATCTCTGAATAGATCTACAAATAATAGGTGAAAGAAAAAAAAACTATAGTAATAATGAATGTAACTGTTAACACTTTCTATCAATACCACTCTTTCTGTGTGGCTCAAGAGCTGAGGATAAGTTGAAAACATGCGTGCACGGAGCACAAACATTCGTCAAATTTTAACATACAAAACACAATTTTATTAATATTCTCCACGGCAATAATCTCAAGTGTGGTGTTACGTTTCTCAACCTCCTCGAGAGTGTTCTGCTCGTAAGACCCAATTTGAGATCAACTTTCTAGTATTTTCCAATCATTAGAATTTAATTAGATATAATTTCATATTAATATATGCAGCATTGTTCAATCCCTTGCATTGCCAATCCCGCAAAAAAAGCACTCGCCATCACTGTGTGCGCGAGAGGAGAAAAAGGCCTTTCTGAATTCACTCTTTTTTTGCGCTCGCATCTCTCCCATAAAAGCCATATAATATTAGTTTTAATACAAAATCCCATGCCCCACAATATAGCCATTTAATAGTCCAGAGTAATTAAAGTGTTGCAACATCTGAATTGTTCATTTCAGATGCCTATCTTTCGACATAATATTAAAATTTTTAATATTCTATACGCACGGAGATTATATTGTAAAACAGAGACAGAAAGCATTGAGCGAGCAGATACAAGATTGTCTTTATTCAGAGCAAGGAGGAAATAGTTTGGCTCAAATCCTTTCAAATATCGTGTTAATCCTTAATCGCAATGAGAATTTATAGAGTTTGTTGTTTAATTTGCTGAAAGACGTATTTTAACGATGAATTTACGTGCACTTAATGTGATTTGAGGTTAGAATCGCCAGAAAATGAGGTTATGAACATATAAGGAGTGGAAATTATGATTTTGTAGTCTATTTGGGATCCTTTAATGCTGATATAAAAATTCTACCCACAAATATTTGCTAAATTTCATTGCTTTGGTATTTTAGACTTGAATATTACGAGTAAGTATTCAAAATTTCGTTAAGATCCTTAGGATTACATTACCTAGGATCAATAAAACTATTCTAGATTATATAACAAGCTCTGCCAGCCTCATCTTCACATTGTTTTTAACTGTTTAGTTCCCTTCTTTCTAATCCAGAACGATAGTTTTCCTCTAAATCAAGAGTTCCATTGCGATTTGTACACCACATCCAGCCTAATATCTCCCCCTTGGATTAATGACTTTTTGCCATGAGTATGTAAAAAGGCACTTGTGGTGCATTGTGAAGCACGGCTGTGTTGCTGTTGCTCAAATAAAATAATAATCATAAATTTTAAGTATTCAAATGAATAGCGCACAATAATCCTATACGAAGAAAAATTCTCTAGATGCTGAGATAAAGACATTGTCGTCCATTGTGGAAACAGACAAGCGTGGAATATGACTTATCACTGAAAACACGGGAATTTTAAACGGTTTCCAACCTTAATTGCATATCAATTTTCCCATTACTCAGAGTTTTGATTGAAAATCCCTTATTTGTTCCCATTACAAGCGACACGGTGCTTAAAGATTTATAATAGAAAGTTTATGAGATAAAAACACTTTTGGGCATTGATCTTGCTTATGACTTTGCAATAAGAAACACAATATTGATTGATTTGGATGAACTCTGCGGAAACTTTCTCCCCAGATTTGTCGGTTAAAACTATTTGTAATGAGGCGAGATTATAAATTTGCCGCGGATGAAAGCAGAATGTTTTGTTATTCTCATCAAAAAAAAGAATAAAGAAGCCATAATAGTTTTGTTTGGCGCACCAAAAATCATATTTCTCTCTTTCTCAGCCACTCACAGAACTTGAAAAGAAGTTCTGTGAAACAAGAGATGAAGAAATCATTATTATTTTTCAGTTTTCACAACCATAGGAAAAAAAATACTCCTTTGCTCAACTTTCGCGCTTCCCTCGAAAAGAAGAGGAAAAAAGGAAATAGTGCGTGTGCGAGCGAGAAAGAAGAAAATATTTGGTTGTCTTTTTTCTCTGTCAGAAAGGAATAAAAATATGAAGTTGTGTGTATTTATTTAAACAGACACTTTTATAAGGAATTGCTCTCCGGTTGCCTCAAAAATAACCATCACCATCTCGCATCCAAGCCCGCTTCTTATAATTTCCTTTGAAGTAATACACAAAGTAATTATTTACAGTTGATGCATGCGGTTGTTTATATATTTTATAATTATAAAGTTATTAATAGAGGTTTTTCGTATATATATTTCTTTCCTCATGCGCGCCAACGCTTCGGCACTCAACTTGAAAAAGTCAATTTTATTGTACGAAAAAAAAGAGACTCTCTGTGCGTATTTTAATGTCTCCATACTCCCCCTTGGCGTGGCTCTTTAGCTCCTCATCCCACCGTTTCCTTCCCGTTGCACACACGAAAGTTGTGGTGAAAAATTTTGCCATGCCCAAAGGCGAATGTGGAGAGACACAAAGTCGAATGTTAATGGAAAAGTGATGACAAAAATCCCATTTATTGCCATATTAATTATCATTATACTTCTTCCTCTCGCCTCTCAGCTCAATTCCCAGATTTGTCCCATCTGATCGCACACACGATCCCAACACAGCGCGCGTCTGCAGAAAAAGCGGCCAAAATTGTCGGAGGCCAGCGAAATCATTGGCTGAATTTGTTTTAAATTAAAATCCCCCCTTTCGAGAGAATTAATTAATATACAAAATGCTGTAAACATATCGAGAAATGAGTTCGGAAAGGCAATTAAATGCTCAGACGGGCATAAAGAGATCGAGGAGAGGCATTAAAGAGTGTCGGCAAGAGTTTTGTGCTCCATATTAGACAACATTTTCCAAAGTGCCAATCAAAATCTAATTATCTTCAATTAAATCGTCTTATATTGCCACCATTGGACAAAAATGTTCTTCTCTCTCTCTCACACACTTTGCATTTGCTTGATTCTCCCATTCGCAAATGCACACAAATATTAATGCTTTGTCCACTTGTATTTGATTTTAAATTACGCACATATTTGATTATCATTGGAGTTTCTGTGAACGTCCGACAATTCAACTCGGAGAAGCTCAAGCCAGAACTAAATTCAACACTGTCCAGGCATCTATTGTTATTACAATTCGATAAGACCACACTATCGCTCGTTATCTTATCTTGTCACCTGATAATTTGGGCATGTTTTCCACCCGGAGTGTCTCTCTACATTCAGTACACGTTCGAGAAGATCTTCCGATGCAAGTGTTTTCCCTGGCAGAGAGACTTATGGTGATTTTCGCGTCAATTTTGCTCCTCCTCGTGATTCTCGTGAGTATATACCGATCGGATCGCGCGTGCGACAGCCGCACTTACGGGAGCTTTCTTGCAGTTGCTCATCCACTGGTGCTTCAAGCAGTTCCGCGAGTATCGCAAGAGACAGGAGGAGGACACGTACTCCAATGCCTGCAACGTCTACATCATAGAGAGCAATCTCGGCGGCTCGCAGAGGCGCAATCCGGCCCAGGAAGCGCCGCCGTTCGACACTGTGGTCTTCAAGTGCGATGGCCTGCCGTCGTACGACGAGGCCATGGCGCACCAGCGCGACCAGCAGGCGAAGACGGCGCAGACGAGCTGCTAGAACTAGACTAGCCTTAGCCAGAGGCCCAAGTGTGAGACTGTTTCAGTGTGGGAACAATAAATGTGATGCTTCTTCTCTCAACTGAAAATCATAGATGTGCAATATTTCACTAAACACGCCGCACCATCTCCGCCAGCAATAGAGGCGCGCATTAGTGTTTGGCATATAGCATAAAACTTAATATTATTAATGTCGACTTAATTAATGCCACATGCAATTAGGGCCTTTCAATGTGCAACACAACCACTTCAGAGAGTTGTAAACCAATAAATTCCTCAGACACTCTTGTATATATTATTTCACATTTTATTGTGCCTGACTTTGCAACTACAGTGAAATTCAATTGTACATTTCACATATATATATATAGCATTATTTTATTTCCATTCCAAGGCGTGGAGCGACGCCAATGAATTCAATGGTGAAATTGATGAATAAATTGAAGGAAATATAATGCAATCAATATATTCATGACACACAAAAAATGTATAAGTAACAATTCGACAAAATGTTACAAGACATCAATTGACAGAATGCGAGACGGGCAACCTTTTTGCGCGAGGATAAAAGCTTTCTTCGTGATACATTTTTAAAATTTCTAATTAAATTTTAATTACTTATGTTTTCTTCCATCGTGCTTTTAATTTAATTTTTATTGTTTCACTTTTTCCCACCCTCACGCCAATATTCCATAACCAATTCAATCACTCCAGAGAGCTAAGTATATTGGTGATTTTGCAACGCCCACGCCGTTCTCCGTGCGCCACTCATTAATGCTCACGCCAGAGTCCCTTTGAGTTCCACCAAAGAAAAAGTCCCTCAAAAGAGCTTCTTATCGAAATGGTTTGTGAATTTCGAAATTCGCGCAATGACGATGAGGAAAACAATAGCCGAGATAGTGGAGTTAATTATAGCACTGATCATCCATTGGAGTGTGTCGCTCAGAGCGCCAAATCATCATTTGTACACTGTGTTGGCGGGGTCAAAGGCCAAGCAACAGCGAGAGAAACCTTGAGGAAGCCGGTGAATTGCAAAAAGTATAGATTTTTTAATTAAAACATCCCCAGTCGATGTATTATGACCGAACACACTGTGCGAGGGTGTTGCGACGCTCCCCAGCTACACGAAACATCATCAGCAGGACGAGGGAATCCATACTCGAGACAGGAGTCACTCTTCCCCCTCATTTCACAAGAATGCACGCGAGAGGAGCCGCGAGGGATGGAAGAATGGTGTTTTTTATAATTTAAAATCAATTAACATTTATATAAAAGCCACCCTTTTGCGCACTCTGTGTTCCAAGGGCGCGTCACTCGTCCACAAAAAGTACTTTTCACGTGAAGGAAAACGCTTCTGACCGACTACACATTCGCATTTTTTATGTACGATGTCAAATTACGTGTTATAAAAATTTATTAGAAATTATCTGAAGAATCGTTAGAATCTCATGAATTGTGAAATTCTCCATTGACTGCCAAAATTTTCATTTTTCATTGCATTCTAAACGTTATTCGAAACGAAAATGTCTACAATTTATGCCACCATAAGTAGAATTTCGTGCACTTTTATCCAAAAAGAGTGTCACAAATACAATTTCCCAACTTCAAAAATCATATTTCAAAATTTTCGTTTCCACATCATTTCGCTCTCGTGAATGCGCGCAAAGAGTTTCCATGAAAATGTCTGGGTATTTAAATAAATTTCTTTATAATAAAATTATCCGAAGACTCCCAATTGACGCTGAAAGTCACATCCGACTTCAATGGTGTGAATAATCCTTATAATCTCCTTGAGAGGGAAATTGCAATTTGTATTAATATTTCTCTGCGCTCGAGAGATAATTATTCCTTTCCCTTCCTGCAATTCCTATATTAATTGATTTAATACAATTTCTCAATTGTCAGCCTGGCAAAAATATCCAATCGCCGAGCTTCACTCAATTATACATTTTCTAGATTACATTTGCATAGAGAATTTCAGACATGAAACCTACCAGCAATTGATGACGTCGAAGCACCTAACCAGGCATGTGAGTTTTCCAAGAGTTTCGCCTGCAAAGAAAAAGAAAACATGGCGTGAGTTTACATCTCGGCAAATTATCCATCGAAATGTTTTTCGCAGCATATAATTTCGTATCAATATGCAAAATACTATTTTATGTTCTCCACATGTCTTTTAGATCATTTATTTGCTAATTCCTCCACGAACGAACTTCTCAATTTCTTGCCTCTGTGCAAGCGCCTAAATTGCACTGGATGTGCTCTTTTTTCGGGGCAAGAAATCGCCTGAAATTGTATGATTGAATATCCATAAATTATATGCAATTGAATGCATTTCATAATGCCACTTTTCATCCACTCATTACAGCATAAAAGATGATTTTAAGCAGAGCGATGGCGTCGTAGATTCATCGAAGTGGAATATTTTATAAAAGGCGAACACAACATCTTTCGAAGAAAAAAAAACCGCCAGTGAGAAAGAGCGGGAAAAAATATTTTCATCATCATCCTTCTGTGTGATTCCATAACCGCTTCTTTGATATGTTTTACCCCTCTCTCTCTCTCTCTCTCTCTTGCGTCTTTCATTTTATGTATAACATTAAATTCAAGGAATTGAATCTTCAAAACTCAATTACATGCATTTTGTGGTGAGCGATCGCGCAGCAGCGCAAGAAGATGCACGAAGTCGGACTTATTCAATGTGAATTTTATATCAAAAATGCGATACACAACAAATACATATATCAAAATGAATATCAAAAAATTATAAATTGAGCTTCGAACCGGGTGAAACTTGTAATTTTCTCTCTTTCTTGTGAGTCTCACAGTGGGTTTTTTTGTTGCTTTATTTTTCGGGTGAGCACAAGAATCACTCTCGCGTCTCAAGGATTCGCCCTTAAGCCTTCCCGCGCGCGGCCCAATTATTATTTATTGTTCTGTACCACTTCTTTTCCAACACATCCACATTGCATTCTTTATTCATAATTTCAAGGTGAATTATTTTTATTGCATCTCGCACAATTTTCCCCACAATATTCCATCAATTGCGCGACACGTTTTCGCGTGCGTTGGGAGGGAAAAAAATCCCCATATATAAATGCATAATTGTGCATGGATAAATAATGCATCCAGTGATACATTTGACCACCGCCGAAACTAATCCCTGCGCCATCGGAGCGAACGAGTGCGGAGAAGTGAATGATTGACTGTGTGCAAAATCGTTCAAATTATTGAAATTATAGTTACAATGGGTGAATCAATGATTCATGACACGAAGGGAGGCTTTTGCCATTTTTCACCCTCGCTGCACTGTGTGGCATGCTGAAAAATGAATAAAAATCAAACCGCGAGTGCAGGAGGAAAGGCCATGAATAAGATATATTTTTGTGTCGTTGTCGCCGATTAAATGTTATCCACGAAAATGAGGATATTTTCCACTCATTCAACACAATGACAGCAGACGCCAGTCAATAAAAGTCACTGACGGAAAAATTATCAATTACCATTCACGGATTTTATCATTAATTAATAACCACAGTGCTGGGCCAGGGAATGGGAGAAAATTGCTTTTCTCAGCACCTCTCACTTGCTCACATGGGAATTTTCACTCGTGCATTGCGCGCGCGGGGGAGAATTTTCATGTATTCTCCAACCTTATATAATGCTATAATTTATTGAGTTAAATTCTTAGAAAATTTCCGCACTTGGAGCGCGCAATCTTCATGCAAAATTCCCGATTAACCAATTAAAATTGCACATTTCGCCCCACTCGATGCGGTGTGTGTATGTTCACATGCTGTGAAAATTAGTGGGATGAATTGTGGGTGGTTTTCCAGGGCAACACTGGGAATCCGGACCGGTTGATGACATTCCCACATGCCGGATATTTGGGAGCTTGGCACGAAGATAGTTTGCGGTCTCTTGGCGGGAAAAGCATGAGGTTTTTGGGAATGTGTTCAGGAGGCCCACTTCACTCACATTTTCCCCAGCACACTCGAGCTCAAGTGGGAAAAATCGCTGTGGGTGTGTGTATGTGTATTTGTGTGTGTGTGGGCGAGAGACCCTCTTGTGGGGTGGCGAACACACTCTGATGGTGAACATCGCCCTGCGAGACGCTCGTGTCTCATGACGCAAGTGCTGCGGGCATGGAAAATCATCTGTCTTTTGTGCGGACTGAGGAGGGGAACGAGACCTTCTCGCATCTTCAGACTAGACGACCGCCAGACAAGAGCGACACAACCTCTATTCACACTCACTCGTAGGTGTGAAAAGCTCTTTTCGCCGCACGCTCGCGGGATTCGCTTCTGCAGCCGAAATAACACAGATTAGTCTTCCGCATTGACTCTTTTCTTTCGACTTTCTCAGATCTCACTTACTTTTAAAATTGATATACCGATTAAAAATGCTTGGACACTTGGAAGGTCGTTCTAAAATACTTCTCATTTTCTAATTTTTTCTATTACAATATTTTCTAATTATCTAATTTTTCTCATTAAATTAAAACACATGAAGATTTTCATTAAAATATTTGTGTTTGAGACCAAGAATCTTAACTCTAAGTCATCTTAATGTGTTTTTCTGTCCCAGTTTTGCTTCACAGTTCGAATGCTTGTTCTTATATTAATGATGTTTTTATGATCTCTCTATCTAATTCCAATCCTCCGCAAGATCGCCACGCTTTCTTGCGCAAAATTTGAATATGACGATACTCAATAAGCATATTTCATGCATGTATTTTCTCCACAGGAGGATAAATTGACAGCCACCAATGCTTCAGTGGATTTCCTCGAGCCCCACGAACTACACACAATACCATGTTCTCGCCTGTATAATTAATTTGCTCACTGCAGTGTCGCTCAATTTTCACGCGTTCTGAATAATCCGAATAATAAATGGTTGCCAGTGCAGAGAAAAAATTAAATAAATTACAACAAAAAAATACTCTCCGACTCTGCTAATATACTGTAATGCTTAATAGTTGGCTAGTGGTTGATTTCTTCGTTTCTGACTTAGCATTGGGCACTTGCGTTGTCGGTTGAGATTCTGAGAAAAACTCACATAACAAGTATAAAGTACATCATTATTGGTGATTATATCGTGACATGTTTTCCACATATAATACACAATATAAAACTGCAAATGCACTAATGCCACGAAACTGATCGCAATGTCGGACAGAGAGGGAAAATGTGTGAGGTGAATTGCGAGGAGAAAGAGAGAAAAAAACATTGGCAGCTACTGTGCAGTGGAGAAAAAGAAGTCAAAATTATAACATATAAAACACAGGTGAAACTGGTAATTTTCCATCTTGATATGATATTATTACTGTGGCTCTTTTCGGACTTTTCCTCTCTTTCGGCCGCACAACTGCCGCCCAGATATTGGGCGTGCTTTCTGAGGTGGTGAGAATGCAATTCTTACATGTCTTTTTCGCAGCATTTCCCATTGTCTCGGCCATGGTGTGTGTGTGTGTTTTTGGGGCGATTTCATTGGAAATTACGTTTGATTCTTGCCCCCTTTTCCTGGCCATCGCACAGTTTTGTAATTGATCAGCACAGAGTGACTATAGAGAAATTCCGGAATTGTGCAACGCGTCTTTCCACCGCTCGATAGGCGATCTATGAAATTTTAATTACTTCTCTCCATTTCATCCCGAAGCGAAGAGATTGACAGGGTGAAAAGAGAAAATATACCCAAGTCAGTGTGAAACAATACATTGGCGATATAGACGAGGAATTGCAACAATTTTCCGTCAATTCTTCGCAACTAATATGCATGAAAATTCACCATTGAAAACATTTTCGCGATAATAATCTTCTTGTTTTGTACAGTTTTGTGTTACACTCGCGCTGTTGGTGATTTTTTGCCCGCTCTCGCTCTTCCTTCTTCAGCCGCAATTCAGGTGTGCGCCGAGGCCTTTTTCACGCTGGAGCCGCTTCACCCTCTTCCGATTTAATACACTCTTGGCAGGTATTATAAATTTATTCGAATGCAATACAAGCGGAAAAGAAATAACACATTGTTACACCATGTTTTACAACATTCTTTACTTGCTATTTTACTCCTATTACATGGTAATTTGCAATTTTAAGAGAATATCTCTCCGCATTAATGTACATATTTTAACTGGATGTCCCTATTCGCCTTCTCACCCGTTTTTTTGCACCTCTCCTCAGCTCATTTACCCATAGAGATACCGGAGAGTCACGTGCAATTAATTCTTTTTATATGTACCTTTCCTCCGTGCGCCTTCTGCTCGGCATCTTCTTCGGGGCGTTATTCGAAATTTGCATTTAACATGTGTTTTTCTCTCACTTTTCACACTCCCAATCAACTGTATCTCTCAGGTGTCTTCCTACACCTCTTCCCTCATGCACAACCAGGAATTGCATTGTCAATTTCGTGCGACTCCCTGGAATTTCACTCAATTGATCACAGATGCAAAGGAAATGCTCGATCGTCAATTATACAGAAATACTTCGTGTCCTAAATGCCACTAATTTCTTCATTTCTCCAGGCAAAATTTACCCCCAAAGACATCCCAGCCGACGGTTATCTTACCGTTTTCGAAAGGAGTGTCATTTGAAGAAAAGGTTAACGTCCACCACGGAAATTACATAAAATAAACCTCAAAAACACTCTCAATTCTTCTCTTCGCACCACCAAAGCACTCCAAAAATTCCTGATAACTTGTCAATCAATTACTGACATAAAATTAGGAAAAAAAATAAATATCACTCCGGTCGGCTTCCCTGATAAGAATTTGCCTCAATTACACAAACACTCGTGAATTTGGTGATAGCAAAATGGAAATTTCCAAATACGACGTGTGGGGGAATATATTGAGTATAATATTGAAACTCAGAGACAAAAACAAATGGTGAAAAGCTGCAGTTTTTTTGTCGCCCATCTCGACTCAAGCGACTCAGTGGTTAAGAGGGTGAAAATAGTCGGAAAATTGTGAGCAAATCGAACAAATAATATGCAAATAGTGAAACTCCCTGATTAATTATTAATTATTCAGTTGGCCAATTACTGAAATACGCAGCCAC